TCTTGCTTGCCTCCTTGTCAGTTGCTTGGTTGTCATGAAGCTTTCAAGGTTCCGGTGGTCGGTGTAGACAATTGCTTGTAGTCGATTCGGGTTACCCTCTAGATAGTGACGCCATTCCTTGAAAGACGCCACAATTGCCAGCAATTCCTTGTCAAAAATCTCATAGTTCTTCTCGGATTGGACCAATGACCGTGATAAATACGCCACGGGGTGAAGTTCTTGATCCTTGTCGCAGATTTGGGATAAGACGGCACTGAGTGCAAAGTCCGAGCAATCACATTCAAGGACAAAAGGCCTGTACGGGTTGGCTATTTTTAGTACCGGCGCCGTGGTGAACGCGGTTTTCAGAGTTTCAAAGGCCTTGTTGCAACGGTCGTCCCAGACGTAGGGAGTTTTGTCCTTGGTCAAGTCGTGGAGAGGTCAAGCTATTCCTGAAAAGTGGTCAATGAATCGCCTGTAGAAGTTTGAGAAGCCAATAAAACGCTGTAGTTTGGTCACATTCTTGGGCGGTGGCCATTCGGATACAGCTTTGACTTTAGTCGGGTCCATCCTCAGCCGGTTACATGATATCAGAAGTCCCAAGTATTCCACTTCTGGTCGAGAGAATTCACATTTTTCCGGTTTCAGCCAAAGTTGATGCTTGCTAAGTGTCTCCAATACTCCCGTGACAGCCGCTTGGTGGTCGGTTCCCTTCTGCGTGTAGATCATGATGTCGTCCAAGTAAGCTGCCGTGTCCTTCCCAATCCGTCCTAACAGGATGTCTTGCATGAAATATTGAAAGTAGCCTGGTGCTCCTGTTGGTCCGAATGGCATAGTCAACGGTGCGAATTGTCCTTGTCGACAGACAAAAGCCAGCTTCTCCTTGTCACCCTCCGCTACACGTAGGTTTCCGTAGGCGTTTCTCAGGTCGAGCTTGGTGAAGGTGTCGGCGTCAAGTAGGCTGTCAACCAGGTCCATCGTCAGGGGTAGGGGGTACTTGTTCTTCACGGTAACCGCATTGAGCTTCCGGTAGTCAAAACATGGGCGTAAGTTGCCGTCTTTCTTCCCGGTGAACAGCACTGGTGCTTCCCAGGGCGAAGTGGTTCGTCTGATGGTGCCGTTTTCTAGACCTTCAGTGATCAGGGTGTCCAGTGCTTGGTTTTCGGCGGGTGACAGGGGAATGATCCGACTTGCTTGGGGAAGGGCTCCCGGCACAAGGTCTACTCGAAAGTCGTAGATTCTTCTGGGTGGCAGTTTCTGGGCACTGGACTTGCGGAACATGTTGATATACCGGTGATAGTGGGTCGGGACTAGTTCTTCTGCCGTCTTCACAGGGGTCTTGGCCTTGCTGTCCGCCGCGAGTTGAGCCGATGTTGACCAAGAGGCTTTGGCAGCGCTGACATCTGCGGTGGGAACAAGTTCTAGGAGAGGAAGAGGCTTGCCAGCTGTTTCAACAGAATTTATGGAAGGGACCACAGCGAACTCACATTGCGGGGGTGTTAACATGTCAGAAACACACACCCCCTTGCCAAAAATCCTAGCTTGCCTCATGGGCTCCACGCCAATAGATGAGGCCTTTGTCGGAATTGGCAAAACTGGCCCAGCAGTTGCAATGGTCCTATCTTCGGTGGTTGGGATCCGGTCGGTGGTGCTATGTCCTAGGAAGGGAAGAGGCTTGCCAGCTGTTTCAATAGGAATTTTGGAAGGGACCGCAGCGAACTCACATTGCGGGGGTGCAAACGTGTCAGAGACACACACCCCCTTGTCAAAAATCCTAGCTTGCCTCACGGGCTCCACGCCAAAAGGTGAGGGTTTTTTCGGAATTGACGAAGCTGCATCGACAGCTGCAAAATCCTGTGGGGTTTTCCTGAATTTCCGGTCAGTCCAATCGATGAGGTGTCCATGCTTACGGATCCAAGGCATTCCAAGGATCCCGTCGTAAGAGTCTTTCAGGCGAGTGATGATGAATGGGGAAGGAGATGGGTCGGTGTCAAGAGTCAGGTGGATATCAAATGAAGAACGGCTTGAGGAGCCGTCAAAACCGGAGATGGTACGATGAGAGGGTCTGGCAATATCAAGGAGTCCCGTAGACTTGGCATAAGACTCGCCAATCACGTCATGGGTTGCTCCAGAGTCAATGAGAAAAGTAGCGGGAGGGAGTGGCAATGGGGTTGTGGCTCGAGAATGTTTGGGTGGCACGATGGGCAAAGAAATAAATAAACACGGATCAATTTGATTTCTTGAAAAAATTTCACTGGCGCCAATGCTAACAACAAACAACTCTCCACTGCTCAGGATAGGCACATCCTTCATTCCTGAGCTCCTCCATTTTTTGACGACTCCGCTCTACTGCCTCCTGCCTTCAACTGCTTGACCTCTTCTTCGAGTTCGGCGATCCGGGACTTCTCCTTCCCTTTCCCCTTCTGTCCACGGTCCGGGCAATCCCTCGAGATGTGGCCTTGGTTCCCGCATCGGAAGCACTGGCCCGCTCGCATCATCCTGGTCTTCTCCGCATCCGAAAGGCGGCCACGCATGACAGATAAGTCCATCGCATTGGGGTCCGGGGTCTTGGCCGTCTCCGTGGGGGCTAGGCCGTGGAGTTCGTTGTCGATCTGCAAGGCCATGGTGGCGATGTCGGCCAGTTCTGAGAATTCGGTACGACTCATTAGCAACATGAGCCGTATTTGGGATTGCAGGCCTTGTCGGTACTGGCTGACGAGGACGGCGGGTGCCCAGTCGGTGTTGTGGGCGTGCAGGTTGAACTGGTGGGTGTAATGAGATACCGACTTGGTCTGCTTGAGCGCGCGGAGGGCCGCTTCAGCCTTGGTCTTCTTCTCGGTGTCGCAGTACATGGCGTTGAACTGGGTGACAAAATCGTCGTGCTTGATAGTCTCGGTTGTGCACATCACCTTCCTCATCCACGGTTGGGCCCATGAGCTGGCCGGGCCAGTTAAGTAGGACAGGATGAAGACCATGATGGCACGGTCGGTGTTGAAGAGGTGTCCGTTGGCCAGGACGTAGAGGTTTACCTGGTTGATGAAAACCTCCGCTTTAGCTCCACGAGTGCCGTCAAACTTGTCAGGGGCGCCAATCTTGGGGCCTTTGACCGGCGCAGTTGGAGCTTGCGGTGGAGTGTTGGTGGTTTCCACGGTCGCCGCCAGTTCGGCCTCCTTCTTGGCCAATCGCGCCTCTAACTCCTTCCTGGCCTTGCGTTCTTTGTTGACCATGGTCACAAGTTCGGACAGTTGCGCCTGAACCTCGGCGAGCTTGGCGTCCTTTGGGTCTACGTTCATAGCGAAATAGCGCGGGGCGGCTCACAGAGTGGCAGGTAATGCTTTGACGGTGTGTAGAGACTTCGGAAGGTGCAACTAAAATTGTGGAGGCTTACTTTTGTACTTTTACGCCTTGCCAAACGGCTCGTGTGAGCTCTCTTCGGGGATCTGGGGTGTCTTGGGGGGGGGTTCTGGGGTCTCTCAGGGGGTGTTCTGTGTTTTCAGGGTAGTAGTTGGGGGGTCTTGGGTGTCTGAGGGGTGTCTTGGGTCTTTCGGGGGTTTTTCTGGGGGGTCTGGGGTTCTTACGGGGGTTTCTGATGGTTCTGAGGGCCTGGGTGTCCTCTCTTGGGTCCTGGGGGTGGGCAGGGGTCTTACAGGGGGGTTGGGGGTCTAAAAGTCCTCTACTCCCTCTTTCCTGGGGTTCTGGGGGCTTCGGTGGGGCGCTCTGGAGGGCCTCTTGAGGGCTCTGGGGCGCTCTGGCAGGCCGTCTGGGGGCCTTAGGGGGCTCTGGGGAGGTCTCTGGGGTTCTAGGGCCGCGCTGGGGCGTCCTGGGGCGCTTCGCTGCGCTGCGGGGGCCTCGGGAGGCGTTCGCGAGGCTTCTGGAGCCTTGGGGAGCGTCCAGGGGCATGGGGGGTCTCTCTGGGTCGTCCGACAACGATCCGGTTGATTCCGGGGCGTCCAACGACGATCCGGAGTTGTTGAGGGGTCTAGGGGGGTCTAGGAAGCGTTCCGAGCGCAATCCGAGCGTTCCGAACGAAATCCGAGGGTCCTGGGCGTGTTCCGAGGGCCCTACGACGATCCGACGAAAAAAAACGAGTGATCCGGTGCGATCCGACGAAAAACGTGAAAAAACGACCTCCTGGGGGGCCTGAGGGGTTCCTGGGGGGTCCTGAAGGGTCTGTGAGGGTGTGAGAGAGGGAGAGGGGTGATTAATAAGGTTGATGGACAAGGTTTGAGAGAGGTTCAAGGAAGGATTTTCAAGGTTTGAGAGGTGAGTTTTCAGGGTTGATTTTCTAGGTTTGAGGGGTGGTGTTCTGGGTGTTTCGTTCCTGGTCTCCGTGTAAGTTGATCTTGCAATATGTTATGGGTGTTCTGGGGAGAGCAGGGATGGATCTTCAGGGTTCTGGTTCTTGATGGTAGATTGCAAGATGAGGAATGTACAAGGTTCGGATCTCGAACGAACTCCAAGTTCGAAGTTCGTGACATGTACGTAACAGGCTCTCTACATATGTAACGTCCCCAGTTCCAGTCCTCCACAGCTCATAACAGGGGGGAGGGGTAAAAGAGGCAAAAAAGGGGGAGAAGCTAACCATACACCAGCCCTCACTTCAAGGGGTCTAGTTGCTGGTGCAAACAGTCCCTCTGAACTACACATCAGCCCTTCAAAGCATTGAGCCTGGGCTTTCAAGTTAGAAGGGTGGCCTTGGGGAGCATTGTGGCCAAAAATTTTGTGACTTTCATACACCTTTGGTTACTACCTTCCCTTCTTTGGTGCAAAATCCATACATTTGAGGTGAGTACCTTTCTGGGCAAAAACAGCAATTCATACATTTGGGGTGAGTACCTTTTTTGGTTTTTGACCAAAAATTCATACATTTTGGTTACTGTGTTCTATAGGGGCTTTCCTGGGTCCTGGCGGGTTGTTCAAAAATGACCCTGAAAATTCATTGCCCACGCGAGGGTCTGTGGAGTTCGCATTCCGCAGCAAATCGGCCGAAAATTTTCCACTGCGTTCCCCCGGGAGCCACCCTCTCCTCCGACCGAAAACATTTGAGAACCCAGAAAATCCCAACCTAATCTCCGATAACAACGACACCACCCACCAAACAAATCAGGATAACAGCAAAACAGCCATGTGTAAGTACCTCGAGTCAATGTCCGATGGCAAGTCATACGCTCCAATGTGGAAAATTGACAATCGAACACTTCATCCACAGGCGGAATCTTCGGTATCTACAACTTCTCGGGGCAACCTAATGACGTCCGTTACAAAGCATTGGCTCTATCAAAGAAGTTGAGACATCGTGGTCCCGATTGGTCAGGATGCTTCATGACTGGGAGCTCTGTTTTGGTCCATGAGAGGTTGGCAATCGTTGGATTGGGTACGCTTTTTCTCTCTTCACTGAATCTACTTCTTTTGTTCACTTTTGAGTGACTCGAACTTCTGTGATTGACCCCTTCGGGCTGTCTTCAGATACCGGTGAACAACCCTTGTTGACGGAGGATCGCAAGACGGCCTTATGTGTCAACGGCGAAATCTACAATCATAAAGCGTTGGCCAAGAAGTTGCAGATTCCGTTGAAAGTCAAGCCCAAATCGGACTGTGAGATCATCCTCCACTTGGTTCGTATTTTCCTTACTCGTAGAAATTTCCTCTTGGCTTCCCTCATGTTCTCTCTTTATCTAACGTTGACAATCGGTTCTATTTGCTTTCAAAAGTACAGAGAATATGGGACAGATCTTTGTAACATGTTGGATGGGATGTTTTCATTTATTTTACTCGACGATACCCAAACGCCACCCCGTCTGATTGTTGCTCGGGACCCAATTGGAATTACGACTCTATACTATGGTACATCGAGCAGTCATCCGGAGACCATGTACATCGCCTCGGAACTGAAATCGATCCATGAAGATTGCGATAACGTCCACGCATTCCCGCCTGGACACTTCTACGATTCCAGTCTTCCAGCAGACAGCCGTTTTACTCGTTACTACAATCCAGATTGGCTGCATGCTGACGCGGACGCGGGCCTTCTCAGCCGAACCAAGCCAGTCGATCTTACCCTTATCCGGTCCACTCTCGAGGCTGCCGTCAGAAAACGGCTGATGAGCGAGGTGCCTTTCGGTGTTCTCCTGAGTGGGGGACTGGACAGCAGTTTGATTGCAGCGATTGCCACGCGCGAGATCCAACGGATCAATGAGGCGTATGCCGTGCAAATCGGCAAGGGCTCATCGCCTGTTGTACCCAAAAATCAAGCGATATCCTCCGGGTTGAACTCGGACGGATCACTTGCTAGCAGCTTGCCAGGTGTCGAGGAGGAAGTCACGGTCGATTCAGAGTCTAGCCTTGCATCCTGGCCCCGATTGCACTCCTTTTCTATCGGCCTGAAGGACGCTCCTGATCTCATCGCCGCTCGTCAGGCCGCCGAATTCCTACACACCCTTCATCACGAGTTCACTTTCACCGTCCAGGAGGGTCTGGATGCTATCCCTGATGTGATCTACCACCTAGAAACGTACGATGTCACCACCGTCCGAGCATCCACACCGATGTATCTCCTCTCTCGAAAGATCAAAGCCACCGGTGTCAAGATGGTTTTATCCGGAGAAGGATCTGACGAAATCTTTGGCGGATACCTTTACTTCAGTCAAGCACCCGATAAACTCAGCTTTTATCAAGAGACTATCAAGCGTGTTAAAAACCTGCACACTTCAGACTGTCTACGTGCTAACAAATCTACGATGGCCTGGGGCTTGGAGGCTCGTGTCCCATTCTTGGACAAGGAATTCCTTTCACTTTGTTTGAACATCAGGCCAGAAGACAAGATGTTCGGCAAAGGTGCTCAGCAATCTGTAGACTCTGATGGCAAACCAATCATGGAAAAGGTGAATCACTCTTCCCTTTTTTTCCTGCAAGAGTCTTTCATGGCCATCGATCGGCTGTTTGCTGAGTCTTTTTGGTCACTGTTACTTGTTTTAGTACATTCTGCGCAAGGCATTTGACTGTTCGCCGGACGGGAAGCCGTATCTTCCGGAAACGATCCTCTGGAGACAAAAGGAACAATTTTCGGATGGAGTTGGCTATTCTTGGATAGATGGACTCAAAGAGCATGCCGAAAAATTGATTACCGATGAACAGTTATCGTCGGCCCATAGCAGGTGGACTCTCGATACCCCTACGACCAAAGAAGCATATCTCATCCGCCAGATCTTTGAAAGTGAGCATCATTTCTCCTATATTTCGATTTCGATTTCTATCTGAGAGAACGCGTAGTCTCTCCCACGATACCTGAGCATCTTACTGATCAATATTTCACGCTCTTTTTTTCACCATCCATTATCAGAACATTTCCCATCAGAATCTGCCGCCAAGACCTCGGTCCGCTGGATCCCCAGGACCGATTGGGGGTGCGACACTGATCCCAGCGGGAGAAGCGTGAAAATCCACACATCTGCTTATTGAAAAACTTGCTTGACGTACATAGGAATCTGTTCTCAAATATGTCCATCCACTGCATGTCTATTGAATCGAATATTCGGAAAAATGAATCACATCTTCTTGCAATCTGATGCCCACAGTATATCAATCTATCTTACTCAAAGGGGTTGTGGCTGGACGGGACCCTTTCAATTAGATTAAACCGCCACTGATCTAATGTCTTCCAAGAAACTATGATCTCTTTTACTCATGAATTGTGAGAGAAAAAGATTAGAGGGTTGTGGGTAATGTTGTTGGGTGGCGTGGCTTCACTGTTCCACTTTCGATTCGCACATGGCACTCAGCATGGCTGCTTTTGACATATGATACCTTCACCACTCTTGCTGACCACCAAGACTTTGTCCTGAGACGCTTTTTTTGTGTCAATCATATCGTGTCAAACTTGAAACCCAGCAGGCCCATAGGCGCAAGCCGCAGGGCCCTTCTCAGACGCCTAGGTGTAAGCTCAGTGTCAATCATAGGAGCATCACTGATGATGTCTAGAGCAATCTGACTTCCCTCCGCAGAACATGCGCTGCACCATCCCGTGACCATATCTGAACCAGAGTTTCCTTTCAATAAACGAACATCATCCCACGTGTTGTGCATATATTCTTCTGTGTAATGTTGTGAGCACTGAATTTCCAGGGTTTTTTTCTAATATAATTCATCTTGGTAACTGAAGCAGGGGTCGAGTGTTTTACTGGACCACCCTCCATTTTTGGTGTCGCCTAAACTCCCATCAGGAGGATTGATGTGTAGCGCATCAATCAATACATTTCAACCACAGCTTTCATCATGTCACCTTGTGTTTCTTCTTGACTGCAACAGGGGTAGCCGAGCAAGACTGGTCGAACGACCACCAAGTCCCGACCAACAATGATGTATTAGAGAGTAAAAGGACAGTCGAGGAGATGGATGTCGAAGGGAAGACGTTCCAGCTATATTCAATTGATAGCATTAATAAGATCCTATACAACGAGAGACAATGTAAGCGCGCGTTCTTTTTTTTTCCTCAGGAGTTTCTGAATAGAACAGCAATCTAAGGAAATAGTTTGCTCACCGTAGAAAGATAGGATAAGGGGTTTGCCACGCCAGGAAGACGATTTGATGAGCATACCAGCTGTAGAATTGATAATGTAATGTTCTCGCACAGATAATCCCAATTAAATTGGATGTGAAACAGACTTTGACGATATCTGAAAGGCCAAGAGAGCAAGCATGAATGTCAGGTTCCTATTCACCCTAGGACGGAGATGCGCGCAGATGACTGACAATCGGGTGTTAGTTGATCAGGGTGGATCGCTGCTGGGCGGTTCCAATTTCGCAATCCCCTGACTAGGAGTGAGATCAAGCTGTCCCCTCGGGATGCGCGACTCCATCTAGTCCATGCAAACCAGACAAGGGTTGAGAGATGAAGGAGGGTGAGTGAGCTGGCAAAGCCAGACGATAAGAAGGTGCTTTGCGGGACCATTCGCCAGTTGACTGTCCATTGATACTCAAACACCCGCTTGAACTCGAACGCCTTGCTCAGATATTCTCGAGGAAATTCGAGCAGAAACGGGATTGCTAACCATGCCTATGTATGCAGATAAAAAGGAAAAAAAAGAATATACTTCAATTAACCAGGGTGCAAACACGAGACGCATCTTTTTCGGACTGACTTGTACAAGTACTATAATTAGCATCAGGTTGATGGTTTTTAGAACACCGACAGTTTGAAAGTAGATAAATCCGAGAGCTGGAAAAAATAGAAGTATGTTCATCTTGATCGATAGAGCCAAACTATTACCGCAACGAGTGATGTGAGATTTGGAACAGCGCATGATCGAACAGATTGGTGTAGTTTATTTTACTCACCTAAACCACAAAGCAGACCAGTTCCATCTTTGAGTAACCAAGCACCAGATGCTGACGTATAGACCCATCATGGCAATCCCATCGTTGAACAGTCTCAAGACATAAATTGAATGCATTCGTTTGGATAGGATCAAGCTGAAAATAGCGTATGTTGGCAGCTGGCGTAGTCCAAATTAAACAGAACGGCATCAGAAGGTCTTGAGTATCATTTCAATCACATCAAAAACCCGGCCATGGATGAGCTTACAGATTCACAGCGTTTATATATAGCCAACACAAACCCCATGGTGATCAAATAAATGGCCCCAAACAGATATTGCGCCAGTTTCACATCTTGTCCCTGTTGAGTGAGAGAATACAAGACTGAATAAACGTGGACAAAACCAGCTGGATAACTAGAGAATCAAGACAAAAAAAAGTAGGAGTGGATTAGGAATAGAGACCGGTCAGAAACGTTTGGACTGACTTCAAAAAGCTTTCGGGGTTACATTGAACCACATTCTTTCCATCCGCCAAAAAAAAAGATCCTTTCGCGTGATATTGACGCTACGTGTGGCATCGTTACATTTTTTTTTATCTTGAGAAAAGGTGGGGAAGGTAACCATCTGACGAATGATACTACTATGAACATTGGCATGCTCACACTAGGGGACCCGTATCGCCTTTCAACTTCAGATAATTCCGCTCTCCAAGCGAATAACTGCGGATTTGTTGCATGTACGCAATCCAATCAATTTCGGTATCTAACGAAAAAATCATTTGGAAGAAAAAAAAAACCAATCCAAATGTCAATTTTCTCGGTTTCAAGAAAAGCATTCTTTCACAAGAAACATTGGAAGATTGGAACTTACATCTCACATACTTGATGATTGCGGTGTTGAGGACAAGTTCGGATAGAAGGACCAGCCCGGCGATCAGATCGTATTGTTCTTTGCTGACGAGGATCCTTCTGCAGTATTTGAGCGTGGCCTTGAGGTGATCGGACATTGATGGAGAGGAGAATGGATAGATGTGTGGAGGCAGATGTATGCACTCAGAAACAGATCCTGGTGATACAGCCACTCGGACGGCAACCGGGGGGGTGGTACTTCGATCGGGGACAGCCCGAGCTTGACCGAATCCCAAGGAACAAAGAGACACAGTATAACACATCAGACCTGCTCTCTTTTCTAATTACTCATCTTCAGTATCTTGGGGGATGATTACTGCTCTGTGGACATGACTGGATTTGGAGTTTCCTCAGAAGTGCATGTATCAATGAGAAAACCTGAGAGAAGTATTGCACCATTGCCTTGCAGACCAACATTTGGGCACCTCTTCAAGAATCTAGAAGATTGATTGATTGATCATCCGCTTGACAACATTTCTTCAAACAATCAGTCTCAAGATGGCTTGACTCGAACATCGGCTATAATCAAATACTTGCATAATAAGCCCTTTCGATTAGTCCATGGATTAACGGTTTGTCTGTGATGCTCAACCTAAAGATCAGTTTGACTTCTAAAAGATCTTTTCCACCATTTATCCATCCTTATCATTTCGATACAGAAATTTAATGACGTTGGCCTGTTGCAGTGGATTGTTCAGCCACTTTCGCCAATTAATGTGCCACAGGTCTAGTGGACCAATTCGCACAAGACAGACTACGTTTCAAAGCTCCGCATTATTATTCCCATCCAAGCCCACCAGATAATCAAGAAGCATTTTCTTTGCAAGGGTTTTTCTACGAGGCTGGTATAATCTGATATCAGTACTCATTGTCAGTCTGCTGGAACGATTGTAAAACATAAGCAGCCATGATATTTTATTGCAGAGTTTTTTATTGGATCCCTTATGATGGACAAGCCCTAGCACACCACAAGCATTCATCTTCATGATCTCGTCGAATCTCACCTGAACTGTAATCAATGAGGGCGAGTTCACTTAACATACAAAGCATAACTCAAATGGCTGGCAATGATTTCAATTACATGCCTAGAATTTCAGATCGGGGGTGACTTGGTATTCACATGATATACAATGGCGCAGTACAACATGCACAATCAGATCCACTCTGGCCAGTTGCTAGTTATGTGTGAGGCGATCGTTCTAGGTATTCATTTCGACATCTGCATGATCATTGTTTGTACCATCTGTTGATCCAGGCAGCCAAAATGAAAGCTCAGTTGCGGCCGTCGCCAGCATCCCTAGACGAGGGTTGAAAGCAACGCATCTGGTCGGATTGCCCAAGTGACCGTCGTAGATTTTGAGTGGCTGCCAAGTGGCGTGCGGACTTTGGGGGGCACGCATCGCATGGATCGGGTCGTCCTTGGGTGGCTGAACGTCCCACACAGACACCTTCCCATCCGCGCTTCCCGAAACAACGTATCGACTGTCTGGCGTCCATGTGGTTTCTTCCGATGATCCAGATTGCCCAGGAATCATCGAATCTAGGGGCGGCGCATATCCAAGTCCCTGGTGACCTGTTGATCCAAGAAGCCCAAGCTAAATGTTCAGCCAAGCTATGCGGTTAGATACGGCAGAATGTCGAAATACCTTCTAGCCGCGCCAAGATATCACCATTGAATGCGTCCAACACGTAATGAACATCGCCTGCTGTCCCAACCAGAAGCTTTGATCCATCATTGGAGAACTTGAGCGAGGTGAACAAATTGGGTGGTGGGGGTGGATAGGAGATTCTAGCCAGTACGGGATCTTCGATATGCCTTGCGATGAACGGCTCCTATGAGTAGGAGGAAGGATGAGTAGGTTTAAAAATTGTGCAACTGATCATGTAGTGAGATCAGAAACAAGACAAACAGAATCGAATTCTCGTAAATCATATAGTAAGATGGTTTGCTTCATATTCAGTGCGATTGCAAAGACCAGACCAGATGGATCAAACGCGACGCAAGGTTGACCAGCAATGTTCAAAACTCCCTAGATAGTTCAGTGATGGAAATTTGGAATCAGCCAGAAGCAAATGAGCTTAATGTGGTGTACAACACATACCTGGCATGAAGGCGATCGTAGATCCCATAATCGGACGGTGTCGTCAGTAGAGCCAGATAACACCGTATCATCGCGCGGGGACATTTCCAAGGATACTACCCTTTTTTTTTGGCAGCAAAGTATCAAAAACTTCTCAGCGTGTTTCTTGTATTCATATCGCCAAATGCAACTCACCTTCGTTTGTGTCCTTTAAAATATCGAATATATGTGTTATCATGTAAGGAAAGGTATCGAATCGTGTCTAGTAAGGTTCATGAAGGGAAAACAAATTGTGTAGCAGAGTTAGTCAACGCCTGTTCCTAGTGTTCGATTCGGGAAGCTTGCTAACCATCTTCTTTTGTTGATGCGTGGACGACGGCCGATGATTTGTGAGTAAACCGGGCGAGGGAACAACCGTACTTCTTAGAGAACGCCTGTTTCAGATGTCTGGTGGAATGTAAACAAATCAGGACAATCGATATTCGATCAGATACTCAAGATCAAGTGAATTAAGCCGCACTGCTTGCTTACTTTCCATTGCGAGCTCCAAACAGTTGCAAGGTCTCATCCTCGGCGGTGGTGATCAAGTGCTCGCCGCGATCGTCGAAGGAGATTGAAGTGAAGGAGGAGCCGGGTGCATTATGGGTTCTGAAAATCTTGGCCATCTTCAAGCTACTCTGCAACAAAACCACCGATCTATCAGCTCTCGACTTGGACTGGTCAAGCAAGACGACCACTTGGATCCGAGGTGACGATGGAAAGAAAGTATATACCATCAACTCTGGTGTTAATAATACTTTGGGTGGACCGCCGCCGCCGGATGTTGTTTGAGCCGAAGACATTCTCGGTGCTCGTAAGCTTTTTTTGCTTTTGCTTGGTGGTTTGTTGGGGGTTGTGTACACTGAGAGTGAAGCAAGGATGGCCGGATTGGTACTCTGACGATGGGCCGAGCACAGGGCCCAGGGGAGGCCCATCCGGGATGTCGGCCCTGTGACATCTGTGCACCACTGCGGCCCCCCTGAGCCCGGCGGGCCGGCAGGACCATAGGAAATGGAAGAATCACATTCAACTCCGTTCTTTCTTTACGGCGTGCTCAATCTGGAGCGTGTCTTCAGCTATGTAGACCGAGGCTCAGGGTGACAACTTGGGGCGCAGGTTATTGCGGTAGCGAACCTGAATAGACTGATGCCTTCAGACGAGTCTTCCTCATTGTTGTGTTCCAACAGAAAAACGGGCCGAACCGAGTCTTCGGCAAGCGCGCCGAAGCTGCCGAATCACTCCGGGATGTCGGTGCCGAGCGGTGCCGTGGCCCGTCGGCCTGTTAATGTGTAGATTCACCATCCACGACGACAGCCCTCGCCTCATTTCCTCAACCATCGAAAACCATCAACAAGATTTCGGCCGGAGCGGCTTAAACCAATGAGCAGCCGAGAGCAGCTGATGTACAGACTATAGTTCATCATTCATGTGGATTGGTGCTAGTTCCACCCATCCCATTCCCAGCCCTGAGAGGCCCTGAGCCGGCCAAACAAACCCAAACGCACACCATGTACCCACTCGCACAAGCTGAATCGCCCTGCCGGCGTTGTCCGATCGGGCTTGGTTTGGAGGCTGCGTGGATGGTTGGACTGTGGACATCGACAGAAGATGGCACATCGACATCGACCAACCGCGCGCCTCTGCTGTATGGTATCTTCAGTGGTCTGTACCACCGCCCCAGCTCGATACATAGATATATCCGTATAGCCAACCTTGGATTCCTGATATTCTTGAAGAGGTTGTCCTTGATCCCCAATCCTCACTTCCTCACAATCCTTCACTTCAACCTTCTTGCAGACCAGTTGAACGCTATACCTACGATTTAAGCGGAATAGCCATGCTTAGACGTGAGTGTGAATGGGCCGTATCTTTCGCTTGGTAGAAGCATTTGACTATCTTCAAAGTGTCTCATACTGATCCTGCTTGGTTTGTCGGTTGGTCTCTTTTATAAGGATCTTACTCTCGTCCAGATCTCGCCCATTCCCGGCCTGGAATCGTCGAACGAACGGGTGGCAGCTATGACTTGGGTAAGTAATTCTCGACTTCACTTTTCCCACTGGCCAATTGGGTCAACTCACAGGAAAACTGAGCGCAAGTTAGTTATTGATCTAACACTTGCATATGTAGGCGGTACGTGGCGACCAGCAAACTATGGGCCTTACACGCTTCGTTTCAACAATCACGCATACGATCGCAGCCTTCATGCGTGTTACTATAACCTAGAGGATGGTAGGTTTCGTTGGATTCACCCGACCTCTGTACTGCTTTAAATAAGCTACCCCCGTTCAATCTATTAATAACTGTTCATAACCGCCTCGGGGAATATCCACAAATCTAGATTACTATGGCTCTTATGGCGATCTCCTTGAATACGAGGTACGCAACCCTGAAATTTCAGGATGTGGTATATCATTTTATTCACAGCCTTGTTTTCCCAAACCTGGATCGCTTTGTCACCACGATTTCTATAGGCAGCCTTACGAATGAACCGACAGCTTACTGAGCAAGAACGTTTGCGACGCTGGCGAATGCGAATGGCGTTCGAAGAGCTAGAAGAGGCTGAGCGAATGCGACGCTACCGATCGATGGCCCATGTATGAGATCTTGCCTGCCTGTAAAAATCATTATATCTTTGCAAGTGCTGATACCGCAGAGCGTGTTTGCACAGACCGATCGCTTGCTTCTCGGCCTCTCCGATCACTCCTGGTGGGGAGAGCGTTACGGGAGCCACCCTTTTCATCACCGCCCAGACTGGCGCAGCCGGTTTGCAAACAAGATCCGAAGATGGGACTCTAGCTTCCTCCCACTTTCATCCTCTCTCAGTAATCGTTATGCACCCGTTTGGGGCGACTCGGGCAGTCTTGCTCTCAACAACGGCCGACATTTGGACTCGCAATTGCGCTACGCTCAGAACGGCTTCCATAACGATCATCTCTTGGATGCAGAACGCCGACTCAATCAAGACATCCGATACCAAGAACTTAACAACGCCGAAAGAAGGCTCGAAAATCAGGAAGAGTACCTTCGAGATCGGGTCGAAGATAATATCCTTCACGATCGAGAGAGAGCCCTGGAGAGCCAGATGATGGATAATGTGCTATATGAGCAAGAACGGAACTACGACAGAGAGTTGATGTACGATCAGGACCGCCGTCTAGACCGGCTCGAAGGCGAAGAAATGCTATACGACCAAGAGAGAAGATTAGAAAATCGGCTGGAGGACGATGAGCTTTATCGTGCGGAAAGACGTTTGGACGACGATGCACGCTACCTTGAAGGGACTGAAATCCTAGATTCCGATTTGAGAGACCCGGTCATGGTTGATTACGATAGATACCCAGACATGCAGATGGGTCTCGAAGATGACTTGGCAAGAAGAGAAATGGACGATGATTATCTCGAAAGGGAAAGGCTGGAGCGTGACTTGATGTATTGAGAGGTGTCGATATCCACAAAACTAACTACAGAAAGTCGAAAACAGTCCTACAAATCACTCTCAACCTACCATTAACTTGCCAGTCTATTGATTAGAACGAATGTAGAGCGATTGTTGCACATAGTCTCCAGCAATTCCTGGCTGAAAAGCATTTTCTCTGGTCATTTCTGTATGTACTAATAGAACCAGCTCTTGATTTTGTGGAGTGTTTGACTTCAGGGAGGTGACTGAGAAAGTGACCTGCCACTCTGTTTGGCTAAAAAAAAAACCTATGTATTTCTTTGGTTACAATCAGATATTCCGATGTTATCCTGTTTCACTGTTTTGCATTTCAAGTACAGCTCTCATTATGTAACATTCTAGGAAGCTTCTCAGATTGAATCCAATGACCAGGCAGGTGTTCACCAGATCTCAAACTCAGCACCACTAGAAAAATGTGCTCCACTGGTGCCAGCTGACAGGCAATATTATCAAGGCACATTTATGTCATGAGTCCCTCTGTGATATTGCATGTTAACTGAAGTCAGGAGAGAGAGGTTTTTCAAGCAAAAGTGTAGGCTTGACTGAATGCATGGCTGATAATGTCAGGGTTATAAAAGTGGCGACTCAGAATTTCAAGCCAAATTTTACAAAGAAAAGGGCAAATCTCAGATGGATAAAAGCTGCAATTGTTAACCAGAGGACATCTCAGACAATGATTGCAGATTGTGAGAAGAGAAGAGAAGCATCAGTGCGACCACTACACTAGTTTTTCAGCTAGCTTATAAGTGTAGTTGCAACTTGCAGCCACTACACTACACTTGTAATTGTAGTGCTTGTCACACTACAGTTACAGCTGACCAAAATTTGGCAAAGAGAGTGGATTTAGCTGTGGTGGGCCCTTAATTAGCTATAAGCTAGCGTAGTTGAGTGTTAGTGAATTTCAGTGGGCTTCCACTAGACTGAAACCAAAGGTCTGTAAGCTAGTGGCTCTCAGCTACACTGATGTTAGTTTACTTAGTGTAGTTTGTTGCACTGTTGAGAGAAGACAGGAAATCTCATGTACAGAGTGCTACAAGAGAATGGGAAAGCCCAAGGGGAGGGGGATAGTAGTGACACAGTCTTGGTAAATGAAGCTTTATTGGGAGAGGGAACTCACTGGGAGCAAGGATCATTTGGTTCTAGTGTACAAGATGCCAGCCCATCCTCACAAACCAGAAATCATGTGATTATCTTAAAACTGTTTTGTTGCTGGTTTTCTTTCTCCCCAATTTGCTGCATAGTGATCTCTGAGTCTTCATTTTTTGCCAAGTAGATTTCCAATAGTTTCAAATTGGCAGAAACTTGACCTTCAGGTTGTCAGATTTCCAGAAAACTGGTAGCCTTCCCACTGGCAGCCAGTGTGACATCACTTACCTGAGTCAGCTTGCAACCACACACCCTTGACTAAAAACTACTGATGCACACAGAGCTGCTCAGTAGCATCTGATTATGGCCCCAATGTATGCAATGGGACTGGCTGGAGATGACCCAAGTTTGCCCGGGCTAATTGTTAAATAATTTACTTCAATGATTATGGCAATAACCAGCCTCCACTCAAAGCCATGGTCAATAGCCATGTCTGTTACTTTAGTCTGCAAAAAAAATGTTGCTTAGTTCACTCACACTTTTGTGTGATACACAAAGACTAAATTTGGAGATGGATTGAGCTGGTGGTGACTTATATCCGCTGAGCCAGTTTCAGATCAGGCCAAATCCAGCCTTCCCTGTGACCACTCTAGCCATGGTTTAGAGAATGAGGAACAGCCAGCTTGTATGGTGCTTTTCAAGAGCCGCAGGAATGATTCACCTAACTGGCAGTGTCCAAAGACAGATGCCACACAAAGAAATGCCCCAAAGTTTGGTGTTCTTCTTCTTTTTGGCTCTTTAGACACAAGATGAACGTTTACAGAGCTGAGTTAAATTCCAGAAAAGCGAATACAGGTTTAGAAATAGTAAAGATGAGGTGAGAGTGGATTTTTCTTCAAACGAGTCTTGATGAATCTGAGGATTGGGGTGGCGATGAGGTGAGTTGCGGTAGATCTTGATTTGATGATGATGATGATGAATGATTTTGTTTTTGTTTGCGTTCTTCTCTGAGCTGTTTGAAATGTTCTAGTTCTTGTTGTAGCTCGGAGCGATTCCTGGGAGGGGACTGTTTGATACCACCGATAAAAACAATCAATTTACCAGCAACAACAATAAAAGCAAGCCCCAGAGAGGAGGGGATCAGTTTTGGACACATGCTCCGTGATAATAAAAAAAAAAAATGAGATGGAAAAAAAATCCTAGGGGTTACTCAACGGGTGCCATCTTATCTAGTTTGAGGAATTGAGATCTGTCGGGCAGGACGTATTTGTGATACCAATCCGGGTCCCCATAATGGACCATGACGAGGATCGGGAAGAAGACGTACATCTAGAACATGGATAGCCAGTGATATTCGATCAAATATATGTTGTTGTTTGTGGAGAAGAAATATTGGTTAAGTTTTCAAGCATTTTGATCAGGAGAAGATGAGGATGTAGGATGTAGGAAGGGGACTGACTCCGAATTTGGCTAGCTCTAGATTCGGACCGGCCATGATCGACTTGTTTGGATGGAGAAGAAAAAAACGATTTCGGGAAGACGCTTTCGTTTTTTTTGTTTCTCTTGTTCTTTTTCCTTCTTGCAGATGAGCTTCTTTGATGTTTCTTGGATGATTATGTATCGTGATCGTATTTAAACCATTTGAGATTCGAGTTTGAAGATCACACTATCTTGGTTTTGAGAGGGTTCAGTGGAATCCGTCTGGTCGAGAGGCTGGTTTGGGAATGTTGAGAGTACAACCTTGGAGATACAGTCGAGGGAACAGTTGAAGGGACCGATCTGAGCCGATTGAGTGAAACTGAGGAGAACGGTACAGAATGCGGGAGCTACATACCGAAATCAGTAACAAAAGAAAAAGGAAAATGCTCACCCAGTTGGTACAAAGGTCAGCCAACACAGCAGAGAACCCAACCAAGAACCCAACCATCAACCAAACAACCCACCAACATCAACATCAACATCAACCTCAAACGGAGAAGAACAACAACTACAACTTATCATGATCATCTCACCCATCGAATGGAGGGAAGAACCTGGAGTAGAATTCTGGACTGCCAACGTAAGCTGAACCATCAACCATCAACAAGAAAAACAATCACATAACACAACCAAGACAAGCTTATCATCACCACTTCCTCACAGTACAAGTTCGAGTGGACATTCGAGAACTGCACCAGAGAACTACTAGAGAACTCACCAGTCAAGCTACTCTCAAGACCATTTGGTGATAACCGATGGCAGATCTCAGTCGGAACGATTGCCAAAACACCGGGTAAGGGAAAAACAAACAAACAAACAATTCATTATGACAGTTCCATTGAACCAACACCCCCCCTTCTCCACAGGCTATCTTGGCGTCTTCCTCGGAGCTGCTCAGGATATAGAACTCTTGACTTCAAAAACTTGGATCAGACGATGTGAGAGCTGTACAGCTACCGTAAGTGTCACTCCTTTCTCACACCAAACTGAGATCCTGCACCAACACTCACATCTTTTCACAATACCAACCTCTCATCACTACAGCTCGGAACCCCTTTGTCTCGAGGGGCCTATGGGATGAACAAGAACATCTCTGGTGGTTATACCTTCAATGCTGGCCTCGAAAGTCGAAGAGGTCAGGCGAAGTATATCAAGCTTGATAAACTATTTATGGACCCTGCCTTTATCATCGAGGTTAGCCTCCACTCATCCCCATCGACCATTAACCAGCTGATCATAGCTTACTCATACTCATGAAAACTCCTGCACCAATAGAAAGCCCTGTTTGTTGAAGTCACACTGTCTGAGCGACGACGAACAACTCGTGAGTAATCGGGTTGGATCGAATACAGCAGCAGTATACGGAACCTGACAGATCATCATACATCCTAAACAAAAGAACCATCTCCATTCGGTGACATCCAACGCTTCGCAGGCAGATCAGCCAGATTTTCTACGCTCTTCGACGACCCGGAATGTTCGGATGTCTGTTTCGTGTTCCCTAAACGAAAAGGCAAAGGCGTCCGAACGATTTACGCTCAGAAATACATTATCCGATCGCTGCCCTACTTCAACACTAGTTCGGTTCCCCCTCATCCATCCTTGAAAATTTGCGATCGAGAGGTTGGCTGACTAGTCTTGTCTCTATAACAGTGTTCGAGTCTGGATTTCTTGAAAGTGGCGAGACTCACAGTCAGGCCGACTCTGTCGAGGCTGGCGAAATCTCTCTCTCTCCTGCGTTGATGCAGCTCGAAGACGTCTCCAGTCCAGGCTCTACTTTCGCCGGTCAACTGGTACCAGAGGGATCGACGACGGCCTCGATCGCTGATGATTCTGCCATGACGGACGGCCCAAGCGTCTTGCTTGATGGGTCCACCTACGATGAGGATGACTCGGATTTCGAGTTGGATGATTTAGATGACATAATGCGAGGAGTACAGCAGGCAGCAGATCATGTGAGTGTTTCAAGAAAACTTACTTCAATCACCTCTTCCCCCCTCTCAACTAGTTTCGAATCCATTCCATCTGCTATTGCAATCCTGCCTCGATCGACTGGACTTTCATTTGATGCTCTATCCCCAGCAATCATTCCACCCACGTTTTCCTCTGACAAGAGGACTACTAGCTTCATTCTCTACCCATTTAATCTCTCCTCCCTTCAACGCGCTCACCCGCTCATTGAATGTTTTCGATTTCACCATCTACCACTACCACCTGCTCCATTCCACCCCCTCCCAAATCCCCCCTTCCTGCCCCTGCAAATGACTAAACAAAACCCAAGCTCACCCTCGCCGATGTTGGTAACTTGTCCGACGGTCAACAATTCCTTGGACCCACGACGGCCGATCGACCTTCAAAGAAACGAAGGATATCTCAACTAGCTGATAAACAAAATCAAGCCGACGATGACATCGAGGTGGATGATGTGGCTCCCAAGAAAGGGATCCATCGAGTTACCATCACATCTACTCCCTACACGACATACCGGGCGCTACTCTTGTACATTTACTCCAAGTCAGTGTGTCCCTTGCGATGTATCATTGGTCAACATTTCCTGAAACTTTTTTTTCTCAAATCCTTCTTTGTCTTAGCTCAATCGCCTGGGCTCCGTTGCGATCCAATTGGTTGGTCCACAAACAAAGGATGGAAGCCAAAGGTCGCTCGCCCGGAAGAAGAGCGGCGTTTGTGAGGGAACATGCGGTGAAGTTTTCGTTGGCCATGGAGATGGACGAGCTTCAGCCTACATCACCCAAGTCAATGTTTGTCTTGGCTGACAGTGAGTTTCGAATACCTCGCGTCGTTCACTATGTTCGAAGCTGACCTATCCTTTTTTTTTTCTGGCCCCTGAAAATGTTAAATAAACAGTGTTACAATTGCCAGAACTTAGACAAGAAGCGTTAGATCAGTTCATGAGGTCTCTTCAAGTCGATAATATCTGTATCGAGCTCGCTAGTTCTTTTCTTGGAAAGTATGACCGGGTCCGCCAACTAGCGTTTGAGTTTTTGAAGAGTAATGTGAGTAAATTAATCCTTGGTAACCCCACAAAGTGTGCCAGTCAGCTCATAGTGAATAACTCAATTTAAATGACAATTTTCGCTTGGCTAGTGGGTGAGTACATTCCTCTTTTTTTTCAAATGAAAACTCTTCCAATCTTGCGTATACTGAAACGGGTGCATGAAAACAAATGTGATCTTTGTCGATTAGAAATCGGTCATCCAAACCCACAGCTTCACGCTCCTGATGGACGAAGGATTGAGCAACGTGTCAGCGGCCGTTCGGACGGACTTCCAGAAGTTATTCAAGTGTCTTGACGTGTCTCCGAGCCCCAGCTCGATCAAACAACAGACTAACAATCACAATAACAACAATAACAATAATGGGGCCAATAACCCTAACCCAGCCGCTAACCCCGCTGGTCCCGCTCACAATCTGCATATCCGCCAGAATGGGTTGAATCCTGCCTTTCCTCAAGGAAATAATCCCGTCCAACTCATCCATCACCCCAATGTCCACTACCCTCGCCACCAGTAATCTGACGTCTTTCTCTCTCCATCACTTGTGGATAATCCTCTCTCACCAATCTCTTCTAAACATATATAATCTCTCTCTCTCTCTCTCTCTCTTTCCTTCCATGCCATTTATTGTGGATCGATCTCGCTTCTTAATACCGTTCATCCTGCTCTCCTTCTAATATATCTCTCATTTGTGACACATTTACTGTTTTTCTTTGATGTACATTCAAGTGGGTTTTCATTTATCTTTCTTTGGGTGGGATTGGCACAGGGCGGGGTGGACGATGAGGAATGATCAATGAACGAAGAATGCTGCTCCTGTGTCCGCGATTACAAACATCCTTATTATTATCATTAGGCTCCTTTTTTTGTGTTTGTTTGTTTGTTTATGTGGGTGGGTATGTAGTTTTGTTGAGATCATTCAGTGTATGTAATTTGTAAATATGTTGATTATGTTTATAAAACTCAAAAAAATTCATTATAATTTCTCCTTAGGTATCAATACTTTCACATAAGATAATTGGTTCACAGCCAAAACTGTGAAAATGTTTTCAGTGTTTTCTTGAAGTAGTTCCACTGATAATGTTGGTGCATGTCATCTTCTCGTTAACCATAGTCTTATCACATGCCGTATGGTGAATCCAGTATTCAAATTGATAAAAGTTGAAACCATAAAATTTCTATAGAATAGAAAGATTCAAGACCATGTAACGATTGATTAGAGTTCTATCCAAAGACATGATAGAGGTGTGTCTAAGTACCTACTGTGGATATTGAATTGAATACAATTAAGGTGTCCAAAGTTAAATATGTAAACATTTATGCATGCATAATTCATAAATTGTTTTTAAGGAATCTTGACAATCTGATTGCACGGTTCACAATAGCCAGTCATCATTTTAGCTGTAATCAGCAAATCATTGATACTCAAAAACACAGCCATCGTATTCTAGAATCCCCCAGATTATTCCAGATACATCCTAAAAAAATATCCCTCTAGTATCAGCAACTTTTGACAAGGTGATCAGCCATTGGAACTGGCTTATAATAGGCTAATTATGTTATCTCATCCAATTGTCAAGATTCCCTGCAAAAATTTGTTGGATGTGCATGCATAAATGCCTGCATATTTAACTTTGAACAACATAAATAGAACAGTCAAGAAAAAGTATTGGAAAATGGAAGAGTTGCAGTTTTTGATTGAGGCAAAGATGTTGGCTTCTACTACCTGGGAGCTGCCCAAGTCTACAAGCGTGGGCTAAGACAATGCATCAGAGCCTTCTACTGACTTTCCAATAACAGTGGTGGATACTCAATCTTTCCCACACTTTGTGCTTCTAATCATTCTTTTGACATGGCATACTATTACTAGTCAATCTGATTTTTTCTTTTTTTTTTCCCTCATGAAAAAAGTACTATTTCCTCAGAATCACAACAACATGAGCAGAAATGTTGGGAGTTTTTTTTGGGTTTTAATTTTGCTGTCTTGTTGTCAGATTCATTCTGTGGCACTGAGAGTGGAACCCCATTTTGCATATTTTCACCAATCCTTCAACAACACAAGTCAATCGTGTTGAATTCTGCATTGCAAAACAGCAACAGAAGAACCTTGGTCAGCTACATAGCTATTCTGCATTACAGACAACTGAATATATAGTTACACCCTTTTGCAATAAGCTTTGAAACAACATTTGAAAGCAGCATGAAACCGCACCTCCCAGTGTCCAAACATGGCAGCAACTGCTTCTCTGGTCTGGTATATTCTCAATGTCCTGTCCCAACTCAATAGAACTCAACCCTCTCTTGCTGTGGTATCCAGTATTGTTGCCATCAACACCAGGAAAAAATAATGGTTATTGGATGGCAAGTGATGTGAGCTTTAGCATGCTAGCCCTTGACATTGCATATCCAGCTCAGCTTTGTCTCAGCCCCCTGTAGCACACATGCTTGTACTTGATGTCACCTGCTATCCAGTCAGCATTGATTTTTCTTGGTGTAACTATCAAAATGGCTTCACTTCCTTTTTATTTGAGTATCCAACTGGTTCAGGAAAAGTACAAGTCAACAGTCAACAGTTCTTCAACTCCTTCTCCCAACCGGCTCGTGGGTTTTTGTTCGATCAACCACGCCTACGGGAGATAGTGGGTGATAAGCTGCATAACATCAACAGAGTCTTGGGATTGAGGGGACCGAATGAAAGGCACCCGCAATCTGCGGTAGTTTTTGCAGTTTCCCAGACTGTTTGCTAAGTTCGCAGTGTGGAGTGTTTGTACAAATTCTTTTCTGTCGGACGAAACGTTACTGAAGCTTTGATACCAAAGCAGCCGACTCGCCTGGATGCAATCACATTAATGTTACTCCAGCCGCATGGTACCTACATGCTCGGTGCCCTGTGTGAGCCCTAGATTGCCCCCATCAGGATCGGTACATGCAACACACATCATAGGTGTAGCGCGCGTCCACGAGGGCCTTTGGCTTGTCAGTTTGACTTGGAGTCGCTGAGAGTCACGGGTTCCTGAATCTGTATACAAGCTGCAAACCGTAGGAAATTGAACAGTCAAATGGTTAGATTCGGAAAGTCAGAGAACGCACTGTGGATCCCGATGTGCGGCAGAGATGGGTTAACCTGTTACTTTAGGCGTGGATCAGGAAGCCCACCGACAGTGAAGGGGAATGATGCAAGCGCGGATCGGGCAAGCAAGCATCGACTGGGACTCCCAAAGCAGAGAGCCACAGTGCTGATTGGGCTCAACAGCCTCAACGTAATCGCTCTAGCCAGAAGACTATGTAGACAGCCCGAGCTTGACAGTCCGACTATGTAAGGCGGAAAACGTTCATCATCCACCCAACTGGACACAAGCACCAACACAAGCGCAGGCCGAATTATGACTTTTCGAGGATCCAGACATGGGACTGGCGCAGAAGATCGTGAGGAGAGAAGACAGCAGAGAGCGCAAAGGAGAAAACAGTTTTGGTTGTGCGTGTGTCGAGCTGATTACTATAACCAGGAAATCTCGGATCGGTAGCTTCTTGAGCCCTCGGGATCAGCGTAGGACCGAACAGCAGCAGACTCACCAAGCCATGCTGTCTTGTCTATGCCCTGGCCGGGATTACTGACTTGATGCTGTGCTTGTCCAACTATTTAGGCATTTCCTTCCGAACTCCGTCTTGCAGGAGAGTCCTACTACTACAAGCATCCAGACCCTATATTGCTCTGCATCGACAAATACCCAAAGATACCCCCATCTCTGCCTGTCCTTAAATTCGCGCTAGCAACCCTGCTCCCTTGACCAGCAAGCCCCACTTCACCCTAGTCCCGTTCTCAAGGAATATCGCATCTAGCAATACATCTCCTGAACTAGTCAGCAACTCCCTTTTCATGCAGACCCTGATTATAGGTCTGCAAGAGGACTGAAGGCGAAGGCATGAAAGCTTAAACCCACACATAATTTATAAAGATAATAGTTGTCAGACTGTGGCGCATCCAACGACGTACACTACTTACCGGCGTTTTCTAAAACTTTGAACCGTACGCCATCCCCATTTTTCCAGATGGGCAAGATTCTCGTTGCTGTAAGCTAACTTCAATATTTTACATTCCACATCCAGCACACACACAACAGGCCACCTCAGCGACATGGCCCACTCGAGCAGCAACAGCGTTCAGTATACTCACTTTCCAACTTATCGAAGGAGCTTACTCTTACGGCCTAGCATGACTCACTCATTTACCGAAAGCCATCTCTGCCACTCCAGTCCGCAGGAAGTCCATGGATTGCAAAGTCAACCGAAAGGACGGCCGACTCTTCTGCGCCCAAGCAAGCTTCAGCGAACCCCACTCAAGCCCTGTCTCTCGCCACAGTCACCAACCCCATCATCAATTTCGCGACATTCGAAGATTAAGGACTCAGAGAGCCGTCTAAGGAAAAACCTCTCAGACCTCGAAAGTAGGCTCGATGACTTGCACTCTCCTCGCGCCGCAATCAAGTCATCCTCCCCTTCACCATCACTCTCCTCCCTGCTCTTACCCAACTCGAGCAGAAAACCTCCCACCCTCTTAGTTGGCGAATCCCCAGAGAGGAAACAGCCCAGATTCGACAACGAGATCCTCGGCATCTTCCTCAAAAATAACGGCGGCTATCTTGACGACTCCGACGACTCCGACGACGACGAGGAAGACTCTCCTAACCGCCCCTCAAGATTCTCCTATCATGGCCCACACTTGAGTCCTCTGGCCGGACGGGTCAATCAACAGATCGCTGGATCCAGTCACACCAAGGTCCATAAGGTACGATCGCCTCGGCAAACGACCACCAGAGACACGAACAGACGCTCTTTGTCGATGAACGTAATCTAGAGCAGTATTATGCGATCCACCTACTGTCATGAAAACGTACATCAAACTCTTACCAAGATACATGCGACAATCACATTAAATTTCTTGGCTTGTTCTTCATTTATTTCTTTCATCCATCATAATCTACTTGTCCCATTTTTCTAATAAAGAAAAAAAAATATCTTGTACCAAATAATGCTCCCCCTTCTTTGAACTTGATTTCTGGGCTATGTACCTTTGTAGGATTTTCTTTTGTTGGACAGTTAATAATTCTTACAAGCAAATTGTTTATCATCTGCATTGGCCTGTTATATCTGAAGATTGATTCAAGTGTTGAGCCTCAATGATTTGAGACTGAGATTTCCAAGTCCAGAATCATCAATTTAAACGACGACACTTCTTTGAAAACAATCTGGAAAGGGGCAATCAATTTGTGAAAATTTTGTAGCAGAGAGCCAAAATGCCACTCACTAGACATCTGTGTCACCTTTTTTTTTCCCGAGCATGACACCACATATGCTGCTGAGTATCTCAATGGCAACACTCAAAAATCCACAGGAGCTCCCAGATGGATCCAAATCCATTTTGAAACAAGTGTCTGAAAATAAGACGGACTACATACACCATCATTCTTTGAATGCCCCTACTGCGGAGAATTATGGATGCAGCTATCATGATGCATTGCTGTTATTGTTTTAGACCTTATTCTGATTTTGCACACTTTCATCCACATTGAAAGTATTGCTATTGAAATCAATTCACATTTGAAAGCCAGAGTAAAGTCCTTTCAATCTGGCTTCGGGCCTATGATTCTGTTATAGGGTCTCTTAATGGACCTTTTCAATTCAAATGATAGATGTGCATGTATATTTTGTGGATTTTGTCCCAAATTCCTGAAAACCAGATAAATACACCCATCCAAATTAAATAAAAAGAGAAGAAGGTGAAAAACAAATCGGGAAAATGAAATGGATGCAGAGGTGTCAAAGTTGGCGAGGAACAGATCAGATGGGTAGACCGGCCCTCCGACACGCTTCGACGACGCCATGTTTGCGAATTTGTTTCTTGATTTCTTTGTGTCAGCAGGAGGGGAGAAGGGATCATGTCAGCAGACTTCTTTCTGGTATGCACGTTAACAAAACCGACTACTCGGAGCCAAAGCTTACTGGGATCACGACAGTCACACACGGGCAGATTGATGATACAGTCTGCTAAGACATCCCGAGGTAAAGTCCTGTTGGAAAAAATCCACCATCACAATTCAGAAAAAAAAAACCAATGACATCAATGATTTCGTTTTATTCGTTTATTGTTGGGGAAGGCAGATTAATATTTTTAAGGAAAGAATGACAGACAGGTTTTTATATGGAAACGGCTCGAATCCTCCGTATTTTTGTTGGCAAGTCCAAGAGGCGTTTGTCAGGAGTTGAGTCGAGTATCCGAACCGGTTCTCGATGGCCCAAGCGTTTGAGAACTCCATACTTTCTTTCTTTTCTTTAACTCGAATAATGTTGAACATACTTTTTTTCCGATCATCAAAGATCATTTGAAGGTCGGGAAAGAGTCCGGTGAAATAGTCAGACACTTCAGAAACAACACAGGATAATCCTTATGATCACTTACGTGCCCTGCCGGTCGCAGTACGATAGTACATTGTCACCTTCAAATGCTCCATCCTTTCCGTCTTTATTGCAGACCTCCTGCACAAAAAATCAATCACTCCGTAGCCAGTCAGTCATTGTGCCAGAGAAAAATTGTCCTTGAGACGGCCTGAGAGCACTGACCTGGCCGATGGTCACAAAAGCGTCCTGTAGAAATAGAAGGAGGGGTGGCTAAATTAGCAAGTGTTTCTTGAAGGATTTTACAGGAAATTCTTGATAGTGCGAGGAGTCTTTGGTGCTTACCAGGGTCCTCAAGATCTTGACTAGGGATATGGCGATGGTGACATTTTTGATGTCGTCCTCGACGATCGGCAGGAAGATCGACTGAATCGGCTTGATGTAGTTTCCGTTCCGAAGCTGGCCATAGATCCCTTTTTCGGTACTGATTCCTGACGTCTCGACAATCGAAGTCTCGTTGGAAAGTTTGGTCGTCAGGAGCTCCTCATATCCAGTCATCTGCTTCTCTAAGTGTGCCCACTGTGATATTCTCACACCCAACCCCATAGTCAGAAACATGATCTTAATGATATCATTTCTGAAAAAAATGGAAGTGAAGCATTCTTTCTTCTTCTCTATCTCAAGAGCGGCCACCAAGCTTACCAAGTTAAATCCCTCGCGTTGACGGCCCTCCGGTGGATCGGGAGAAGGGATCAATCCACCGGCGATAGACATAGCCGCGCCCATGATGTTGTTGATGATGTTAAAGGCGTCTCCGGTGGCGTCCTGAAAGTTGTGGAAGAGACTGAAGAGGTCGAGCAGGACGGTGTTCGAGCACATCGTCATTGCTCCGTTCACCCCAAAGTTCAACTTCATCCGGTCCAGCTGGTAGGTGTCGATGGCCGGAACTCTGGAAATGGCCAAGCTCACCATCAGTTTCTTCTCCACTTAGCTTTTAATTCTTCACCAGCCACTCATTCTCGCTGAATTTCTTCCTCTCTCTCAGGAGAAAGACTGCTAGTGCTGTATCTCAGGAAAATTGTGGGATTCTCTTGAAGACTCACAAGGCTGCAAATAAGGTGGCCATCGTTGCTAGAAGAAAGTTTCAAGACGGAAAAACCAATCGAAGGCTTTCTCAGACAGAACTCGTCTTCAAGTTCCGGTTATGAGGACTTACATTTCACAAAATTCATGGCGTAAGCGATCGCGGACCGCATGGTATTCATTTTGACGTTCCACTGTTGGACAGCAAACAAGATGTACCAATCCGGAGGGGCGACTGGATAACAAGGCTGAATCGATTAAAGACACATGCAAAGAAACAGGATCCACAAGTCATTTTCTGATCGGTAAGTCTTGTTATGGGTAGATCAAGCTGTTGGTTGGATTGGGGGATCTAACGCTGACAACCTTACCTGTCCGGCATCACATGTGTTTCCTATGCCGCATTGAAAGTTAGGGACTCCTTGTGAAGCGGCGTATTGCTAGAAGAAAAGAAAATCGAGAAAGAGTCGGTCAACTTCAATCCGTGCGGTGCCAACTCCGCCGATGTAAGAATGCAGTAAACATACCGACAGAGTCATGTTAGCACCACCTGGGTATTTCTCAAGATAGTTATCCAGTTGGAGGGTAGCCCAAGTTTGCGGAGTCAGCGGTTTAAGCTTGCAATGCTCAGGTAGAGTATCCGATGGGTCCTTTGGGGGTCCGTGAGGTTTGTCGCTACTGCTGCCCGCTCCGGCTGCTGCCGCGGGACCGAACCCGAAGCCACGCTTCTCCAAGGATGGTTGTTCAGATTCAGTTGCTTGAGCTATTAGGATTACCTGGAGGGCAAAGAAAATAGACAGCTTGCTCCAAAAACCCGGATGTAGGGTCGCAAGCATTTCCGTTGTTCTATTCTTGTTGATTGGAATTTGGAATCTATAAATATATGTTTCTTTTTCTGACGATTGTAAACGGGTCTCTCCAAAAAAATAAGTTAGGAAATGAGTGAAGGGACGTAGGGACAGAGAGGAAGAGAGCGTCTATGGTTCTATGGAGGAAGACTGCGTTTTCAAGTAGCCGTTTTATACAGCCTTCCTCGCTGCTTCGTTATTTCTCGGGCCAGCCCCCGGCGACCACGTATGTGACATTTTTGCTCAAGGTGTTCCTGCGGAGGGCCCTAGATGATGTGTTCCATCATGATATCTCTTTCCATTACTTACTGCTCGAAGGCTTTGAGATGGGGAGGTCAGATCGGTGTACGAGGTCTTGAAAAAGTTTTGATGGGCGCTTGTAACAAGGTCTCGACGAGGAACGGGCCTGAACCACAACAAGAATGGCATTCGTGCACTGCTGGCCACGATGCTTGGCTCGATGTGAAGCTTGATACAGTCAGAAATCAATAGATCGGACATCGATGCTTCAAGTATCACTTGGTTTCGCGTCGCAGCGAGCGTTCAACTTTCACCGAGGGCTGTAAGAGACTACTCAAGCCAGACATTGGAGTAAGCTTCCCATTCGGCCCTCCATAATGGGACGAGGAGATTTGACACAAGCAGCCAGAGCTAGTTTGTCCTCTTGTTTTTTTGCCTGATGTTGACGAATCGAAGGGTCTCTTGATGACGGCCATCGAGCTGAATTGAGGTCTCCTCTTTTTTTTTTTTTCAAGTGCAGATTTCTCATTACGTTGCGCACTACAAATCCATACCATCATCAACTATTACAGGGCTAGCCTCAGAAGAAAATCACAAACACTCTAGTCTTCACAGTTAGGAGGGTCTCAGCTCAATGGCCGGCGAAGAGCCCTGGCCTGCGAACTTACCACAAGTCCATCGCCTGCCGCGGCAGGCGACCTGCCGTCAGCTCTGTGAGACAGGGGCTGCCCTCCGGGCTCTTACTCGAGAGGCTTTGTTAAGCTCGCCTGGCCCGGGGCCTGGAGCTCCATCCGGGATGGGTGGTGTAGGGAGTGTCGACTAAACATGGGGGTAAGTGAATTTTACAAACTATTTTTTACAAGACATATGTCTTGTAAACCGGATAGTTTGTAAAATTACATTTTTATGGGGGTAATGTATAATTTTACAAACCATCATCCAAAAATATGGGTTGCAAAAAAAAGGGTTGCAAAATATGTGCCTTAAAATTGCAACCCATGCCCCATGGAGTAGAATTTTAAGGCACATATGTTGCAACCCTTATGTCTTGCAAACAATATGATTTGCAAAAGTACATTTTTGCCTTATTTCAAGGAATTTTGAAACCATTAGTTTGCAACCCATCTATGAGTTGTAAATTATGTTTTGCAAAACTGCACAACATGGTATGTAAAATTGAATTTTACAAACCATATTTTGCAACCCTTTCAAGCAATTTTGCAACCATTAGTTTGCAGCCCATCTATGAGTTGTAAATTATGTTTTGCAAAATTGCACAACATGGTATATAAAATTGAATTTTACAAACCATATTTTGCAACCCTCCAAAAAAAAAAAGAAAAAAAAGAGGGAGACACTATGGAATATGGAGGTACTGAACCGCCACTTTGGCCAAAAAAAATGTAAAAATGATGGGATTGTGTCTATCATTGATGACCAGTTTTGACCGGTCATTTATGTGGGTGTTTACTCCCATCAATGACCAGTCAAAACCAGTCATCAATTGGAGTGTTTACTCCCATCAAAAAATGAAAAAAAATTCATCAGCCAATTTGCACCGGTACATTCCTCCCATTGATGACCATTTATGACACTGTTGGTCAATTGGAGGACACACTCCCATCAAGGACCAGTTATGACTGGTCCTTGATTGGAGTAAACACCCCCAACATCCCCATCAATGACCGGTTTTGACCAGTCCTTGATGGAAGTAAACACCCCCAAGCACCCCCATCAATGACCGGTTTTGACCGGTCATTGGTGGGATTAAACACCCCCAGCAAGGAATGATTTTTTTTTTCCTTTTTTCCTAATTTTTGGCAAAGTGGCGGTTCAGTACCTCCATATTCCATAGTGTCTCCCTCTTTTTTTTCTTTTTTTTTTTTTGGAGGGTTGCAAAATATGGTTTGTAAAATTCAATTTTATATACCATGTTGTGCAATTTTGCAAAACATAATTTACAACTCATAGATGGGCTGCAAACTGATGGTTGCAAAATTGCTTGAAAGGGTTGCAAAATATGGTTTGTAAAATTCAATTTTACATACCATGTTGTGCAGTTTTGCAAAACATAATTTACAACTCATAGATGGGTTGCAAACTAATGGTTGCAAAATTCCTTGAAATAAGGCAAAAATGTACTTTTGCAAATCATATTGTTTGCAAGACATAAGGGTTGCAACATATGTGCCTTAAAATTCTACTCCATGGGGCATGGGTTGCAATTTTAAGGCACATATTTTGCAACCCTTTTTTTTGCAACCCATATTTTTGGATGATGGTTTGTAAAATTATACATTACCCCCATAAAAATGTAATTTTACAAACTATCTGGTTTACAAGACATATGTCTTGTAAAAAATAGTTTGTAAAATTACAGCGACCCCTAAACATGTCTCACCACTCCCTCCAAGGAGAGGTTTAGCGGAAAAAACCCTTCGAAACCAGCTAGGGCTCTTAAGATGACCTGCACACTACACAAGTCCGTTTATCAAGACAACTTCATCGGGACCAGAACAATCTTGGCTGCGCTGCTACCCACCAGTTCAGACCTGAAACTTGCTGGAAACTAATTTTAATGTTTAAAAGAAATGTATGTATCTTCTGTAGTAAATTATGGTTGGTCTTCTCCTTTTTCACTCCAATCACCTGTGTCCACTTCGGTTCCAGTCCTTGAACACTTACTCATTATACTCTCCGTCTGTTGATTAAACTTATTTTATAAATGCAAGATAATAGATTTGAGAAGAATTTAAAATTCTACTCTCCTCAAACCTCATGTTGGTTAGAACAATGCAAGTATTTTGGCCCAAATTTTAGGGAGTTTGATGTGCTTGTTGCCATTTGACCATTGACAAGCTTTCTCTCACACCAATTTTAAAAGCTGGACTCAAGCTTATTAACAAATTTCAACACAGTTTGATGCCAAAGTTGCTTTGAATGACACTTGGTTTGACTCTCTGAAAAGGAATACTTACAAAAAAAAACATCCCAGAGGCTCTTTGAATGCCGTGAATACGGTTTCTGTTTTGTCAATTCATATAAATGCTATATGATGAATTTTATTATACAAACCAACAGACTGAAGTTTTGAAATTAATTCAAATTTATGAAGGACTTTTTTCACTATATTTGTTGAATTGTTTGCTTTCTTTCTGCTAGAAAGTTATCTACCACAAGAGAAACTGAAGAGAATCATGCTTTGATGATTTGTAAACTTCAATAACTTTGGTTTTTTCTCTTGCTTGTTCAATGATAGCTTCTTCATTTTTTATGTGAATTGAAACAAAAATTTTATGAATTTGCAATTTGGAAAGAAGGTCTTAGTCTTCTTTCTTCACATGTCTTCTGGGTTTTACACCAACCCATTTTCCTTGAGTGTCAAATTGCGCTAAAGAATGATTATCTCTGTAAGAAAATTTAGGTCTTAAAGATTCAATCATTCTATTCCAATACTCATTGTCTGTGTGGAAAAAACAGTCTGTGTGAAATATTTTGTACCAGTACTCAAGTAAAGCAAGGGATATCCAAGTTACTTTCATGTATGCCATTGGATCAGCAAAGTACTCCTCTATCAAGTATATCTGGATTTTTCCAAAGTCATTGCGTTGAAAATTGTGATGATTTCCCACCACATCTCCAACAATGGGGAAGCTGTTTCCTTCCTTTCCACACAGAATATCATTAAACCATTTACTGAACATATTCAATGCATCAATTGCCTCCTTGATTCCTTGAGATTTAAGTTGATAAATTAAATCTCTGTGACATATATTCAAATGAGTAAAAAGTGTTGTAATTCTGGTTGAAAAATCAATTGCTTTGGAGGATAATTTACTGCCCCTGGAAATTGTTACTCTATACCTGGGAGAGCTGTTGTAAAATGGTTTTTTGAATTTCCATAGTTTGATTGGAAGATCTGGAACCTTGATACCATCTCTTTCAAAATAAGATCTATCAAACTTGACCAGATCCATAAGTGTTTGGATTGATGGGTCTGATGTCTTTGCCATAAACTTACTGGGCTTCATTGTGGCTGGAAACTTTTTCAGATCAGGAATTTTGAGAATTTTTAAGCTTGTAAAATCTTTTAAATCTTCATTCTCTAGGTGAATAGGAGTCCCTGATTGAATAAATTTGTGTAAAATTATATTGAGATTGAGTTCTGGGTCAAATCCATCTTGGTACCCTTTTATACATCCCCAAAATTTTGAATTGAATTCCTTGTACCAACAGAGAATAATAATGATTGATGTCTCACAAGCATATTCTTCAGTGTCACCCCTTGATAGTTGCTCAAGCAATAATCTTTGCACCATTCCAAATTCTTCACCTGGGTTCAACTTCCAAGCATTTTCTTTTTTGACTATTCCCCAGATAGGAAAGCTATCTCTTGGTTCAAATGCTTTTTCAAACAACCAATCTAACAATTTCAGATTTGAGGATGATGGAGTTAGATTTGATTTTTCTTGGCTGAAGTTTTTACAAACAGCTGTATTAATGAGAATGAGCCACTTGATGATATTTTTGATTTTTTTCTTCAAACCATGGTAGCTGTTAGTTGTTCCACTTCTTTCACTGAAAACACGGATAAAAAAATCATGTGATCTTGGTATGGGAAATTTTATGGCAGGGGAGCCCAGGATCTTATATTTCTTTCCATCTAGCTGAATTTTTTGGTATTTTGTGTGTATTTGTTTCATATGTGTATGGAATCTGTCTGTAAAGCTCTCTAAAAGCTGATCATTTATCATTCTATCAGCCAAAGAACTGATCCTTTTGTGGTGAAAAAACTCATTGTTAATCATGCTTAGTCCTTGAATTTTTTCATTCCAGCAGGCTATTTGATTTGGAAGGGGTTCTGTGGCAGAAGGACCATCAATAATTCCATTATCTTGGGTCCCAATGTGGCCTGGCACCTCTCCTTGATGCTGTGACTCTGATTTTGCTTCCATATTTGTTGGTATGTAGGTCTTGAGCTCAAAAGATTTTATTGTTTCAAAAGCATCATAAGATTCCATGAATTTTGAAGCATCTTGAAAATCTTTTTGAGCTTCTTCTGATGAAGAGAAGCTTTTATCATGATCTAAAATTCTTTTACCTATGTTGCTTCTTTGTGGGATGGAGTCAAATACACGATTGGAGGCTGTTGGTAAGATGGAAAAGTCTTGTTGAATGTTTCCAGGTATCACCCAACCGGAGGATGGAAGTGGTAAATGAGAAACTTGTGATCCCTCTTTGGTGGTCCAAAAATTATAATCATGTTTTTGGTGATTGGGCGTGTCTATACTATGATCTTTTTCATTCAATTTTTTCGCGTTTTACGGTCAGAAAGAGGTGATACACATTGATTGTTATTCATCGAGGGAAGTGCTTCTGCTAACCTTGTAAGTTGGAGGACTGGAAAACGCCACAGGGATTGGACTGATACTTATCCCTCGAGATTAAGCTGGGCATCCAGCTATCTGAGCTGAACTCAGTATCTTTCCTGGGCCTTTTTTTTGGATGTTGGACTGATGATACTCCAGTACCGACTGAAGAAGAATGACACTATCAGCTTCAGATAAATCCAGTAGTGTGGGTTTGTCTTGGACTCACGTTTTCCGTCTACTGCAGTCATTGAAGTTGATTGCTGGTTCTGATGCTCGTTCTCCAGCGGGCGCTTGAGAGTGTTTCCACCGTCCAAGACATCTTGCAGCTCGGCGACCATTTTCGATAGTTTTTCCTCATCACAATCAGCGACGTGGAACTCATGGTTTTCCTCTGTCCACAGGGCTGGTCGAGCCAACACACTCATATTCGGGTAACACTTCAGGCCGAAAAGAAAGGGCCTCTGGATGACCGATAGAAGCATTTTCAGAAAGCGTAAACGATGATAGTTCTCACCCAAATAATGCATGATCGACGGCATCTAACTGGCGAGTCCGAGCTCTGCTGTTTGCCAGCGAGGCGAAGTTGACAAACTAAATTTCCTGGACAACCAGGCTGTTCAAAACTATTGAAGATGTCGATGACGAGTTTCCGGGATTCAAGCATGTCTCAGCTAAATTGATAAAGTCCTTCGTGTCCGCACCCCGCTGGCACCCTCCTGAGTGTCTGAGCGGGGCTGAGTTGCAGCAAGTGCATGATTGACTCAAATTCAAGATTTACTCTTATTCTCGTTTCAGTCAGTATAGTTATTCTTGGCCAAAACCCACCTTGTTATGTTTCCTTTTTTGATTGACTGATGGTCAAATTGCATTAATAAAATTGTGTTACCGGCCCTCAATTGATTATCAATTCTGATTCAGGAGCCTTTTGAGTAGTCCAACTGGCAGGCAACCAAATCAATGAAGTCCCTTTGAACGCGCGGTCAGATATCTCAGAAACCCCATAATCCTACAATCTTGTCAAATCTCTGGAATGCTATTGATGAACCCCAAAGGCCTTAAAATTGGCTCTGAAATTCTAAAACTTTCAATCAAGAGTCCCGTTAGTGCATGGGTGGCCAAATTAAAAAAAAATCTTCATTATGGACTAATCAACTTATGAGTTTGAGGATAGAAAGATTCCTTGAAGCTGGAGAGGTGGGTGAGTGTTCTGTAGATCTGGCTTCGTCAATTCTCCAAGTTGAACTAGTAGTGACCTCCCCAGGATCAAGCATGATTGCTACATTTTTTCAGCACTTCATGCGGTGATACAGTAATATATGAGGGCTTTGACAGTTGTCTTGCTTACGGTTGAGGACGATGTCGGTTGGACTGGATGTGACAGGCTCGTGACAGGGTCAGGGGGAACTTGGTGGTGAATGTGGGATGGTCAACAGGAGAGCAAAACCAATCAAGAACCAAAAAAAAAAAAAAGAAAGAAAAACTCAAGAAAGACAGACAGCGATGGACAAGAAACCAATCTGGCTAACCGACGAACTATCCCAGGAATGGGTCAACCTATCATCATCAGCAGAACAGGAACAACGAACCTCAAAACACTCTTCGCTTCGACTGAACTCCCAATCTCGTATCCCAGTCCTCAAGAAGTACTCATCCACTTCATCATTCAATTCACTCCTTAAACAGAACCAGTCAAACTCAAACTCAGTTGAACAACAAAAACAACAACCAAATAACCAACAAGATCAATCTCACTCTTCCTCAGTCAAACAATCCTCAGATAACTCGATCATCCTCAACAGCCAACAGCGATCATCAGACGAAACAACTCCACCCTGGCTAAGAGCTGCAGTCGATGGAATGGTTAATGATGTTCTAGGCAAACGACCAACCCAACTACAAAAAATATTCCAAACCTCTCAACCAGCACAGCCCATCCATACCACTTCATCTGAATCAGTCCCTCCTATTCAAAACCCATCCGATCACAATCGTCAGTCAACAAAAACGTCCGAGAGAAATAGAGAAATAGAAACTGATCCATCTCTTCATTCCCACCTTCACTCAGGCCCAAAGCCCGGATCTATCTCTAGAGATAACATGCCTCTCCATGCGCAAGGATCGATCGGACGCGTCTCGAATGATTCGATTCGTTCCTTATCGATCGATCAGTCATCATCTTTCCTCCCAAACGATCCATTCGGCCTTTCGCTCTCCCGGTCAAGCTCTAGCTCACATTATGAAGATTTGATATCCAATCCTTCCTTTCAATCTATCATAGACCATCAAGACGAACGAGAACAAGAGGAACAAGTAGATGAAGACGACATGGAAGTCTTGGAAGACGACCAACCACAGATGCTCATCCCACCAGGCTGTCATATGGAACGACTAAGATTCGTTAGGGACGATCGTCTGGATGAAATCATTGAAGAGACTGAGCCATCAAGTTCAGTCCAGACCGATTGGAAAAATACTAATTCACAACCTTCAGTCGCAAACTCAAGATCACTTGCTAGCTCCTCAAGACCGCCTTCTCTTCCGTTTGCCCATCGAACACCTGTCCTGGATGTCCACAATCGTCTCTATCGAGTCAATTCAGAATCCTCTCATGAGCAAAAAACTGACAACCCTCCTCGAGAGCGTCCATCTGATCTACCGGAAAATCAATCCCTTGACAATTCAGACCTCTCGACTGGTCCCAGGCGATTTCGATTTACCTATGATACCTTCACTCGCAAACATCTTAACAAATTAACCGAGGAAATCAAAGGATTATCTACCAACTCTGTTCATCCAGGTAAGATTGATGCCCCATTGAAGATCAAGAGTATCCTTGGTTCACCTGGTGAAGAAGTCACCGATAGTAGCACTAGCATCGGATTAGCCCATTCTACTCCACCCGCGATCGTCTTCTCATCAGGAACAAACAAACAACGCACCTTCGATGCTGGTCGAACTCCTTATCGACCACTAACGAGTCATAGTCAGAGATGGAAGGAAGAGAAGGAGTGGGCCGAAAGCTTCGTCGAACCCAGCTCTTACGCAGTCAATAGTCTCTCGCCAGTCGTTGGGCGAAAATCTTATCAAGGTCCACGAATGTCGCGTCGAGAATGCGAGGCAGAATGCTTGGAAGATTCTGTCAACTCAGTCTACCAAAATGCACGGCAATCCTGCCGAAGCAGTAAACGAATCCGACTTGAATCTGCTCAATCCAGTTTTGAGACCTGTCATAAGAACCTGAGGGACTCCGTCACGGTGCTTAACGAGCGGAAGTCTAAGCGACGTCCAGCAGCTTTCACTCGGGCACATCCCATGGTTGTCTTCAAAAGCAGTGTTTCCGCAAGCGCTGCCTCTGCTACTCCACACGAAAAGAGCCGCGCCGCACCTGTGGTCGTTCGCGATCGACTCGCCGAGGCTAAGGCGCTGATGGATCGGATACGCGCCAAAACTAGTGGCGGCCAAGAGGTTGAATCGACCCATCCTCCCCCACATATCCACCAAAAATCATCTCGCGAACAGTTCGGCGGTTCATCTAAACAAACTACGCGTCCTTTGAACCCGACTTGTTCTCAGATTCATGACCGTGAAGCTTCAGAATCATTCTCCGTATCGGTAGATGATCAGCATCAACAAGCTGAACCACGAGATTTCTCCGGAACATCTGAGCAAGATCCCTCACCAATGCCCGTCGGACACAGACAACGCAACGAAGAACATGACGAAGATAATGATCCTGATCAACAGTACAATCCCGTTGATTACCGTCAACGTACCAATTCAGAAGCAGACTTGGACTGGGATATATCAATTGAAGAAGGTACACGAGATGAACGTGAGGCTGCTGCGGCAGAACAAGATCAAGATCAAGAAAATCGAGAGCAGACAGCAGAAGAAAATCAAGAGGATTTTGAAGAATCTCCCAATCACCCAAATCAATTGGGGTCTAATGGTGGATTGAATTCAGTCCATCGGCGGTTGGCGACTACTGCTGCTGCTTTTCTTCGGCAAACACTTGGCGATAATCACAGCAATCATCAAGTTGTGGCGGAGAAGCCCAATCAAGCCTATGGGACCTCTAGTGCTCTCACATCATCCAATTTGGCTAGTACCACAGGCTCCAGACGTCAATTCGCGACTCAACCTGTTTCTCGAGAGCCAATCGGTCGTGTCACCGTCGATGTACGGAATCAGTTTACAAGTTCTAATCGTATCAGCTCCGTCTCGACTGCCGCCTGCACGACGACATCTGCCCCGACGCCTGCACTCACAACAGGTACCACAACCCGTCATAGTAGCTCCAGTTCACACAGTCAGCGGCAAGGAATTGAAGGTGACCCGAAGCATCCACACCACCAGAAGTTGGGGCTGATGACCATTGCACCCGGAGACGTCGAACAACTGTTGCAAAACGCACGGGTAGGGAAGATGGTCTTTGATTCGACCATTGGAAAGTGGGTGAAGGTCCGTAGTCAATCGGAGACCGGCGGTCTCCTCAACGGCAAGGTAGTCGAAGAAGAACAGAAGAACCCGAACACTCTCGGTCAGTTTGGAAGCGAAGAAGAAGAGTCTAGTGAAGAAGATGATATATTCAAAGATATTGAAAGTTTGAATAGCAAACGGGGAAGTGATTCATCTGGATCTAAGTTGATGGCTGGGGGAATACATGATGATACGCAAACATCTGTAGCACAAGGTCTGAGTAATGACCAAGATTGCGCTGAAAATGAACGAGATGTGGCCCTGAAGAACAATGTTGAGGCTGATCAAGGCGTCACACGGAATTCGATTAACAAGAAGAAAAAAGGTTTGGCCGGTAGGAGCGAAAAATTTCTGCCAAAATCGGTGTTGAAGATTGTCAATGAATGCAGTCCTAATAAGACCAATGCTAGCACGATTTCATCGTCAACCGATGATTCTAACGCAGTTACTGGAGTCTTAAAGCCAAGTCGATCGGTTAGCTTCCAGGACGGTCGGAAAAACGGAAAGATAGTTGGCTTGACGCAAGGAAATGACGACCAAGAAGAAGGTTCAGAAGAAAGGACATTCAAGAATGACCACCCACGGCCACGTCGAGAGAGCGCCAAGGAAGAGCCTCTCAGGAGAAGTAAGAAAGATGTCCAGGGAGAAGAGAAGGAGAATAAGCAGAATCATGTTGGCTCATCTGATTCGGAGAATGAAGATGATAATACTAGTCTTCATCAAACCTCAAAAATCTTGATGAACTCGATCAAGAAAAGAGTACGACGAAAGTCATCGTCGACGTCCAACACGACGGCCAGCCAATCTAATTCATCCACAATGGCCACTCCTCAAGCCCGACCATCTCGACACAAGAGTAGCAGCAACAATAATCTTAGCATGACTACGACTACAAGTCATTCCAATAACTTAATTGAGGAGTACTCGTTCGAGTTGAACTACTCCAAGCTGATTAAGATCATCACCGATTTTGAGCCCTTCGAACCCTTCTGGAACTCGATCAAGGTTATCAATCTGGCCGGCAAATCTATCGATTCGGTCATCAGATTGAACGAGATTTTGCCCGCTTTGGATCAAATTGATTTGTGGGTTGGCCCACTATTTTTTATATCCCTCAATGACTCTCTGTTGTTGGTCAAGAAGAAAGATAGTCTGACAACTGATTTTTTTGCTTGAACAGGAGCTCAAACCAATTGAATTACTTGAGTGGCTTACCGTCTTCCTTGAGGATGTTGATCGCTCAAAAAAACCAGATCAACGAGTTGTGTTGTTTCAGTCATCTGCAGAATTTGGAAAAGTTGGATTTGAGTCAGAATTCTATGACTTCATTGGAACGTCAGTCTCATTTATCTTCTTCATCTCCTAAACCCAATTTTCTTTTACAACAGCTTGCATAGCCTCTTTTACATAACTCCAACTGACGATCATCTCCTTGCAGAATTGTCTTGTTTGAAACATTTGAGAGAGCTGAAAGTCGATGATAATTTGATCGAGGACGTGTCTGGTTTATATTCAGTTGACAGTTTGATTAAGCTAAGCTTAAAAGGCAATCGGATCAAGAAGATCAATTTTGAATGCGCCCACTGGTTAGTAGTTCTCTCGAATATGTCTAATGTTTCAAGACCTATGGCTGATTCTTCTTTTTCACTTTGGTAGGGATAATTTGGAGGTCTTGAATCTGGATCGCAATCAGATTAGTGAAGTGACTGGTCTACATCACCTGAGAGCGGTCTATCTACTGAATCTAGGTAAGACAATGATTGCAAACAGAATCAACAAGAGAGTCGTACTCGTGCTGATTGTAAACATGATCTGGTTTAGATCGAAATCAATTGTACTCGTTGACGATCGACGAGCCTATGCCGAAGTTGAGAGTGTTGAGGGTGAACGAGAACCGATTGGAGTCATTAGAGATCTCGAAAATGGTCAACCTCAGGACTTTGTACATTGATAATAACGATTTGATGGAAATCACCGGAGCCAGTCAATTGAGAAAGCTAGAGAACTTGAGCGTCAGAGATCAACGGGGCGGTGAATTGTAAGTATCTTGCTACAAGATCATGAATCATCAGCAAAAATTCTAACCTCCTCGTTTTTTGTTGGAATTCATTTTGTATAGGTCATTAACATTGAAACAAGTTCGAGATGTCAAGAGGATTTATTTAGGAGGAAATCCCTTACCAGCCGCCTTTCCGACTTGCCAGTTTTATAACTTACTATACCTCGAATTGGCCATGTGTCAATGTCAAAGCCTGCCGGCCGACCTTGCTAATTTAATTCCGAACATCCGGACCTTAAATTTGAATTACAATTTCTTGAAGGATCTAAGTCCGTTGAAGAATCTCCGACGACTAGAGCGTCTCACAATTGTTGGCTCGCGAGTCAAGACACTGGATCGTGGATTGTTGAGCGTTTTGGAGAGCTTACCGGAACTTGAGCTGCTCGATCTGCGGCAGAACCCACTCTGTTCATCCTTCTACCCGCCCCTCCTACTCTCCTCCACTCCCTCGTCTGCCGTTGCCAGTGGGAGCACTGATAGATATGGCGACACTGCCCCTCATCTCAATCAGTACCAGATCGTGAACAAAGACCATGAAGATGATTGGCATTCGATCGACGACCGGTTCCGCAAATCGTTGCCCAACGAGTTCTATCTCAAGCGGATGACCTATCGCTCCATCATCCTCCAAACCTGCAACTCTCAACACCAACAAGAGCCGCAACATCATTCAAAGTTGAAATGGTTGGATGGGATTAAGATCACCGAACTCGAACGGAAAAAACTCCAGAAATTCCTCCGAGGCATCAGTCGAAAACTGGACCCGAATCGGGAGCAACACCAGAGTCTGGTGGTCGATGATCCAGGACGATCGGTCGATCTTGTTCGGACCAACCAGAATAGTCGGCATCTTCTGTCCAAGACCAGCCATGATACCAATCTTCCGAAACCAAACTCTCGAAAGAACCCCCCTCCTCCACATCCGCCAGCCCTTCATCATCGACAGTATGATGACCAGAGCAGTGCCAGTGCTGCCAGTCTTCATCGACACCATACCCATCATCATCATCACCTGGGCTCGACTACTACTTATGAGGACTCTAATAGCGTTGGCTTGGTCGATCGTAGTCGCTATTGATCTTCTTGGATCTTTCAACCAGTACCCCATTCCTTATTAGCGTATGCCTTGCCCTCTTAGTTTTTTTTTCTTGTTTGTCAAGGTCAGATCATCCATTTATACCTGCTCTACAAAGACTGTACAAAAACAACGTCTTCTTGAAGAATACACATCCCTTAATCATACATTACATTCTCTCACAGAGCCGTATAGGTCATTGTAGTTTTATTTCTCTTGGTCGTTGTTTTAGTTCCTTAATAATTGCTTGGTGATTCCATCCTCCTGCTTTGTTCCTTAATCTTGAGTCTTGGCTCTTGGTCTTGATACTCTATTTTGTTTTGCTTTATACAATATCTCAATACTTTGTTACCTACATATTTGGCCCATGGTTCTTTTTGTGCCTGGTTAGTTAGTTTGTTGTACTCCTTTCACTTTGTTGTTGTTTCCCTTGCTGTTCTTGTTGTTCTTCTTAGTTCCCTTTGGTCAGAAATCTCAAGCCTTTTCTTCAAGTATGTTGTTTATTTTTTCATATTATTAGTGAGACTACACAAGCTGGAGCTGGTCGAGTAAAAAAAAAACAGAAGTATATCTAGTTGTGTCAGTTTCCTTCAATGCGCCCACGTAAGCGCAAGAACCCCCTCTCACAAGACGAGCTGTCAGTAGCCAATGTTCACTCAAACAGCCGTGAGCTTGAATACATGTCAACTGAAACAATTTTCCTCAGATGCAATTCAAGGTAGGTGAATATATACAAAGACTTGAGATAGAACGCATGTGAGGATTTAGGGGATTTCTTTGTCAAACAGATCAGAATGTGATGAGTCATAGTACAGTGGTTTTGAGGGAAAGAAGCTAATTCGATGTTCTTGAAATCGAGACAACAAATAGGGAGCGTTCCTGGAGTCGGGTTACTTGTGAGTGGGTATGTGCGGATGGAGCAGATAGATGTGCTACATGAAGTCATCATCGCTGTCGAAGCCTTCAACCTTCTCTCCCTTGTCCCGATAGGTTTCCGTTTCTAGTTTTTCGAATAGCTTGTCATAGGAGCGTGCCTCCTGCTCAGCTTTTCTTTGAGCTTGAAGCTCTTGTTCCTCTTGCGTCTGATTGATCATCACCAAAATTAAGTAATCGAATGTCGTTATAGAAGTTAAAACTAGGGAAAAGACAAGAGAAAAAGAAGGGCAACTAACTCTCTGAGCGGCAATTGCACGTTTGAGCCGATGGACTTCTTTCTCATGCTCGATTTTTTCTTGCTCCAAGTCGACGATTGTGCGTTCGACCTTAGTTTTGTTCAGCCGATTGACGATCGCATTGACTCGGGTTGCAACATGGACCCGTTTGACGATCCTGTCCGAGTGGAAACTCACTTGTCCCGTCGCCATGTCTCCCGTCTTCTTCAGGTTAGATGCTGGCGTGACTTTTTTTTTTTTTTTCAAGAAGAAGAGAAAGTGGCTCGATTCAGTTATAGTGGATTGCGCGCCCACTTAGGGAACTCACAGATTATCGTAAGGTTGTCCCTCTTGTTCCCCTCTGAATCAACCAAGACATGATGCAGTTTGAGCATAGATACTTCTTAGGGCAAATCTTTCAGTACCCAAAAAAAAACCCGCCTAGGAGGAGACTGACCGATAGAATTTGCTTTGACGAGTTGCGCACAGTCCCTAGCGGATGAAACATGACAATGAGTTAATGATGATGTCTAAGAAAAGGCTTTGTTGAAGGGGAGGAGGAGGAGGAGGAAGGTAGACAAGCTCAACTGTAGTAACGCTTCCGGGATGGCCTCCATGTCGGGCATCGAGCTGGGCAATCGAATGTAAACATGAGCGGATGATAACTGAAGGTTTATGTGCACGCCCCCCAGTCATCATCTTGGTCATTATGAGCATCTATATTTTCATTGCAAGATTTCCACAAGCATTCTGTGGCCGTTGCCTCCTCGCTTACCTTGTCAACATGAAACCAGACGTCCTCTCCCCATGCGTGTTTGATCAATTCCTCGTTCTCATGCTGCATAAAAATATCATGTGATATGGTTGCCAAGAAAACTACGTTCAGTTTTTTTATTATTTTGCTCGAGCTAGTCATAGTATCAGAATGATGATGATTGATTACTTTGTCCTTCCCCATGTATCTAAATGTAAATAATTGACAGTTCCAGACCAAAATCAGAATCATATGTAGTTCCACCGAAAGATGGATTGAGATGAGGAGCTTCTTGCTTACAGGGTCACCGGGTTTGCGGAATCGACGACTGGCTTGGTAGACAGACAAGGTGTGCAGAAAACACACAAATGATAGGTTCAGTACCAGTCAACGTAAAACACCCTTCAATATTTGGAGAGTACATAACTAACCATTTGACTTGAAGTAAAGCACCATTATTCCGTTGTCAAATCGAATTCCAACGAACCGTCTTCTCGTCCACTGGATGTCTTTACAATTCTTTGAAGTTGTTTGTTTGTTGGTACGTAAATATGTTGCTTTTCCAGTCCCAAGTAACAAGTTCCAACCTTTCAAGCTGTGTTTGAAAGAGGGAAAACCTCCTGCAGGGTTGCAGCCTCCCGCGCATACACCGAGCGATTGGCGCGCCTGGTCATATCTCAGGGCGAGCTGACCAATCAGGCTCAGGCTGTTTGAAGCCCATCGAATCCTCTTCATCATGAGCTCCCAGTCATCATCAACCATCCAACCACTGATATCTGATAATCATCGCCCTCCTGCAAGTTCTCTACCTGGAGAAACCCTCGCGTTTGCTGAACGGATCTTTGATGGTGCAAGAACCGGTGACCTCCCGTTAGAGCCTTCCTTGTGATGGGTGTCTCTTTGCTTTGAGGTTTGATCTGATCAGAGATGGAATTCTCCCTTTCTTAATGTTCATCTAGCTTGTTAACTTCAGCCATCGAGGCTGGCCTGCCTGTTGAGCTCACTAATGTATCTGGTGAGTTATCCTCGTACTGTTATTCTGATATGAATGTTCAATTCATTCATCATAGCACACTTCGTCTTGATGAATTTCCTGATGAAGGGAATAATCTGCTGATGCTCGCCGCCTACCATGGACGAGCCGAGCTTGTACGCTTCCTCCTCTCTCGGGGCGCCCAGCCGGATCGCCTGAACGAGCGCGGCCAATCTGCCTTATCAGGGGCGGTATTCAAAGGGTGGACGGAGGTGGTGAAGGCCTTGGTGGAAGCAGGTGCCGACATCAGGGCTGGCAAGCCAAACGCAATCGATTGTGCATACATGTACGTCTGCTCATTAGTTCCTCCAACGTCTCCTTCAAGCTATCATTTCCTCTCCTGCCTGGAAAGAATAGACGTTCCTTATCAATCTGCGCCCTCTTGAAAGGTTCAAGCGGGATGATTATTGGCAGTTACTAGGAGCTTCAGCTTCCGAAATCTCTTCCGATGTACCCCAAAGAATTCCTTGATCAATACATAAGAGTCATTACTATTCACCAAATCAAGACCCTGCATGTTCCTTACTTCCAACAAATCTGTTGTAATTGATAGTCTCTTTTGCCGGTTTTGATTCTTGACACCATGCTCAGCCACAATTAGATCTGGTGCAGAACAGACAAGATGCCGCATTTACCTTCAAAACCATCTAATTCATAGTCACAAGGGCACAGCTCAACAGAAAGAGGTGGCTACCGTTGTGGAATGAATGAGCTTTTTATATAACTCTGGTCTGGAAAAAACATATCATGGGTTTCATTTGGGATGTCAACTTCAGCCTGCAGAATCAGATTACACTGTAAACATTCAAAAAATCGGATACAATCACACTTCATCGACTGATTTTTGTTGAGGAGTTTTTAGTTATTTTTATAAGCAGAAACTGATATGCACCAATGGTTTTTGATCCAAGTAGACAGAGCATAAAAGAACATTGAACATCCTGAAGAAATAAACCGAATAGGAAGAAAGGCAATAAACCGGCTATGTAGAGGAACTGAAGTCATAAAGACTTTGCCTTGATATAATCAATGTTGTAAAGACTAGCTAACCGATGAATTTCTGGTTCTTGTATGGTTCGTAAAGTTTCCTCAGTGATAAACTCGTTCCTAAATAACACATCAATCATCTTGAATAAACAAACAAAAACGTTTTTGATTGGAATCGGGAATTCCTTTTCCAATCGTAATCCATGAAACTTGACTCGATAATCAAGAATCTTTTGCTTGATTTCATTTGCACACAATTTCCCGGCACTTTCCCATAAATAATTCTCCATCGATGAATCATACTGCTCCGGATTGATGATTTCGTGGATGTTGTTATCGAATTTCTTTCCTTCAAACAGCTCAACTAACAGGCTGAAATTTGTATCTATTGTATCAATAGCCCCGATCTGGTATAACCTCAATCTTCGAAAAGTATATAATCTGTCTCTTGAAGTTTTGAAAAAATTCTGAATATCATCGATCTCATTGATATTTTTACGTTGGTCTTTGTTGTTGTAGTTGTAAAACATCCATTTAAAAATACCATGAAGGTCTATATAGACAATATCAAAAAGTGTCTCAAGCTCTTCAAAGTCCTTGGAGAGAATTTCCAGCTTGTCTATAAGTTCAAACCAATGTTTAGTTGGTGAGATGTAGCATAAGGAAGAGGGCAAAATAAATTTGAGGCTCACCCTGACTGTGCTTCACAGTCACAATGCCTAGAGATGAGATAGTATATAATCATCAGACCCAAAATCTTACCAACAATCTGCGACAGATTTTTGGCTGGTATATAGAATGGACCAACATTCTTTGTGGATTAAAGACTCTCCAGATTTCTGGTTACTCAATTCGGTTTCTGACTTTCTCTTGTTGTCTCCTGTAGGAGGTACGTTTAAATCGTTGTGGTAAATGGGGATCCCATGATCTTCTGGATATTCGGGGAATCTTCTAGCAGACGGGCTGGATGGAAGAGCTTCAGAAACAGATGTAGAATTATATATATGGGGAATTGAGAATTAGGAATCAATTAGCGTCAAGCAGGAGAAAAAAAGTAATAATTGACATTGGATTATTCAAAACAATACATACCCTGGAGCACGGAGGCCGAACAACAGCTCCTCTCCGCCCCATCTTTCATCAATGGAGTCTAGCTTAACAAAGCCTCTCCCGGGGCGTCCCCGTGGGACGCTCTCCGTAGGAGAGGCTTATGAGTCAAGGCAAAAATTTGGCTGGGACAGGAAAGCCTAATACCACATAAAAATTTTTCTAAAAAAACCACTTAGTTGAAAGAAATTATGAATAGACAGTTTTGTCAATCATCTCAATGAGCATTTGGGACTCTAAGTTTGATTTCCTTGTGGATCTTGGTCAATTGTTGTTTTGGGTTTTTGAGGAAAAATCATTTTTCAAAAAAATGTAGAAGGGGAACCAGGGCAAATGAAGGGATGAGACCACCATCAAATGAAAGCTGGGACCCAAAAGTACAATCTGGCTCTGAGCCAGGCTTGTTGAGGATTAGGATAAGGAGCCAGGGCCTTAACAAATTTCACTCCAGCCATTTTTATTTCCTGTGCCAGCCCAAATTTTGACTTTGTACGCAAGTCCCTCCCTGCGGGAGGGCGCGCTTTGCGCGCAGAAAAACCGACTGCAGGCAAGGGACTTGTGATAAGTTAGCAATGGAGTGCACATAGTGCCAATAATAGCACTTGACATAGACCAGAAGGGTAAAAGTTTAACATGAGAAAACATTCTGACAAATGGGAAAGAATCGAAACCACCGGCAGACCAAACGGATGAGGGTAATTAAGTTAACAAATTGGTGCCCCAGTAGCCTTTTTTTATAATAACCTAGTAATTATCAAGAGGACTTTGTCTCGCCCTTCGGACGTCGGTGAAAGTAAAAGATTGTATTTTACAGCGGAACAGCTTAGTTGCAAGGAAGTGTAACAGATAACCTAGATACGAGTCACGTGTGATTGACTCAGATGGGTAGAGGATGAGGTTTAACGTTGAGACCTCGAAGCTTCAGGACGTCAATCAGGCTTTGAAACTTGCGGTCACCGTCACACACAACAGAAACCGAGCACTATTAATCTTATCCAAGCGGATCACCTCCACCTCTGACCAGATTGTAAGGTGGCATACATTCAACTTTGGTCCGCCGACGTGACATATTTCCCTTGCCCCACCTCCTCGCAGCCGCGATTTCGAACTTTGTTGAGATACACTTTCTTCAAGGGTCTGTGGGGGAAAAGTCACTGCCATGGATATTGTTAAGATACATATACCTTTGACTGAGACATGAACCAAAGACTTATCCTGACTCTTTTGTCTCCCAATGATAGTGAGGTGATGTTTTCAGTTATTAAAATGAAACAAGTGGTTGAAGATACATATCTAACAATCAAAACAGTTTAATTCACAGATTGATAGGGGCTTCTCAATAATGTAATTGAGAGAGTGAAGTCTTCCAAAGGAGCAATACACTGTGAAAAATATTAACTCCTTATAGGAAAAAAAACTCAATTGAAATCAAGATAGAGGCTTATTTGGCCATTTTTGAATGGTGCATCAGCATAGCTGTTAATAACCCAAAATCCTGACTAATTTGAAAAAATCATGCAACTGCAGTGTTGAACAGAAGCTCTACTCAAAAAATAAAATTTGAGTTGCAGGTGTATGTTTGGGGGTCCAATTGTGCATGTCACCCACTACGTGCTATGGATCTTTGGAGTCTTCAAAAAAGTGGTGGAATCAAAAAATGGGTGTTACATATATGTGTCTGAGATGTCCCATTCCAAAGTTTGGAAATTTCAAAGTTCAAAATGATAGCTATGGAATTCATTTGGAATGTTTTTTATGAATTTCTGCTGCACTGTGCTGTACCACACCGTTTCTAGTAAAAAAATGGCTCAAGAGTAGTGTAAACAGTAGGGGGTATCAAATATAACCAAATCCACCGTTAATTAATTGACAGGTTTGAAAAAATCCACCCTTTTTGAAACAGAAACATGTTGGTTATTCATTTGACCCTTTTTAGGGCCCATTGATGAAAAAAAAAGTTTTGGGAAAAGTGACTGGTGTTGAATGGTGGATTTCCTATATTTGATACCCCCTAGTGTAGAATAATAAAATTTTTGGCCATATCGTTTGGTGTTAGCCTAATAGAAAAAAACTTTTTTTCAGCATCTCTTCAAGATCTCCTTGTTTAATTGGCAAGTTTTTCAGAAAATCACTGCTATGAGGGTGGATTATATGTGTTTATGATTCTATATTTGGATTCAGATTTCAATATCCTTGGTATTGACTGTAGAGAATTTTTCAGGAGGAAGAAAAAAAAAAGCAAAAAATTGATGTAACTGAGAGAAAACCACAAGAAAACACAGAAATTGAAATTCATTCCAACAAAAAAATTAAAATCGTAATCATGGGGATATTCAAGCAAAACAACCATCCAAGAAGGAATAAAAAAAACATTGATAGACCTCCATGTATTTAGTGAATTGCAGAGTAAAAGAGTATAATGGACATGTCATAAGATAGAATAAAATCTGGTTCCAAAAACATCCTTCTCCAAGCTTTTGGTGAAAATAATTTTGGATAAGGAGGACATTTTTGTTCTGGACAAAGGTTTTGTGAAAAATCTTTGTTGCAATTTATTTAGAAATGAATTCATTCTTATACATGAATTGAATCATATAATGCAAGAATTCTATAGTGCCATTTATGGTCAATTGACCCTCTATATTTGATTGATTATATAAAGATTTGTAATCAGAAATTTTTGTGTTTATTTCATTTTCAATATTTTTTGAATACTCTTTGTAAACAATCCGCATTATCAAGGGAGCATGTTCAGGGGTGATATCTTGAAGTAGTTTTACTTGCTCTGGCAGCTTTTCAATTAAGGTCTTCAATATTTCATAACTTGAACCCTTTGCATTAAATTCTGCCAACTCAAAGAGTCTTATTTGCTTCAAGGTTTTCAGATAACCATGACATCTTTCCAAGAAATTCAAGATCTCTTTGAATTTTTGCTCCGTTATTTTGTTGTAGTTTCCTTCAAGAAATGAATTGACACCATCTTCTGCAATGCCAAGGAGTGTCATGAGTTTCCTTGAGTCTTCATACAGGATATTCAACATATCTATTTTATCCAAAAAAACAATCAAATCACCCATTGTGCACAATCAAGTGAAGAAAATAAAGAAGAAGAAGAAACCCACTATTATTTTTATCCCAATTTTGAGTCATTATGGTGCCTGAGTAGGGGATCAGAATTAGTGTCATGGCTTTGCTATCTTCAACAGATTCAAGGGCTGTGAATTGACTAACGTTCTTCCTCAGTCAACATTTGTGGTACAAAGACTTTATTTTGAAAACCTTGTGCGGTTGGGACAGAGTGTGTCATTAATTCATTCTTGTCTTCAGTCAAACTGGAATGTGAACTTGGTGTACCAGCAGAGACATGACTATTCACTTCATCAAATGGATCAAATCTGTCTGTTTTTTTTTTAATGTTGAATGTTTCCAACACGATTGATAATTACACAATCAGCATGAACAGGAATCATAATCAGTAAGCTAATGGGATGAAATTGCTTATGAAATAAGAATATTATGTATGTACCAAACCAGCTGTTCCCAGAATTCACGCTTTCTTCTACAGATCTAAGTGGGGAGATGTTCATAGCATCAACAGCAGCTGAGACAGAACAAAACATAATAAGGATGCCATGGTAGAACATTTTGTAGATGATCAAGAATAAAGCTGGATAAGAAAATTTGTGAGCTGGATAAGAAAATTTGTGAATGGGTAAGAAAATTGTGGCTAAAATGTGACTTATATATTGTCAGCCATAAGCCACTGGACTGTCTTTTTCAGAGAGTACTTTGAGAGTGATACATTTTACTTGTCACAGCAAGAATATATACTAGTTTCAGTGTATACCTATTCTCCAACATCTATGAAATCACTATATTTCCAGTCCTTCTGATTTAATTGCAAGTAGTGCATTTAGTAGGATTCGGTCATGACTCCAATCAGGATCCAGAACTAACAGTATCTGGGGTGAATGAAGCACATCACCGACTTGTGTATAGCTCAAAAACTACAGATGAAGACAACATAAGTCAGTGCGCGATTGGTATTGGTCAAGCTCAGTGGCTTATGTTTTCAGACTTGCTTGTTGGCCTCAATGTTCCAGGGATGGTCTTTTAGGCCGCATCAGCAACTTCGACCAAACAGAGTACTCCAATATACTGATTGAAGCATATTTTGAGTGGTCTTGCAAGTCCGATGAAGTTCTTTGTGAGCCATAGGCTCAAGGTCAATACTGAAGATTGACCAAAGGTGCTGGCTTCTGTGAAGCCAGTTTCAACTCCAGATATTTCAAATCTGTTTACTTGTGTGTTGTTTTCCTGTAAGTGATGGGTTGAAGGACACACCCACAAAATAGTATGAGTGGGGCATTGATACCTGGTATGAGTGGGCCATTGATACAATTAATCAAATCTATACCACCAACATTGAAACAGAGGTGAGACACATATTTTGTGTTTCTGTGTATTGTCTCTCTTCTGAGACAAATACCTGGTATCAGTATTCCATTGGTTGGTGAGAAAATCCAATGTCTCAGATTTATTTTACGTATGCAAAACATTTTCTTTGTTTTTTTTTTTGATACAGCCAAAAATCTTGTGTGTTGAATGCATTTTTGGTGGTATTGGCCCTCTGAGATGATACACAATACTTGTCTTGCTTTCCAAAGACAATACATGTGTATTGTCTCAGGAAAGTGGGACAAATTACAAGGTATCATTTGGGTATTCAAACTCTGAGAGATGATACAAATAAACACCGGACATTGTCTCATCTTCCCTCTGTTTCAGTGTTGATACCACTATCTGTGGCAATTGAGGCATGTCACCTCCACGTAAGGTTACGGAGGAATGATCATTGAGAAAAGCCAGTTATTTATCTATATGAATAGGTCTCTCTTGTTCTGTAGGCCTCCACGTTTGAGTGACTGGGCCGCTCCATCAATCTTGACCACACAGATTGCATTACTTCTCTTGTACGGCCAGTTTTAAGCTACTACACAGTCTCAGCTTCAGATACTTCCAATCTATCTTAATCTATGAGTTGTATCCTTGCACTGAACAATAGGCTGAAGGGTGTGAGTGGATCTCAATAAATCTAGCCATAGACCTAGCTGTATAGAGCCCCAATGGTGAGAGAGAGCAAGTTCCATTAAGCCCAAAGTGATACAACTTGAGGGGGGAGTCCATGACACAACATTTGTCATTTCTAAGGAAAACAAATAACACTGCATTTCTGGATTTGTGGTCAGACCACAAATCCAGAAATGCACTGGTCTGATGTTGAAAACTAAGAGTCCAACAAGCTGAGCAGAGCTTGTCCCAGTATCTTGTTGTGTTCTGGCCATCAGCTTGCCCTTCTGACTCAAGCCAGCTACGGTGTCTGTGTTTTATGTAGCTTGAATTGCCAACTGACACATCTTGTTGTGATCATGCTTCAAGTCAGACAGGATGCTGTGAAAACTGAAAGCCAAGGACATTGTGATTGGATGCGACCACTCCACATTTCCTTGTAGAATCACAACTTGTGCTTTCTGGCATCAAAAGAAGAGGATACAGTATGTATTGTGCAAAATCAAGTGTTGATCAAGTTTTCTACAATGATTGGTTGAGTGTATTTATGACTTCTTTTTTTGATTGATTGGTTCATATAAATAAATATGTCATGAGATGATTCAAAAAAAGAGGAAAACCTAATTATTTTGAAGATTATTGGAAAAACAGAAAGAAAGGGATCAGAGAGATAGACATAGATGAATTATTCACATGAGCATGTGTGTGAATGGATGTGAAGAATCGGGTTGATCAAGATCAAGAGAAGAACAAATCAAGAAAAGAAAATGAAGAGGAAGAAGAAACAGAGAAAGATGCATATGAATAGAAGGGAAACAAGAAGCAGAGACAACAAGTTGGGGCAGTCAGTTGTACACACACACACAAACACCTACAGATAGAGTACATAAATATTTCATTGATGTTTTTTTTGGGTGGGGTTGAATATGTATATGTATCTATATATAGATGTATATATGTGTGTGTGTTGTTAACATCTACTACCACTGTGTTACTATGTTACTACTAACTGACTGACTATATAAATATCCACTAGTTTTTGGTGTTCAGTGATGTATGTAATATGTATGTAAACAGTTGATGGATAAAAACTGTTCAGAAAGAAAGAGATACAGATGGAAAAGGAACCCAAACCAAACAAGTATTTCTTACCATTTGAAGAGTGAAAGTGATGTTTTCTTTTTTCTTTTGTTTGTTTTTTTGAAAATCAAAAACAAACAGGACAAGATTAGTGATTAATGAAGGAAATGAAAGCGATTAATCAAATACGGATGAAGTAAACAAGGTCGACGGTCGAAGTACAAATCAAGGATGATCATCATTTTTTTAAAGTTCCATTTCACGGACAATCACAAAGAAGAAGAAGGTGCAGAAGAAGGGCAGGGGGAGAGACAGAGACGGATTAAGTGAACAGAAACCCGATGAGGTGGGGTGGTTAGTCGGAGTCAAGCCAGATGGGATGAGCGACTGAGAGTTCTGAGGAAGTCGCGTTTGACGATCGATCCAGGACCAGCCTCAGGTTGGAGCGCAGGTTGGATGGGGGGCTCGTTGAGGTTCAAGGACTTGAGACATAGCTGGACGCCATCTGTCGATGAGAGCTGGATCTTCGCCTCAATCTCACTCAGCATGCCTTCCTCACCGACTCGCTTTAGCTTGATCGTCGAGCTCATCTGCAGCCTACTCATCCGCTCCCTGATCTCCACGAGGTCTTCCTCCACTCGACCCATCCCTTCTTTAATCAGCCCAATCTGTCCAATTGAACCCTTCCCATCAGTGATACTCCTCAACTATTGGGAAGGAGGAGAAATGCATAAAAGAATAATCCACTGACGTTGAAGGAGATTTGATTCCAATTGATCCCTAGTTCATCAAGCACGTCGATTGATTTCGGAGGAGGAAGAGGGCGGGACCTCAGGAACCGACCGAACTCGAGAACCGCCGCTCGATCGGTCAACCGTTTCGTGTCAATCACCAACCCGTCTTTATCTCCATTATCTTCACCATCGAACCGGTTAGACTTCAACAGCTCTTCTTTTGTTCGTTCACTCTTCTCCGTTATCCGTTCGATCAATCGCCCATATCGATTCAGTTGGAATTGTCGAGCATGATCTTCATATGACGTTCTGTATATATATATATATAGGCGAATATACATTTAGATACGTGTTTATTCACATACACAGAGGTGAGATCGTGAGAGGGTTTATTGAAACTGACCGAGTTCTCCAAGTGTTTAACTCCACAATCTTGCGTTCGTTTTTAAGGTCTTGAGGATGAGGGGGGAGGGCCTGAAGATCGAGTATGGAGAGGTCCTCGACCGAGACCTCGTTGTCCTCGTCCGAGTCGAGAGGGATGCCCCAGCTGATCTCGACCTGGTTCTCGCAGATCCCGCGGATGAAGTTTTTGAGCGCCGATTTGGCCACCCTGGTCAGCAACTTCGACTTGGCTCCCGCCTCGAGCGGCGCAAGCTGTCCCAGCGTCCGGGCCAGCGGCTTCGGCAGCTCGGCAGCAATGTACCGGGTCGGCTTGAAACTCGGATTCAGAACGGTGTATGTGACGTGTTCGGCCTTCTGACTACACCATGATAGCAGCGTCCGACACCTCATACTGGGCGGGAGATCGGTGCGGATATGTCTGCATAAGACCGAGGGTTGTATCCGAGGATGCGGCAAAGCTAAAATAGAGAGACAAAGAGAAAAAAAAAAGTCAGATTGAGGTAGGGTTACATAGATGAGATGAAAATCGATCACCTTCGTGTCCACTTCCAATACTGCTCGCACGACTGCCCCGCCTGACGCTTCCTTGACCAGAATCAAAGGCCTGAAGCGATTGAGATGAGAGTGGGGTACCAGGACCGTGGCCTAGCTCGACCTGATCGTTTTTCTGCTTTCCAGGCTGATTTCCTCCACCTCGCCTGAACTGTCTGTTTTTATGATGCATAGGTGTCTAAGCCAAATCGGAGAAAGGCAGACCAAAAAAAAAGGAAGAGTTTTGTTTTGTGGTTTTCTTAAGAAATGTGATATGAAGTATGTGGAGGAGAAAAATGCGGGAACGCGCATGGATTCTATTTCTTGAAAGAAGGATAGAGAAACAAGGAGTAGGAACTTACTTCGGCGATTACCAGTGACATTTCACCATCTGCCTGTAGATCCTGTTGTCCATAGATGTGAGTATTCCTTGAATGTTTAGGAGTGTGTAACTGTGAGGAGGAGGATGTGGGTCTGTTTGAGACTTGAGGGAGATGGTTGGATTGATCGTCGGATGAGCTGTGATCAGGATGACTAGATCGAGAGCGTGGGCGAGGTTTATGGTGGTTAGATATCTGACGCGTCTCCTTTGCCTTTCCCTTGGAGTTTCCAGAGGATGGGGGTTGAGGAGGGGAGGAGCCGGAGGGGCCGCCATTGGCGATCGTGCTATTCGATGGGTCTAGCTTGCCACCTGGGGTCTTGAAGGGTTGGGTGGTGAAGAAAAATCCAGGTGCCGGTTGGGCGGGTATAGGGTTTGAACGGGTGGGTAAGCTTGGTTGGTGAATGGTGGAGGATGGCTTGATGGGTTCAGTTTTCTGTCGCTTTGGGGTGGATTGGATGAAGTGATGGTTGTTGAGAGTGTGATTGTGATTGTTGAGGAGTGGATTTGAATTCTGTTTCTGAGTTGTCAGAGGGTCCTGAATGGTTATTGGTTTGCGTTTCTTTGAGTTCCTTGTTGTTGAGTTGATGATATTGTTCGTATTTCTTGTAGTAGAAGCCAGTTGATTGGATTGGTCTAGGAGGGGGTGATGGTGGTGATGCTGCTGCTGTTGGATGGTAGTAGGCAGTAGGTCTGGTGTGGGGATAGTATTCGAGCTCAGGTTTTCGGTCGATTGGCTCTCTGGACTTCGTCTGTTGGGTCTGGTGAGATGGTTGTAGTTCTTCTTCTGGTTTGAGTGTCTTGATGGTGGTTCTTCTGCTGTTGATGATGATGATGATGAGGAGGAGGAGGAGGAGGATGGGCTTGGATGGTTGATGAGCTGGTAGTTTTGCTGGTGCTGTTGGTTGGTTTTTATGGTTTTGTTTTGGTTTTGGCGGTTTTTGTTGGTTTTGTGGGTTTTGCTCTTGGTTGAGAGTGATGTTGTTGGCATGATGCTGTGAACTTGTATGCTTTGCTCTTCCTCTCTTTTTTTTTTTTTTGGTCAACAGGAACAAACAAGGAACAACTTCGCCAGAGCCGATCTCAGCTGAACATCTCAGTGGGATCAACCCCACGGGGGGTAGCGGGGGAGGAGAAACAGTCAATCTGACCAGTTCGGTCGGTCTTCTGCATACATCCCTGGGTTTGCAGTTGCACAGCTTGATCACAACAACTCTCAACTCATGCCAACATAAGAAATATTATATATGAGCATGTTGGAGGGTCGTCATAACAAACGAAATATCAAAGAAAGGAAGAAGTATATCAGCACCATTGTACTAGTCGTTGCCTAGAGATCAATCTGTCTTACACACCTTTTGAAGGTGATCAAAGCTCAATTACAAAGCAGGTTGATGCGGCTATCATCCCAGGAGAGGGGGTTTGACCAGTGGTGGCCTATAAGCAACAGTCAAGATACCTCACAAAATGATCACCCGGTGAACTTCAAACGAACCAACCGTCGATCTCAACATACAACTATATACAAGTCACCCTCATACAACCAGAGAGAGAGCTATCAAAGGTCATCGATGTGTAGGAGTTAACTACTGGTCGGCTTGATCGGTACATCGTCATCAACGCCCCCAGGTTTGTACTCCGATCTGGACGATGAGCAGCGATGTGATCTTTCCCGATTCTCAATGAGCCGTAATAGAAGCAGATTGCAAGTGGGACGCTGCCCGAAGCACCACCATAATTTGATCCCATAACCTCCCATAACTTATTTGTGTGAAAATAGCTATGAGTCCAATGGATAGGGCTCATGTGGCCAGTCGTGGTCAGTTGACTGGATATATATGGTTTTACTTTTAAAACGATCGGTTGGAAATTGACAGTTGGTTGGTTAGAGTCTTTGAAGGACTTTGGCCGGGTTATTCCTTACGCCTAAATCCTTCGCCGGTTAGTGTATCCCTTTTGACAACGTTCTGTTTTTCTGGTTACTCTTTCTGATTGACTTGGAGCACTCTCGAGGTCATTCATCTGCCAAGTGGTCCACACTTGATCAAATAGATTGATTAATAGTGAAACTTGTGGTATATTGTATAAAAGGAGGGAGCCACGTCCCTCAAGTCTTGCATTTCGGTTGTTGGGATATGAAGTGGCTAGTGAGGGATTGTCATGGAATTGTTGGGTTTATGTTTTTGCGAACAACTGTTCTGACGCAATGAGTCTAATGTTTTGCATCCGTGGGGTCTTATCAGATGGCTACCTGGAACCAAAGCCTCGGCTTCATTGCTCACAAGTGTCATGTATTACATGGGCAAGTCGGCAAAACCCCCAGGATAAATTCGCCACATGTATGATGGTTGGTTTGCAGGTGCAGATGTATTAAGCCGGTCAAATTTAGTCGACGCGTCGTTGAGCAGTGGCTCAAGCTCAAGGTATCATCAAAAGGGGCTCAAGGGGTCAGGTTCAAGATCTCGGTCGAGCTCAGAAAGTGTGATCTCGACAACGGGGCAGCAAAGGATGAGAGGAACGTTGTCATGTCTTTCTCATTAAGCAAATTCAAAGGATTTACAGCCAGCTGAGATTGTACGCAGGGTAAACGATAAACACGAAATAAGATAAAGGGTAAAGAAAAAAAAGAAAAGTGACCAAGAAAGATGCCTAAATCTACACGATGACGACAATAAGGATGTCAGCAAAGGTTGTAAAGGGCAGATGTGCCAACGAAAACATACCCGATAAAAGAGGGTTACTCCACCGTTAATCACTTTTGCGAGCCACCGACGCCGACACCGAGACCTACACCTAGGCCAGCACCCGCACCCGGGGAGTTATAGACGTAGCCGTGGGAGTAAGGGGACTGGGAAGTTTGGCCAATGCCATTGGCACCTTGGCCGTAAAAGTCATTGGAATTGCCAAAGTACTGAGACGATCCTCCGTACTGGTTGCCGTACTGGTTGCCGTACTGGTTACCGTACTGGTTGCCGTAGTGGTTACCGTACTGGTTGCCGTCCTGGGTACCGTCCTGGTTGCCGAACTGGTTACCGTACTGGTTGCCGTATGGGCCAAACTGTCCGAACTGTCCGAACTGGCCGGGAGCGCCGAAGCCATTGCCGGCCTGACCATAGAAGGCATTGCCGTCTTGACCAGAGAAGCCATTACCGTCTTGACCATAGAAGCCATTTCGCCCATCCTGTCCGAATTGGCCTGCGGCACCGAAGCCGTTAGCACCTTGGCCGTAAAAGCCGCCGGGGACCTGGGCAGAAGGGGTTGCCTGAACTTGTCCTGGACCGGACGATTGTGATTGGGCGGAGGCCGAGGATTGTGTCGGATAGCCGTTTGAGGGGAAACTGGATGATTGAGCTTGCGCAGAGGCCGTGGATTGGGATTGCCCCGAGGGGAATGATCCATAAGGAAGGCCACCACCGTAGGCAGCTGGCAATAAAAGGTTGAGTGAGGATCAATCATCGGGCGTGTTGGCCGGCAGGAATTTCAGGAGAACCAAACAAATCAGACATACCTTGGCCATTACCCCATGGCATTCCACCGGCTTGCCCAAAACCTGGCGACTGGAGACCACCAACGCAAGTAGAGATAGGGACAGACCCTTGGGCGGAGCTTTGGGCTTGGGGGCTGCCGGTTGCCAGAGGGGCGCCGCCGACTCCCAAGGGGTCGCTGTTCCAAAAAAAGGAAGGGTCAGCTCGACTCCGTAAAAAAAAGTTGCTGGACGATAACTCACGACTTCTCGGCTCTGGGGTCCATGGAAGCCGGCGACGAGCTGGCACCTGTTTTGTCAAGCATCAAGTCAGCCCACTATGTCATGCTCCGTCACCAAAGGCAGTGGACGATGACCTACCAGCAAAGAAAGCAAAAGCAACGGCGAGAGTGATGAACTGCATCTTGGGGGGGTTGGTTTTGGTGGGGTGGGAGTGAGTAAGGGTTGAGCGTTTCAAGAAGTGGCACCTAACTGGAAGGGAAATCTGTAACCGGACAGATGATAAAAATGGGATGAAATAAGAAGTTGGTTGAGGGGAATTGTTGTAAATTGCCTGGAGAAGAAAGTCAGGGAGATGGGCGATGAAGCTTCATTCTTATACCTTTTTTCTCGAGCTGCTCGCCTGTCCATTCAACTCCCTTGAAGCCCAGCCTCTGATTGTGATTTGAAAGGTTCTCGGCTTGAAAGTAGAGCTTCCTTCCTTTCCCAATATCCGGTACTTTTCACGAGGCTTCAGGCTCGAATAAGAAGCGAGTACCTCACGAGCACTGTAGAGCGATCGATTCTCAAATGAAACAAGCTAACATTGTTCCAAGCAGGCTGCACCTGTGACGCCGTGGATCTACATACCAAAGCAAACGAGCTTACCTGGCTAGAGAAAGCGCTTGACTCTCACTCCTGACGTTGGTGCTCCGATTTGAGTATGCATCACCCGCTCGGCTCGGCTGCTCTCAGACATCCCATTCGAGTCTAACTCCAAGTAATGTTGTCCGATTGCCTTGGGCAGGTTTTGGTCGGTTGATTGGTGCAGTTTGTGGATCGACGTGGTCATTACGCTTACTCCTCTATGGGAGAAGATTCTTATGGTAATTGAGACTGAAGTTAGGCTCATCAAAGCGCCTTCCCTTTTTTGATATATCGTGACACTGAAGCAGCTTTCGCCGGGCCCGTAGTTTTTTTTTTTTTTCCTTCCTTCTTTTCAACAACATAATTGCTCTTGCTATAGACTGGCCTTGCAGTGCTTCAGAACGTATCTCGAATCGAGTATGTACAAGGAGATCAGACGATTTTTCACAAAGCTCTGATGAATAACAAGCGAGTAGCGGGGAATTCAAGTGGATCAGGCAGACGGATGCTCTTATAATTACTCCGTGGACTTACCCACCCAGACAGACAGTGTGACCCGGCCGCAAACCGCTGCATTATTTGCTCTCATCAATGCTTGGTTGGTGGTTGTGGTTTGTGGATCATCGTGGCCATTACGCTTACTCGAGATCATTGTACCACGAAGCTTCTTCCCTTTCTGATCGAGGTCTGGTGGCACTGACACTATAACGACCTTGGTTGCCGTGTATGATTTTCTTTTCTTCGGGAACGCACTCGCCCGTGCTAGAACGACCTGGCATTTATTTCACAAATATTTCCTACAAAAATTACGGCTTGATGTGGTTAGATCCGTTGAAGTAGGAATCAGACAATCTTCCGGAAACATCAAAGAAGGTGCCTTGAGTGCATTGAACATTGACCAGACAATAGATGTTCGACTTCTTAGTCAAGCTACTATGTGGTAATAGTTATGTTGAATCTGGGACATGGCAATAAAGCCATCAGGCAGCTGAAATATTGGCATGTTTTACTATCTCGAAAGAAGGACTGACAAGTTTGTGATGTGCTGCCGTGAGTAACGGGGTTGAGTTCTCCAATCTAGTGATGGTCCTTGGAAGTAAGTGACAGGATAAAACTCTGACTTGCAGCATGCTAGAGTGGCCAGGTAAAATGCTACGTGAAAAAGGGAGAGATTGGTCAACTGCTGCGATTGGTTCCTCTAGAAAGTGATGATGGCGAGGTTGATTGGTGAGCTGCATACCACGGCAAGGTTCGGTACCCACTACCCAATCCTGCACCAAAAGCTCCCATTATTACAGCGCCGGGCGCTTGTGCGACAGCGTTGACTGGCTCATCCCGAGAACTGCTGATGAGGCTCAAAGTCAAGAGATCTCTGGAAGGATGTATTGTGAATTGAAGTCCTGAGGTGGTCCTTGGAATCGGGGGCGAGTTTCAAGTCTTGCTGCTGTCGAGCTGACCCCTGCTGACTTGGTGACGTCATAGAAGTCGATCACCCCCGTAACAACCGTTTCCTTCGACAAGAAGTGGTCAACAAGCCGACACAGCTGATTGGAGAGAGACCACACCAATCATCACCGAGGGGGAGAAGCTTGATCCACTCGAAAACAGAAGAAGAACCAACAAAAGGAAGGGACAGTTATTCGAGTCAAGCAACACACTCCTCTTAACCATCAGTAATTGTGTATGTAGACCAAAACTCTTCAAATATCTCTATTCGTGACTTCTATGTATTCACTGATGATTCCTCTCATCCTCCTCTACTACGTATCAGTCAACTTTTCGGTCCTGCCAAGCACCATCGACCATGTCAAAAAGCTACCCTTACCAGGCTCGGGCTATGATGAGATTCAAAGCCCAGGATGGTCAGTTCGTCCTAGGAAGCAATCAGCTCGTCACAGTCACTGGACAAACCGATGACGAAGGCGATTGGCTCGACGTAACTGACCAGGATGGCCGATCGGGCTCAGTGCCTGCTGGATTCTTGATCGAAATCGAACCAGAGCACCCTCATCCAGCACCTCTCCCCTCAATCCCTCTTTCTACCTCTGATGACCTTCAAGACCGATCCCCAAACCCTCCTAAGTCGACCAATGATGCAGCCGGGCCTGTCAAAACTCCTTCGCAACCCCACCTAACAGATATTCCTGGTAAGAAACTCACTTGTTATCAAGCAAAACAGCCAGAAATAGATCCTAATCCATCAAGTTAAAACTAATCAAATATAAAAAATAACACGTCATGGGATCGCTCACATATCATCCTAACATTTGCTTTCCTAACTCAGCTTCGATCGAGAGGTCCCCATCGGATGGTCGAATCGCCCAAAAGCCAATTTCTGATGCTTCTTCAATTGTTCCTACACCACCCCCTGTTGGCGAAACTAGTCCGAAATCGTCCAATGACCTTGTAGAGTCTCTCGAACCCGCCGCCCAACCTCAAACGACAAAAATTCCTTGTAAGAAGCCCATTTGTTTATCAATTAGCCGATCAGGAAAAAAATGGGTTTAAATGTATAAATCAAAAGCCCAACAATCACTTATATCTCACTATCATCTTCGCTACGTAATTCAGCTTCGATCGAAAAGCCCTCATCCACTGATCCGATCTCCTACAAGGCGACCTCTGATGCTTCTTCAAACCTTCCAACGACACCACCTGCTAGCAAACCTAATCCACTTCCTGCCATGGCGTCTCATGATCCACCAAATTCTCAACCATTGTCCACTCCTTCCAAGGCTCCCCCCACACCTGCCGCCAAGCCAAATGCATTACGTGATCGAATTGCCATGTTCAACAAACCTGCCCCCGTCGCTTCTTCTCCACCGCCTAACACACGCCCTAAACCCCCGATAGCCCGTAAACCAATGAATATTCCGCCCCCCGCTCCGCCGATCGAAGCTGCCCAGGACACTCAATCATCAACTCCAGCACCTCCTCAGGATGAACGTACTCGTTCGACTGAGCCAGGTGGAATGTCGGCGGCCGACGCAGAAGAATCTGTCAAGGCAGGGGGTTCACTCAAAGACCGAATTCGATTATTACAACAGCAGCAACAGCAACAAGCCATGGCTGCCGAACCAACTCCAACTGCTCCCAAACCTAAGAGAGAATGGAAACGGCCTCCAGCAGCACCTGCGGATGAGCCAAATCCCGTGGTTCCTATCGTTCCATCCGCTCCCCAAGAAATTCCAACTGCCGGAGAAAACATTTCCGATCTTGACAGCGAGGCTGTGCCAGATTCAACTGAAGTGGATCCCATCGATGCAGTAGAGGAAGATGATGAGGTTGCTAGGCGTCGAAGAATTGCCGAGCGAATGGCTAAGTTGGGTGGTGCTAGAATGGGGTTTGGCTTTCCCGGTCCAGCCGTGCCTCCAAAGCCTTCTCTCCCCCATCACTCCTCTGAGGGCTCAAGCCAAGCTCCTGACGAACCATCTAAGGAAGAATTCTCAGCGTTACCTCCAGAGAGAATCATTATGCCTACTATTCCAAAACGAGCTGCGCCACCGAGACGAAAGGCTCCTGCGCTTTCTAAAAGTCCCTCGGCCGTAGAAACTCCACTAGATGACCAACCAAAATCTATAAACGCGCCCGATGATCAATCTAAACCACAACCGGAAGATAAGCTGCCAAAAGAAGAAGACGATGATGGACTGCGGGTTGTTGCAGACTCGTCAGCTCTTGCTACCGAGCCTAGTGACAACGCCACGCAACTATCTGATGATAATTATCACCCTCCTGCTATGATGGGTGATGCAATTACACAAAGTCAGGAGGATTCCACCCCCGACGAGCTTTCTGAAGAACCTGTCCAGGATTTGGAGTATGTGCCAATTCCTTCTGAAAAGGATCCCAGCGACGATCACAGCACGAATGAATATCCGTTGCCTCAGCAAACTGATTCATCAGATGAACCCACTCAGGCCGTTCGGCAAAGCACAATTGGCTCATCGTCTTCAATCGAACCAAACCTACTTCCACAACTCTCTCATGAAGCTGACCGGTCCCATGAGGAACCTGGCCACCAGCTAGCCCCTTCGGACAAAAGCCTGGGTCGTTCATCATTCGATAATGACATGCCAAGCACTGAGCAAAAGCCTCACACAAGCGGCGTTTCTTCATTGGGACACGCCCAAGAAAAACACACCATCGCTCCTCAGGTATTGGACCCCCCAGCGGACCCCGATGAACAGTCGCATGATTCAATTGACACCCGCACTTCGTCAGCGAGGCCTCCATCTCCAGCAAAGTTCAACGCACTTGAAGAAGAAAAGCATCCTCAACCCCCACTTCCTTCAACCAGATCTATGTCCACCTCCATGGCTAGTGAAGCAATTGGAGCGGGACCGCTGTCCCCTGTACTAGATTCAGAGGTTGAGCCCCTTTTGGCTGCCCACAAATCGGATTCACTGCCACCTATCGCCGAGCCGGTATCCTGTTTATCTACTGGTAAGCCACCACTACTCTCACCTTCTCACTTTTACATTGGGTATAGGTGTATATGTTTTGGTAATGGCAACCTTTTTGACCACTTCATAGTGCCGCCCCCTCAGTCGTCTATCCTAACCAGTGACACCCATCGTCCGGATCATGATCAAGATGAAGGCGATGCGCTTGCACCACATGCATTGGACACTCAGCCGACCAGGGCTCCAGCGAATGCCGAACCAATCTCAGTCGATGCCGTTTCGGCGACAATTCCTAAGGCGGATTCAACGGGTGAAGCGATCAACCAAGGGGCCTTAGAATGCACACCGACTGAAGATGAAGATGAAGAAGTTTGTCGCCGACAAAGAATTGCCGAGCGTTTGGCAAAGATGGGAGGAAGATCGATGATGGGTGGTGCCAGTCCGCGTCGTCCGCTTCCTGAGCCTCCAGTAGTTCAGCATACATTGACCACTGAAGATGAAAGCTTGGACACAATGGAGACACGTGAAAACCCTGCCGAAGTGGTCACTGAAGACAATCAAATTGAGAATGTACCTGTTGATAACACCGAGGAAGAAGAAGACGAATCTGCTCGGAGACGCCGAATCGCTGAGAGAATGGCCAAGATGGGTGGCAGGCCAATGATGGGTGGCATGGTGTCTATGTTTCCCCAACAGAGCCCAGGAGGTCCAGCCAGCGCGCCTAAAAGCACATCGACTGCAAATACAGCACCATCTCCTGCTCAGCCTACCCGAGCCCTCCCACCTGCTGCCCACCCTCAAAAAAGTAACTCTATCGATTCCAATTCCGTTCCTTCTCCCCCTCGGCGCGCGGCCCCAGTGCCCACAATTCCTGACCCCACTGACAGACCCGAGGAGTCTCCTCCGATCCCACCCAATCGACCTCGAATTCCCTCAACATCCCAGGTCGAGAGCGAAGGGACACATTCTGACCGTTCACCAGGTGCGATGTCGTCTCATCGCCCACGGATTCCCAACGCCTATAGCTCGCCAAAACGCTCAAGTATTCCTAGTCAAGGTCGACTAGCAGACGAGCAACTGCCTAATCCCGCTGAGACCCATTCCGAAGATCTCGCTAATGTACCTTATGAAAATGCTGAGCTGTTACCCGCAACACCACCAAGACGCAGCATTCCTAAGCTTCCAACAGCCCCCCTAGCTGTTTCAGTCCTTGGAAGTTCAGACCAAAGGGTGGTTCCTACCGAATATATGCCAGAGGAACCCATTGAGCCGGAGTCCGATCCTGGCATGGGGCAGACTTTAGACCCTGAGCAAATATACAGGGCACCGCGGGGGGACTTGGGGTCCGAGGAAACGACAGAGATGGGACTTCCAGTTCCAGCTCACCATCAGATGGACAGGATGAATTCTTTCAAGGCGCGGGACCTTGATATTGCATCGGAACGATGGTGGCGCTTAAGACCTGTAGCACCCCCGTCAAGTGTGACGTCATTGGATGACGTTTTGATCAGACTACAGGGAACGTCGAGTCTTAAGAAAGGAATTACGATCTCGCAGTATGAATTGATCGTGATCAGGGATGATTATTCCAAGACGGTCGTGAATGTGAAGTTTGGAGATAATCCGGAAGATGAATCGTCAACCGAATTAACCCAATCACACTACCCACCCCCGGAGCCATACGAAATTGGTCAACTACAAACACTTAGTCATTCCCTGGGCCCTCAGATAGTCAGTCGGGCCAAAGATAAAGAAGACGAGAAAGGTTTCAAAGGGCTCGATGGGTTCAGTTTTGTTAAGACGATCATACAATCCCTTGGTAATGCTTTGGAACCGGTAGGATCGACTTTCGGTCAAGTGATCTATCATTGTAATGTCATTCATGACTCAAAAGGCTCCCAACCGGAGATTCACATCAAGGATGATATCAGACCGGTAAGTATATTGGCGAGCCTCTTCCCCTCCCCCAACTTTCCAAGAAAAAGAAAAAAACTGAATGCACGTACTTTTTTTGTTTTCTATTGAAATAATAGGGTGATATAGTAGCTAGTTACGGGGCAAGCTTCAAAGGGAAAGGGATCGGGCACAACTCGATGAATTTGGGCAGTTCGATCAGCCCTCATACTGGAGTGGTTTCGGAAAACGATATCAAGAAGAATAAGTTTAAAGCCTTTGGGGTCTTCAATGGCAAAGTCGAGTTGATGTCTTATCGGTCTGTCAATCTCTCTCTTCTACATTTTATGCTTGTAATGGTCGGCCTAGCAAGACTACCATCCTAGTGTTTCACTGGCCGGCCACTGTCAATGATCATCGTATTCGTTTCTTTGCTGAGGCTTTTGTGCTTATTTAGATTGGATGAATTAAAGAGTGGTTCGATCGTCGTTTATCGGGTCTTAGATAAAGCCTTTTTGGAGTGATCATTCTTATCCTGGATCACTATTCTCATCGGTTCAAAAATAAATAAATAAAGTTTGATTTGAATGTTTCTACTCAGCCCATATACTAAAGCTCATCTTTCCCCCGTGTTTCCATGGTCTTTTATTCTATCATTTCGGTTTTTTTCAGATTCAGGCCAAGGTACCAGTAATCATCATTATCATCAGACATTCGAAGCTTTTTCTTCTTCTTTTTGTGGTTTGTTGATCCTTTATCTTCACATATACAAGTAAGAATATCTTCAACATACTTTCCAGAAAACGCATTTTATTGTCTCTTTTCCCTTTCAAGTTGATCGTCAGTGATTGTGTAATCAGTTTTTTTTTTTCTTAATACTTTGAATTCCACTTGAGTCGAAATGTATCATTAGAGCACATACAAATGTCACACTGATACCTCCCATCGCCCTTACAAAAATTAATATAAATACATCGCCAGGGCTATGAGCAAGAGTATAATGATTTCTTGAAGACAGTGTCCTGTAGCGTTCCAGTCTCCGGTCTCTTGAAATCTTTTACCTGTGACAGGGATATATGAGCCTCTGTTGGCTAACCAGCATCTACCATCATCTGCATGACTCATAAAGCAACCATTTCAGCTTGGAAATTCTATGTCCAGCAGCATCTCCTCAAGCAAGACGCGTCTGAGCCAGTGAGCTCTATACGGGGTGCGCAGGCCTGAGCTTCACCCGCAGTATGGGCAACTTCTGCCACCGTATCTGTGAGGATAGCACCTGGCCAACATGCCCACAAATCATAAACCCAATCAGGAAACTCTGTAATACAATCACTTTTATCAACGTCTGCGGTGACTACGCAACGTCGAGCAAATCCCCCAACATGGTCGTCCTGGTTTTAATGCGGGGCGCGCATGTTGGAAAGAACTGGCGGCCAACTTACCAAATTATGTTACCGACATTTTCCTTCTATGTGTTCAGTTGTAATCTCTGCTCGAGGCAGCGGAGATGGCCATGTGATCCAGGCGTCCCTGCTGCGGCACAAAGCTCGGCAGATCCCTATCGGTATATTCACCCCTCGGGGCTCCTCAGGGCAAAACTGGCCAGCCGGAAATATGTATGGTTTACTTCAGCATTCGGACAATTTCCTTTGAAACCTATGTCGACTGAAGCAGCGGAGATGGTGAGGTGTTCCGGCAGGTGCCCCAGTCGGCCCCGGTTTACAATCACCGCTCGGCCTACAGACTCGCACTTAATCGCTCCGAGGGGAGCTCGTGGATTGTAAATATTGATTCCTCAACTTGTATGCATACTCTGCACTTGACCTCACGTGAGTTGTGTTGCGGAGACGACGTCGCGTATGTAGACTTTCTGAAGGGGCATGTTCGTTTAGTATCTTCACGGGAAAAAAACTGAGGCGATGATCGTTAAGGTCGAGAAGCGAGCCTTTCGTCGGTCAAAAGTTGAGCCGGGGCCCTGAGCCCAGAGGACGATGAAACGTGTGATGACAAACGGTACTTTATCTTGTCCCCAAGAACGAGTTTGGGGTTCTATTCCCAGCTTCCCCGGCACAGGGATGTCCTCGCACACTTTCTGCTAGCTTATAAGCCTCTGGGTTTGGACACGAGTTGTGACTTTACTTCGGTTGAACAAACCGCAACATGAGCCTGAAAACCAGCATGCTTCTTTTAGTTTTCTTGGTGGGCACCACGGTTGCAGTCGAGGGCGTAACTGAGACGTTGCCGAAGATAAGCCTGGACAGTAAAATCGACGAGTCACTATGGGCTATGAGCAGAGATGAAAATCTTTCCTACAAGTCGGGTTGGTGCAGCTCGTCTCTTACAATCCAATCCCCCCTCCCTCCAGTTGCTTGTGAAGAAGGCGCTGGTTCTGCTCCCGAGTCCTTTTCTCGGCTAGACTCATGGTCATATCACTGTTCCAGTTTGCCCACTCGCCTGAGCCCTTGATAGCCTTTGAGAAGAGTTGCGATAGATGATAGTTTCTATAGCTAGTGCTGCTTAATTTATCGTTCTTCATGGACATGCTAACAATTATTTTATTGTACTTTAGCTCATGACATGGGCCATCAGCTCGCACAACAAATAATCTCTTCCGACAAAGATTGTTTTCACAAAGTTGCGCAGCGATACTTGCCTCAAGCATTATTCCAGTCCGACTTCTTAATTCAACGATACTTGCCCCCAGCATTGTTTCAATCCAACCACTCGAGTCAACGATACTCACCCCATGAATTACTTGAATTTAAGCGTTTGAAAGAGGATGAGATAAGTATTTTCGAGGAAACCGGAGTGTTAACCCAAGGTGAGCCCACTAATTTCTACCAACACCTATAAATTTCACGAAGAGCTGCTCAATTCTCCTGCTTCTTAATCTTCTTGGGCCAACTTTAGGTCTCACCCAAGACCACAAGTTCTATCTGCAACAGGGATTTGTGTCGAGCATGATAGATGCGCTCGTGCACAGTACTAGTATGCAAGGAAAGACCCTTCAGCCTCGTTTCTTGGAAATCATCAAACAAAGCAAACTTCCGGGTGGAATTTTGGACAACACGTCCCATGGGCCATTACCAACTGAACTTGATCCATCAAAGGATATTATTGCTTATTTGAAGGATCCACCGTCAAATGAGCGTAGCAATGCGGATGATGTGACACAATACTTTTTTATATTTCAGCTTTGGTGCATAGTGGATAGATTGACTCGTCCAACATCAAATTCTGCTCTAAAAATGGTAGACGAGCATCAAAAATTTCAGAAATTGATCCCATCCTTGGCCAGTTTACTAGTCGTGCTTCATGACTCTCAGATGTATCTGAAGATAGCGCCTATAATTGCTGAAAGGAGCGAAGCTGCCAATTCCCTCTCGCAAGAAACTGCGAAATTTTTGTCACATCACGGATTTTTGCCCGAGGCGTTTTTAGAAGATGAGGAAATCATTCAACATATGCTCAAGGCAACATCTTTGGCTGACATTCATTATCGCATCCTGAAGAAGAACAAGGACTTCGAGTATTGGGCTCTATCTAGGCCCCTTCTGACCGAAATCTACAAGAGGGCTATGGAAAAAGGAAAAGAATTGTCTAAGGAGTCAAGGCTTCTCATAGGTTATCAAGGAAGTATTAAAGCCATCAACAAGAAGCTGATTCATCATTCCCTTGAGTCTTCCAACCCTGAAGCGTAGAGGAAGTCTTTGGTGATTATTACCCCACCTCTCTGTTTATCATTTTCTTGTTTCCCTTCTTGATAAAAATAATAGAGGTATTTAGGCCAACATGGCTACAGTTTTTGAAAATGTCAAAATCGCTTAAATTCTAACTTTTATCTAAATTCAATTCCAAGATGGATTGTGTATACAATGATTATCAAAAAAACACAAACGCAAAGAAAAAAAAGAAAAAAAAAAACTACGGAAAGAAAATGTAATTGATTCTTTCCTTGATTGGGCTTGAAAAATGAATGTGGAATATATTGGTTGAACAGATCGCTTGCCTTGTGAAATTTGTAAAAAAATGCTCAATATGATGGGGGTCTAGCTTAACACAAGCCCCACCTTCATCGACTCCCAAAGCAAGCCTCGAAAGGAGGGGCTTGGGAGTAGAGAGAACTTCTTGGCTTGAGAGGCTTTGATTTTTTGGTGGGGGGGGGGGATTGCCCTACCACTTCCCCCCATCTTTCACCCTCAAATACGGCCTGCCTGTTGGATAATTGAAACTGGACAGATTTTGCCTAAAATCTCACAAAAGATGGGACTCTTTTTGCCTTTCAAACATATTTGAAATTCCTGGTGAATCTCATGATTTCTTGGATTCAATTTCAGGCCATCTGTATTCCTCAATACAGCCACACACAGATGGTCCAGGCTCAGGGAATCATGGACTTTGCAAGACATTTTGGATGTGGTCAAAAGAAAAAGAGAGGTCCATCCTTGATCAGATAGTAGGCAAGATGATAGATCCACCTGGCTCTAATGATCCAACAGGCAGGCTGTATTTGTGGCTGGAAGATGGGGGGAAGTGTAGGGCAATTTTCCCCCCACAAAAACATCAAAACCTCTCAAGCCAAAAAATTCACTTTACTCCCAAGCCCCTCCTTTGGAGACTTGCTTTGCAACTCAATTAAGGTGGCACTTGTGTTAAGCTAGGATGTGGGTGCATCATGTGTCATCTAGATGTTATGAACATATCACAACTAGCTTGCAATAGAGTATTGAGATCACAAACCCCCAAGACAACCTTGTTGTCCTTGCCAAGAACTGGCCTTAACAAGAAGCTGGGAGGGACCAATTGCTGTTTGAATTTAAAGATGACAAACAAAGGGTATTCTTGACAATTTGGGATGTGATTCAGTAACCCATGATATCAGCATTTTTCAATATGCTTTCAAAGCAGCATGTGTAAAGTTTTGTAGAGCCACAGGACCAATTCTACAATTTCAAGCAATCTGAGCTTTGTAAATATTGGAGGACTTTCCTCTGATATCTGTAGACCATACAGAACAAGATATAGCCCTACTGAGGTCAGATTTTGCTGGGAAATCTGATTCAGAGGGCTACAGAACAAAACCAATGGGAAGTCCTTCAAGATCTGTGAGCCCTATAGAATCAGATTTGGATCCACTGTAGTCAGATTTTGTAGGGAAGTCTGATTCAAGGGCCTACAGTACAAAGCTGATTCTATAGGGGCTACAGAACAGACAGGAAGTCCTTCATTTTCTTCAATTTACATGCAAGCATGAATACATATACAGATCTTTGATTTTGTGTTCATTTTGTTTGAAAGAAGTGAGGTCAGGGGAGTGCAGAGCTTCCACAGAAATATAATATTCATACATATCATACAAAAAAATACAATTGACAATCTACTGACAAAAATTCATTTCCAGATCCAGTCTGTTTGAGCTGAGCAATGTGAGGGTATATATTGTAGACTAGTTATTAACGCTCATAGATGATTCTCTTAATTTGGACAGCGGACGCAGTGAATAAAAGTCTTAGAACCAGTCTACAATTGGATGGGGGATTTAGAAACATGCCACTGCTAGAAAATGATGATGTGGATAACCATTAATTTTAACAGATCCATAGACTTATATTACGGTGATTAATCCACCACTTGGGAACAATGCTGTGGATGAAGGAGGTGCAAGGATTATTATTTATTTTTTATTACAAGGAAATTGCTCCATTTTGCTTGGATTTTATAAACCTTGTTGCAACATCATCCTACTTGGCCTGGGGAAAGGTTGCAGTGGCGACTTGACACTGTGAGCGGTTCCTGGTATTCGGTTTATCGGTCTTCTTCGTGTTTTTGTCCACTTTCTGTGGTTATCATTTGATGTGTTGTCGAAGACATCAGTCATCACGACGTATAAATATGAGAATGCAGACTCTCAGACTCAAAAAAAAAAAGAATGGTTTATTTACTTTGTTACAACACATCCCGAATCTGAACACATTATTTCCACACCCAAATCCTTCTCTCTTTTTGCCTCCCCCAGGCGGATGAGCTGCAACCGATGAGTCCCGACGTAGTCAGCTTTATGTGGAAAATTTAGCACATATTTAGAGGACCTGATCGGTTGGAAAATTCGACGTACCCTCTCCTGTTGCCGGGATGGGACTGCCCTCGGTGCCTTTGTCAACTGAGCAACATATAGGATTCACGAAATTCTTGCCGTATTTCTTACAATCGTAGACCGGCTTGGCCGGTTTCTTTCCTTTGGCCGAAACGTCTGGAAATATTACTGCTAGGATCAGTAGAAGTGATAGAGCCTTTAGCATTATGAGCATGGATCCCATGATTTTCAAGTGTTATTTGTTTATACAACAGCAAGGTATCCAGACCAAGTCGTTTATATTTTACTTAATTACAATACAGCGGATTGAGAGTTCTAGTTGGTTGGCTTGTTTGGCAATGCAATTTGGTGCATGTCTGGATGGGAGGCCTTTTATAAGCAAGCTGCCCCCCTCTGACAGACGAGGGGTACTGTGAGATTTCTTGCCGAGTCGTGAAGAGCCTGGTCGGATTCACCTCACGAGGTTTTGTCGATTGTAATTTGTGCAGTGCCAGCTGCAAGAAGCATGCTCGGTTTTGGCTTCCTGCAACTTTGTTCTCGGTCCCCATGCCTAGGATCAACAGCTCCGACAAGCTCCCTATCTCCCTCGGACCGGGTGTCACTGCGACGCGGCCTGCACCAAGCAACTGATGGCAGGACTTTTCACATCCTCGAGTGCCCTGGAAAACTGAGGCACTTTTGCTCACCAATCTCAACGCGTCCGTTGCACCCCGGTACATGGCTGCTGATCAGGAAAACCCTATCCAAGCAGCATCCGTCGGCGCTTTTGGAATAAGTTTTTTTTTTTTTTATTGCAGCCATGTGGGACACAGCCGCGATGTAGTTCTTCGGATCGGATACCAGTCAACCGGCACGATGGTTTGCTATCACTGCCCCCGGCTGCTTGGGTCTGACGCCCTGGAAGAATCACATCCTGGGACGCCCTGGCAATGCGAGGGACGTGTGTGCTCAGAAAATCTAACGCTTTGGCATCCCATGCAACGCGTCGCCACGCGTAAAGTCGTTGCCGGAAACGATTTGGAAAGAAGGTTTGCACAGCATAGGTGTTCTGTGCAACGGGTCGAGGCCTAGGATACGTGTGCCACGTTTTTTGAGTTGGAGTTGCATATCAGCCATATTAACTCACATGCGAGAACCAATTCTTTGTCAGAAAGAGTGATTCGAATATGGATGCGATTGTCCTGATCGTATTCCTTACAATGTTATGTCAAGCTTGACGCTGGCAGGTGTGGAAAACAGAACCCGATCTCTATAGTATGAACCGTTCTTGGGCAAAACAATCCCTTTTCTTTCTGTGTTGCCCGGGTCTTTCTGCCCAGCTTATCTACATCTATGAGCTGCTTCTTTCAACTCAATGGGACCATCATCTCCGCGACCCAAAGTTTGTGCACAGTTAAATCAACGTGGGAGTCTCAATCTTGATGAGGATCTATGACGAAATCACTAAGGATGGTCGGTTGAAGATGAAGCAAGGAAGCTCTCATTGAACCAATTTTTATCCGGGAGGATAGATGTTTTATTTAAAAAAAATGATTGCAAGGGTTATAATTGAGAGTATCAAGGGAGACTGGATGATAGAAGATTTGACCCAAGATGAGAAAGTCATAGAGGTGATGAGAACCACTAGCGATTTTTAGACTCGGAAGATTTGACAAGCGAGGGTGGGTGAGCGGAAGTAGAAGTAGAAGCCGGAGCAATGGAGGAGGGAGGGGGGTGTAAGGTGGAGAGAGGGACGACTTCGCCGAAGGTGAGCTTAGTCCAAAAGGTGAACATCTTCTGGTTCTCTGCCCCGGAGTCGGCCTCGTCTCCCCCCTCGTCTCCCTCCTCTTGAGTAGTCCCGCCTCCTCGCTTCTGGCTCGCTGGGGTGGGCCGGGTCGGCGACTCCTCTAGCTCATCATTCAGATCATCCGATTGGTACGTAAACGTCACTAACATGTCCGCCTACTCTCCCAGCACATCAACAAATTATCATAAAAATCGTTAAATCTGATTTCTTCCTTTCAAGAAAAAGATAAAATGAAATGAAAGGAAACTTACCTGGAGCGTACCAACAAATTGCTTACTCGTCTTTGCCTCGACCAAGATCGTCGTTCGATTAGCTTTCTTAGTCACCACGTTAGTTTGGAGAGCTCTGCGTCTAACCGAGTCGGTCAAACCGAAGGTACTGAGTCGATTGCGTTTGAGAGTTCCGCTGTCGTCGGCCTCCTTCTGCTCCATATTCTCTTCATTAGCCGCCCCTTCCGCCTCGTCCTCATCGTCGTATTCCCAGACCTCGGCAAAGGCGGCGATGGTGAATTCGGAGGCGAGCAGATGAACGTTGTAAGGGGGTTGCTCTGGCTCGTTCTCGAGGGACGACCGGACTGGTGTGGGCGGATGGATAGATAGCCGGACGTTGATGGGCTCATAGAGCGGGTTGACGAAGGTCATCTCAAACTGGTATTTGCGGTCCGGCCGGATCACCTCGTCAGGCGCCTCGCCAACACGACCCAGGAGCGGATTGCTGCCGGCTGCCGCCCCCGTTCTTCCTGCGGCGGCACTCTTGCGTGCAGCACTGATCCCAGAAGTTAGACGATCGGTGCCAAGCTTGGTCGAGGTCGCGATCCGCTTGCGGTGGAGTTCGATCAAGGGCAGATAATTTGAAGCAATCAGCTTGATCTTGAATCGGATCGACTGGGCCTTCTGTTCGGGCTTAATGAGGATGTGTTGACAGGTCGGACATCTCTTGGTCCGCTTCGATCTCAGAGGAACTCGACTCGGTTTCAAATCTTGGACCCGATCCAGATGATCCCAGGCTTCATCCCATTTCTTCTCGAGTGGCGTGAGATGCTCGATGAGTAGCGGACTGTCCTTACTTTGAGCAGATGGCCCAGGTCGATCACCGTGACGGTAGAATGCAAGCCGATCCGAGTCATTCTTGAGTGAGGATTTTTTGGCCGCACCTGAGGGGAAGAGTGATTCGTAGACCGGCACATCTTCCTTCCAAGTACCGTCGGGGTTCAAGTTAGCGGGCAAGGCGGCCGAGGAGCTGTTCAGGAGCGAATGGTTGGAGCGTAATTTGAAGACAGAGGTCGATAGACCCAATTGAGTGCCGTATCTAGAGACGGTTGGGACTTCCTTGGATAGGGCCAATGAAGCAGCTTGATGAGCTGGTGATCCAGAGCTCACGTTCCCGGCTGGACGATGGCCATGATGTGATGCTGCTAGTGGCTGAGATTGAGATTGCGATTTGAGATAACCCTCGAAATGTTCTTTCAGTTTATCGAATTCGAGTAATTCCGATTGTGATGATTCTGCCTGATGCAATTGTTCTGAGTTTTTTGGGAGTGAGTAAGCACCAATTCAAAAGGATTTTTCTCCTTCAACAATGAGCTACATACGCGCTAGAAACGTAGGTTTTTCGAACGAGATTCCGACCTGTTTGCTATCCCAACGGCAGAATGTACAGGCCAGGAAGAAAGGGGCTTCGCCGAGACTTGCTTGAGGTGCTTTGGGGTCGTCTCCATACGAACTCGAAGGGGGATCGGTGGCAACGGCAGAGAGGGTATGATGACACTGAGGACAAAGAAAACAATTTCTAGCGCATCTGTTGGAAGAATCAATCAATCAATCAGCTCTTCTGAGTCTATATCTTGTTATTTTTTGATGTTAGTTAGGGAGAGATCTGTAGATGATAAGTACCCCACACCTGTTCTTCTGCGATCGGATGTTAGCTGCTGGTACTTCGAACAGACAGTTTGGACAGTAGTAGCAGTTCAGCTCACAGCTCACACACTGCTCGCATCTGACCGCATCACACTCCTCACAGAAAAGGAGCGATGAGAGTGGGTGGTAATGGATCCCGACGATCGATGCGGCTGGTTGGTCGAACTGGGGTGGGATGGCGGAGATGGGGGTGGTATGAGGACAGAGATAGTGGACGGATGAGCTCATTGCGATCTGATCTTTGAGGGGGAAGACAGCTTTCTTGATGGTTTGCAGACAAGTCCAACTTAGCTGTGAGCCTGTGGGGCTGGGACAATCCAATCTCCCTTTTACATATTACAGCCTGCAGGCGCAAAAATTTCAAAACACCCTTCACTCGGCACAATAACACTTCACTTTCAAGTTGGCAGTGAACTCACTTCAACCAGTTAAATAATGTTTGTTTGACATCATAATGTTCCACGAGATAAAACAAAAAAACACACGAAAAAAAAGAACCAAAAGATGAATGGAAGAGTGATGTGATGAGAAAGATTGAATGCAAAAATAATTAAAATGTTCAAAAATCCATCACTTCCCCTTCAAGTTTACAAGATTCTCGAAATCCATTGGACGAACTCTCTGATACCAACGTCCCACCACATAAGCTGCAGTGCGATGAGCCTCTTCGACATATGCTACTTTAGGCTGGACCGTCGAAAAGTATTTGATCATGGCCAACTGAGCAGGGCGGAACAGGAGTTCGGGAGTCACCTGACCTTTCCCCCAATGGGACGCGATGGTAGCATCTGAGATTGCGCCGAGGATTGGGATGCCTTCGGTTGGGCCGAGTGTTTCTAAGGTCAGCCAGGTCAGGATGGTCATCAATCGGCGGTGATGGAGATCTCGCGAGAGCCCAAGCTTCTTCGAAAGCTGTTGGTGGAGATACTGGATCGCCTTGCTCAAACAGTTGAAGTATCGCTCGTACTGTCGAGCATTCACGTAGGATTGGTCGGATAATTGCAAGATTCTTAGGACTCCAGAGTTGGGCTCTTGCTTTGAGTAGTATAGAACTACCGGCAGTTCTGAGTGAGATTCTCTGAGCATCGTCAGATGAAAGTTGCCAAAGCTCTCCCGGAAGAGCTGCTGGAAATTGAGATTGGTCAAGTTGATCAGATCGAAGTCTGGGTGCTTGCTTCGTACTAGATCCGGCAGTTCTCCTTGTATCAACCGTCGTCTACTAGAGAGTCCCCAGAGAAATTCATATCTCTCCTGAAAGTATGGGTCCATGGGTAATTCGACCGGTTTCAATTTGACGGACTTTCCAGGCAAGTTGGTGACAGCTTCAGGATCAACTAAACAAATTGGTTGTTCGGATGAAATGTTAGGATAGGATCAATTGATGATTTCGGTTGATTTATTTATTTATCATCATTTGACAAAGTTTTTTTTTATAAGGGCAAACAGGATTTAGATCAGCTCATTGGAATCTGTTGCCACCTCGCAGATTTCGTGGGTTAAAATATAGCGTACCTCCAAGAGTAACAAGATAGCGTTGGAGCAAGTAGCTTGCCAAATCTGATGGCTTTTTAGCCTTACGGGATCCGGATAAGTAGTACAATATTTGCAACGGAACCTCTCCGACTGCAGTAAGCGATCCATTCTCCTCCGCAAAAGGCCATGGGGGCCGGATGATGCCCACGAGTGGCACGCTGTTTTCGGGTGCAAAGATTTGATTGTCGAGCCAGGATAATAGACTGGTTATTTCAGTATTATGGTTGGCTTGTGGGATCTCTAAACCATTCATAATCGCTATGTACTGGTCCTTCATCCATGCAATCAAGGTCTTGTAAGCTGGCTCGATATTGCGATGGGTTCGGAGGCTTCGAGAGTACGCGTTTAGGACGCGTACGAGTCCCCATTCCTGTTGGAACTTATCCACATGTCTGATGATCGCAAGAGGTACATCAGGGTGGAGAGGTGGGGGTACAAGCTGATGGCTCGTCAATTTGAAATCCGCCGAATTCCATTGGTTCTTGAACTTTGTGTAGTGGACGACTAGCAAAGGATCTACTAATTGTCTCCCCTTCAACATACTGCTCGGAAGTGGTTCGGATTCCAGGGCTTGTTCCCGAGTCGGTTTCTTTGCGGACGTTTTTCGCATCTTGGCCGGAGGTTGCTCCTCATCCATGACGCTCAAGGGCTGCTCCAAGTCTGAATGAATATCTTGAGGGGGGTGGAAGTTGACTGCTGATAATATAAAGTTAGGTACTCTAGTCAGACTCTCAAACATTGCTTCATCTGAATCCAGTCATATGGACCTAGTACTCACTTTCATGATGGACATCGTCGTGCAAATTTCCAAGCGGCAACAAGCCTTGGTCTAAACTTTGGTGGGAAACAGTTCTTTGGTCCCAATCACTATGCGACGTAGGAACATCTCCAGCCTGCAAGCTTCTGTGCGGCACAACGGGGAGTGCTGGAATTGAATCGGCAGACTGACTCTCAGGATGACGCTGAATTGCTTCACTATTGGGAAGGAAGAATGGGTTGTTCAAAGCTAGCACGTCTGCGTGAGTGATTGGAATATATCAATGAACTGGCAATAGAATGAACCCATCTCTCACCATAGCTGAAAGGATCATGACAAGCGAATTCGTGAGCGTTGCTTGTAGAAGCAGGGAGAGACGGTCCTGCGCTCCAAGGCGGTTCGTGATGACCGACCAGTGGATCTTGGAAATGGGTCGAGGGAGTGTTCCAAGGCGAAGGTTCAACCACAGGCCTCGGCTCCAAGGGCGACTGAAGAAGAGGTTCTGGATACGGCGAAAACTTCCGTCCGTTATTCAGATAACTTGGCGTCAATAATGAATCAAAGCCATCATGATGTGAAGTCGGAGTGTGATGATGGGCCAAGAACGGCTCTTCCTCCCACCAGTCCGGCCTCAGTTCTATTGGACCTGTTGCAGAAGTTAATCTTGATAGCCATGCTATCGCGCACAAGGAAAGCCATTGCTTTTGAGCTCGATCAACTGACATCTTGGCGGTATGGGTGATTAAGGGTTATGGCGCCGGAGACAAATCGTACATGGAGGCTGCGATGCTCGGTCCATGCTTCCTGAGGTTCGGCAACACAAACCGCGAACATGCTCATACTTATTAGGAAGGTTACCCCCAGCTAAGAAAGTGTTTCGATCACGATTGGTTTCCCCAAACTCCACAGTAAACGATCATGTAATTTCCCCGGGAAAGAACTCTTCGTTATACATATGGCCCCACCAGTGCGTGAGGCGCACACATTTGTCAGGCGTCTGGCGGTCAGAAGGCTATGCGGCCCAATGTGTTCTTTTGCCGATTCAGTTCCCCTCTGAGTTCACCTGGACGCGATTCACAAAAGCACATGAAGTCTGACAATGTGTACGTAGCGTTTCGGCACCATGTTTCGCAAAATGATATACACACATGACTTGCTGCAACTTGAACATTCTTAGTGGCACTGGATTCGATGTGGCCCATATTAATTTGGTTAATAGTTAATTGCCCCCCTTTCACCCAAAAGTAGTAGTAGACAAAAAAAAACGAGATGTGTGTGTATTATGTATGTTATATAAAGGATTAAGATCAAGTACGATGAAAAAAATAACGACCAATCAAGAAAGAAATAGAAGGCGAGAAAGAAAACAAAGGAAATCCCTCGACACGTTGTTAGACGTAATTAGTACATGATGTATACAGTATAATGATACTAAAACAATGGCAGTGACATAAAATAGTCTGGATATTATTGGTTATCGGGAATTTCTGAAATCGGTGCCACATAAACGTATACTTCAATACGTCCTCAATGAGTCTGAACTGCGAGTCCACAAGACAGTTGGATGATTGTACTTATGCTAGATACCAGCGCCATGGTCTACCTTGGTGATCACTGGGAATGAGGTTGAATACAAACTGGAAGTCAGGCATTTTTTGTTTCAAGGCATGATATAATGTGAAATAAGACTCACCCAGAATGGACACCACCCGGTGAAACATTGAGCCAAATTCTCGGCCGCAACAGCTTTGAGGATCAGTTTATTGACCTGATTGGCCACACTCAACTCTTCGCTGGGCTTGAAATCTCTCCCTGTACAAATCATTTTTTTAGTTGAGTCAAGAAAGTGGTTAGTGTCCCGAGAAGAAAACAAAAAGAACCATGTCAACAATTCAAGAATGAGGAGGATGGTCTAACCTGTGAGCTTTTGTTCGACTCGATTGACGACCGTCAGCGCTTTATCATTGAGCACTTCGGCTTGGGCGGTATCGTATAGGTTAGTTTCAACCTCTCTCGGTCGACGCATCCGAGGGCCTGCCTCTGCATGAACGGAGATGTTGATACCGCAAATTGGAGCGAAGAAGAAGCGCTTAGAAACACATCATAGAGCCCAAGGAGCGCCAATGAGAGTCTGCAAGCTTACGGTTAGTTGCACCTCCTTCTCGCTCATCCAGTTGCCTTCCACCTTTGACCAACCTCCAATTGATCAGAGGATCATGTACGAAAGCCTCCAAGACAGCCATGATACTTTCTTTGTTCGACCTCATCACCCGCATCGTATTCTCACTGGTGATTCGGAAGGTCCCTTCGACCCCACTAATCTCCATCGCTTGGACTAACATTCTTGTCAACCTGAAGGGTATCTTTTCGGGCCATTTCTGTTTAATTTTCAAGAGGCAAAAAAAGGAAAACAAGGGTCAGGATTTGTAGATCTGATTATTTCCAATCAGCTCAGGCGTACTTCTCGTGTCATAGCAACTTCAAAACAATCTCCGAAATCGACATGTATGATCATTCCAGTCACTCGGTCCAAGAGCAAGTTAGATGGATGCCGATCTCCCAAGCCCAATACGTCTGTATATCCGTAAATGAGAAATGCAATGTGCATGAGTTCAATAGACCATCCATCATGAAGGCACTAAATATGATTAAAATTTTCGAATGTGCATAAGACGTACGTCCAACCATTGACATCACAGCCAAAGATCGAGAGTAATTGATTCGTCGATCCAACCAAGCTTCAGAGTTCCTGCTCTTCAGCCACAACACCCGATACAAATCTTGCCCGGTTGTATTATCCATTGCATACTCGAACACTTCGACTTTTTGTGTCAAGCACAATCGTTCATGATCGATCGCCATCTGTTGCATTAATCGTGCTTCAATGTTTAGCAGAATCTTTCGACCTTCCCGATAATTCCTGTTAATCCCGGCACACAATGAGGTATTTTCGAGAGATTAATAAGAGAAGCTTTTGATATTAAGGTGTAATGTTTTTGATCTGTACTTACTTGATCAACACATGCAGCGTATCAGTATTTTCGATCCAAGCCAACAAGCCAGAATTAGGAGCCAAGGGAATGACGGCATATCGACGAATGTTAAGGTGCCTCTTGAAAGTTTCGGGATCCTTCGAAAGGAGAGTATTGATCAATCCAAACAATTGCATCACTCGTTCATCTTGTCTCAAGTCTTCATGTCCTTTCAATAAGAATCGGTAACATCGACCTTCACTGCCAACAATCGACAGCTCTCGAGGCCTTTGTTTAGATCCCATGATCTTACAGATCGGTGAGATAAATCCGATAGTGATAACTTGTTTGCCACTGCGGTAAGTGCCTAGTACAAAAAGATGAAGGGATGCTTGTGAGACCCCTGAGTGATTTTCTCATTATCGAGAAGGATTATCCACAAACTTACCCGGAACAGCAATTTCCAAATCGCGAGCTTCCAGTAAGGGTGGCGAGACAGTTTGCATGTCGAGCATATGGGTCATTTGAAGAGATTTGGCAATACTTCGGAAGACCTGCAAAGACGCCCAAGCCAAACCCCATGAGGTCAGTTGCTATTCACGCTATTCTTCCGGTGGGACTTATTTGCTTACTTGGTAGTATAGATCCCATGCCTGATTGAGGTCGCTCACATCCCCTCGCTCTCTGTACCTCCGACAACAAGCACGAGCTTCCATCAAATCGTGACCATAAGTCGATGCAAAGTGTGATTCCCGAATCGTTTCAGGGCCCTGAATAAAAAAAAACGCGATTAACGTGAACAAGGGTTTAACTGGAACACCCCTTTACCATGTCATCAAGCTCACCTTTTCCAATAGGTCATGTAGCGGCTCCAAAGTGGCAAACATTGCGTCGATATTATGATCTCCGTAAAACAATCTGGACGCCTCTTCCAAACCCTCATACCACATCTCAGGCCACAAGATTGCCGCTCTGACTAGCTCACTACTGACCAACAAGGCCTACAAGATGAAGATGGAAAAAAATGGTTGCATTTATCTTAGCGATCGGACATAATCTGCAAGGTCGATACAAGAGGGTAACTGCCAACTGACCTGTTCAATTAGAAGGGCACTGTGCATCTTCATTTTGGTGATGATGTCGAGTGCTGCTTTCCTCCTAGGTTCATTGGGGTATTTCGAGGCCACTACCAACGGGTATACTAATGCTTGAGGGTGGGCTTTACCCACATCGCATAAGATGTTGTGGATGAGACGTCGAACGTTGGCACTTGGAGCATGGATCCGTGCGATTAACTGAGGGACCACCTCTAACCAGGTGTCGATACTAACGTTACCGAAACCGTCTTGAATGGCATTGGCGACTACTTGGTGATCGCCGTACTTGAACCAAATCCCTAGCAATCTCAGGATATCTTGAAGCGCATTCCCGGGTGACAGAGCAATTGACTTGAAGAACGCTTCAACGGCCGGGACTAAGTGGTATTGGACGATCTCAGCTGGGACCGAGTTGGCATCCTGATTGCGTTCGTAATGGGAGGCCACCTTTGAATTTGCTAAGGCCCATGCATGCCAAGCTTTATACCACTCCGGATCGAGTTCTGATGAAAGTCTGTAAGATTCTAGAATGTCTGCAACCGCCGGTGAGCTCCAATCTTCTTGAAGTTGGGATTGCCATTCACCAAGTTTAAGATGACAACGAGATAGCAATCTTTGATGCTCAACTCTTCGACTCTGTTGCTCGAAATCTTGATCACCACCTTGATCTCGGTGATCGAAGACGTCCTCACTCAATCGAAGTGTAAAATCTTTGAGGTACATCAAACTGTCTTGTTTCGCTCCTGACCCCCACATATATTTGATGTGCGAGTATATCACCAACGGTGGACCACGCTGAACCGTATCGTATGAGATAAAGAAAGCACAGGGATTAGCGCAATATTCATGGATGTGTGGATGCTTCTCGAAATGAATTACCGATTCAAGACCATTATCAATATCTTCACTCATCAAGGAATTCAGCGTTTTCTCAGCAAGTCCTAGCCTTCCGGACTTCCGACACAGCCCAGCGAACTTGATCCACATTCCAACGTCTTCTCGAGGTGTCAACACTAAGGCTCTGACTTTCAAGATTCTCTGCCAAACTTCAACATCACGTTGGCAGCCTTTTAACCGCTTCATCCAAGTCCGCTGGATCTGCTCCTGTTTACTTGGGTCATCATCCTTACATTCCTTGTAGGCTATGATTTCTTCGAGCTCCGAAAGCATTTGAACCCTGACAACGAGACTGGAGTGAAAGAGAAAACGGAGGTTGAGAGACGAAATCGATCTGATAGATGAAGTGGGCACATAATGGGGACTTACTTGTAGGCACGACTGTAACTTTCGCCCAAGAGGGTCGAGAGCTCAGTGTCTAACGTGTCACGAGCTTTGTTGATAAGTCTCTGAGCCACTGAATGTTGACCGCGGTGGATGGAAAGGATGGATTTAAACCAAGCCTTTTCAGCCGAATCAGATTTCAATACATTGATGTAACTATCCATACTATCCCATTGTGCCAATCCCCATGCAGCCGCAGCCGCCAATGGTGCCATGGTTCGTTTGACCTCGTTGGACGAGCTCTCCCAGTTATCCTGGGCCATTTCCGACAAGGATTCCCATTCTCCAAGCGCATGTAGACACCTCATCCCACCTAAGATGGCATCAATTGACTTGGGATCTTCTTCTAGCTTTCTGGTGTAACTGTCCAATGCATCCTCCCACCGTTCAAGCTCCTCAAACCATTCCTCTCGGATTTCCATTCCAAAACGCTGTTGAGCCATCGTCAGTACTCCTTGTGCCGAATCTGGTTGTTGCAAATGCTGATTGATCTGAATCAGACTGTCCAATGTGTCCGCTGTGGGTTCTGTGAATGCTTCTATTTCCTTGTAATGCAACGCTTTCGCAAATGCATGGCACTTTTGGGCGTACATGCCCAGGGTACTAATCCGGATCGGCAAAACCTTTTCGTCATGTTCCATAAATTCTGCCAAGTTTAAGAGGGTCTGAGTAATTTCAGGAGGGATTGTCGGCGAAGAGAGCGCGATTTGAATGGCTGCAACCAATTCAACCTAAGTGAGGACCAAGAGGTTAGTGAGCATGTCAGACTTGTATGCTCCAAGGGCTCCAACACTGACCTGGTATCGTTCGAATAGCTCCATCCAGCAAGACACAAAAGCGGCATTGAAGAGCTCTCTAGCTAGGGGCGGATAAACACTAGATAGATTCGCACAAGCCCTCAGACAATGACTCGGGGATGATTGTAACAATTGAACGGAGAGCCGTTTGATCCACTCTTTCCAGTCCTCAGATTTTGGTTTTTTAACGGTCGACGTCTCCCAAGCAGACTTCAGGTTTTGTTGATTCACTTGGAATTTGGTCGTTCCAGCATCTGGTGCAATGTCTGACTCCACTGTCACATTCGCCTGCGGTTTGTTAAAATTGGGGTCGGGCAAAGTCTCACCCTTCAGCAATTTCAAGACCAGCGATTCGTACAATGGGTGTGAGTATCTTGCTTGAGTCAAGGCCTATGCGTGTTTCGAGATGAGCAGTATGCATTAGTTAACCGTGCTTGTATGTAGTGGATCATGAAACAAATACTCACATGATTGACTGTTGACAAGAAGATCACAAAGTCAGGCCCAATCTGAATCAGGATACTGCAGATCGCATCCATCGTCAAGCCCCTCAACTCATTATTACCCACATTGACCACTCTGATCAAAGGGTGAATAACTCTCGAGACTTGATCGATCAAATTGATTTTCATACTCAACACATTCAAGGTAATGATCGCGTTCTTCCTTAAGCTCAGTGGCAACTCGGGTTTTTCGATCGTCTTGATGAGGCAGGGTAACACTAATTGGATGTAATCTTCCAAGTTGTTGCCAAATGTCTGAAAAGCCTTCAGGATGTGGTTAAGAGTTTGGTATTTCTTTTCCAGGAAGCTACTTGACGATTCTGAGGCTCCGCCGGTAGTTCCAGAGCTTAGGCTGCCAGATGCTGCCACCGTATTGCTGTAATCAAAAGAGTCGATAAGAAGCGGCAAGAATGAAGGTAGGTACGTCCGGAACTCGCTCTCCAGCGCCAGGGCTATCGACTCGATCAGATCCACAATGACCGTCAGTAGTGTCGAGCCGCTTGGCCGAGTGACGGTGACAATACCATTTTCATTCAGTCCACCGGTTGCGGTAACTCCAACTCCTCCACCCACGTTTCCCCCTGCACCAGATCCACTAGCTACGGTGCCACCACTGGTGCTAGTCGAGGAGGTGTTGTTCATACTCCAAAACTCGTGGATCAGAGTGATGATGGAAGGGAGGTGATTCCTGATGTGATGTTTGACCATTTGAATTAAATAACCTAGTTGTTGAAAATAATACTCCTGTAGAGCCACATTACATAGACGCATAGCACTTAGATATGCTGGGATGACTTTGGGAAGAAAGCCAACACACTTCAATCTAAGCGAGCGAAATATGTAAATGATTGCCTGGACGACAGCGGCGTGATGATGCGATAAACTCGAGTCGCTTAGAATTGATAACAAGGCTGAAAATGCGACGGTGGGATAGTAGTTCTCATTTGAAGAACCGATCTGGTCAGGATGAGAGGGATCGGTGAGAATAGGTGCCAAATCTAAAGAGGATCCAATCCCAATGGCGATCCCACTACAGCCAAATTGATCTAACGCGGTGTTTCTGTAGGGATCTAGAGCGCCCAGGATTCCTAAGACTCGCAACGCCTCCCTACGAACGTGACTTGAGGTTTCGGTCTTTAAAATTGATGTGATAATTGGCAAGAGCGTTGGCTCATCGAAGTAAGGCTCGACCACATAGCCCGTATTTGAGCAGAGCTGACCGAGTGTCTTCAGGGCTGCTTCCCGCTTTCCCGGTGAAAGATCTTTCAACGTGTCCATAATCAACTGCATAATAGTGCCTATTTGGCTGGACACCTCGGATCCCCCTACTCGCGCTAACTCACCCAGAGCCATCATGATTGAAGAAGCCACTGCAGGATTTGAATCGCGAGCCTTTGGCAATAAGACTTTAAGCATGGGGGCCACATATGGCTTGGTGAGACTTTTCGAACAGCTGATAAGATGCGCCAGGAGATTGGAACTTTCTTCCTTGCGCCGGACATCACTGGAGTATTCGAGGTCAGTCAAAAGTTGAATTAGCGTTTTCCTTAGATTGGGCACGATATAAGCCGGATTGCGCTTGGCAAGGCGTCCAATCGTCTTGATAGCCGATTCCCTGATGACATGGACTTCGTCATTCAGTACAATGAATAGTTGTTTGATATTATTAGGGTGGGCCAAAAATCGATCAAATTTCGAATCTAGGGCCAAGAGAGTAGACTGCCGAATCGAGGGTAATGGATCGGCGATCACGACAGCCAGTAGCTTTGTGAGAACGTCCGAGATTAGCTTGATAGCATATGATGAATTTTGATGGATGATAGGATCTCGAGCCAAAACTTGAGCACAACAAGTGGCAGCAGCCTGTCGAACATCGGGGGACTCGTCATCTGCATATCGAATCACAACATCCCTCACAAATTCATTCAGCCTATGCCCTTTGAAGTTGAATGTGCCCAGAGTTTTTAAAGCCAGAGTGACTGTCGCTCGATCAGCTTCCATGGCCTGGAAAAGAAAACCAAAGATAGCGTTAACGCATCATAGCAGAAAAAACGGCACCTTCAAAGGTGATAATGATAAGAATACTGACACTAAGATCAGCCGGGCTGGATGCAGCCTTCCAATTGATAGGCATCCCAGGAGGCTTGAATTTTTCTCCAGAAAGTGTCACCGCAAGCAGGTCGAGCAACTTCTCTGTAGAACCAAACCAGATAGAGAAGAAAAATGCAATTGGTCAGATTATATCACCATGTCAGGATGGAGAGTAGAGAGTAGGAACTCGATCATACCTTGGACAATGGGCAATAGAGGAGGGATGAACCGTGCCAAATCGACCAGTGCCGCTCTCAGAGGTTCGCTGAGACCGTTGGAAAACATCAACTCGAGCAATTCGTGCATGTGTTTGGTCATGGCTTGCCCAACAGCTGCAGCACACTTGCTGATACAATGAAAGATGGAGGCTTCGGAAGGACTGTTCTTTTTGCCCCGATTGACTAAAGCTTCCTTGATAGATGCCAGGACGGCCTCGAGATATAAAGACATCTGCTGTTTGACGGCGACAGCGACGTGTCCGATTGCGTAGAATGAGGTGGTGCGATCTCGGTCCTTGCGTAGTTGCTCGATAAGATACATCATACATTGATAGAGATATGTAGAAGAAAATTCAACAGAGTTGTAAGAGGCCAGGGTGGGTATTAGTTCCACTACTGCTCGTCGGACTAGGGCTTCTCGATGGTCTTTATAAGTTAGAATTTGATCCGAGATTTCGTGAAACCGAGGTCGCATGAACTGACATCATTAAAAAAAATGGAATTGCTCGTCATCAGTTGTCACAGCGAGCCAAGAGCAGCATGAGGATAAGGTGAGTGAACCCATCAAATAATGTGTACAAAAAAACACTAACAGTTCCACCTTCAAGGATTAATTCTTTGATTCCTAGCAAGCTACCATGAATGGCATCAGAAGTGCCTAGTTTGAAGCCTTTCTGGGCCTGCTGTAGAACCATCAAGAAGCATTCATCCCGGGTGGTACTTTCACGAGTTGAGGTGAAGCAAAGTAAACCAGCTAGAGCGTCTGATGCCACTTCTCGGATCACGACTTTCGGATCACGCATCGCAGTCCACAGATTATCGAGTAGATCGGGCAGAGCATCGTAGATAACACTCGAGGGAGGCACTCGAACCATCTCTCGAAGTAGAAGGGCAGCGGCATGTCGTCGTTCTTCTTTCCGCTCACCCTGTAGCCATTCAATCACACGAACAAGTTGTTTTCGAACGTTCTCCAACATAAGATTGCCCCCTTTCGAGCACAGCCGGGCTTAAATAGCGCAAAGTTGTCGACAAGGTAATATGATTCTAATTAGATTGACGCACACCAATCGATCGAGACGAGATAATATATTTCTGTGTCAATTATGGACCAACTTACCAAATATTTTGGCTGCGTAGCCCATCACTAACGGATCTTGACAGGGCAAAACTTTCTGAACGTAAGAAACCAGTTTATAAGCCCTGGTGGTATCTTCTCCCATGATGTCGATGAGTTTCTCTGTAGATGGAAAGAAGGATGATATATGAGCTGAGGTTGATAAAGAGACGAAAATGAACGGTGATGTACCCATTGCTTGGAGAGCACCCAATTTTTCGTTCATGTCATTTGATGAGACTGCGATTTGAATTCGGCCGCTAACTTCGTTGTAGACTTTCGTGAACGAGTCACCCGTTACTCCTCGAGAAGAAGTGAGGACCTAGAAGAATGTGATTTAATTTTTTTTTGTGTCAGTTTGAATTACTATTTGATCGAAACTTTTGGCAAACAGATAAAAAAAATTGTAGACAAACAAATTGTTGGACTTCATGAGCCGCACGAGAGCGAAGTTCGTCTGATCTAGAAGAAGCAATGAGCAGTCAGGCTTGAGTTTGGGTTTTTGAGAGTGAGTTTCTCAAGTCCTGACCTAGATTTGAGATCGACGAGGATAGCTTCGATCGGTCTTGGGGCGATTGAGCGATCCATATATTATTATGATTAGATTAGATGATAATGTGGAGACGGTATGAGATGGATGATGATTATATTGAGGGTGTATGTAAATAGGTCGATCGCAGGAGGATATTGATATGATTATAATTGAGGGTGGAGGTTGTACATTCAGACTGCAAGGTTTTCGGACAGATCGGTGATTCACATGGAGTTTCTGAGACTGTGTTGGAGGGAGTTGTTGATGAAGTTGTGGTGTCGGTTTGTTCGATCAGAGCCAATGGAGGATGAGGAGGAAGATGATAGCTAGTACAAAGAAACAAGTTGAGTTGGTTAGCTTGAGTTGATTGGGTGTTAATTTGTATTTCGTCGAGAAGTGATTTTATTTTGTTGTGATGGGATGGGATGGTTGGGGTTGTTTCTCCTGACCGTCTTTCTGATTTGATAGCTTCTGTTCAAGTAGTGGCGATCGGGCAGATTTCCTGGGGCGATGGCCATCGAGGCACACTTGCTGGCTTTATAAGCCGGAGTTTGGAAACCAGCCCAACAACTACAACAACCATCCGAGCTATCTCCCCGTCTCATGCGGGGCACACCCGGGATCGGGGAGTCCGGGGAGCTGTGACATGTTGTCTATGGAAATCTGGGTGAATATGATCGACTGTACAACGCGTCGCCGGTCAGTGGGAATGTGGATCCCGAGACGCGCCCGCCGTCAGCACATACATCCAATCGGAACACTGAGCAACCACTCTTTGATAACTGGCATCAGTTCCTTCAGTAAATTATACCAGGCGTTCAACATACATATTCTGGAAGACTACAACTACATTCGCCTCAATATACAACCAGCTGACATTGTTTGCTTTCAAGTTGAGCCCGACGGATCGCCCAGCTCTCACAGGCAGGCAGCAGCGGCTAGACGACCGGCGGCACGGTAGAAGTTGAACTGGCAGCAAGTCAGCCCTTTGAAGCTGACAGGGGTTTACAGTTACATAAATGGATATTCAGCCAAAAGTAGACGAGAACGGAAGTCCCTATCCCATCCCATCAGACTCAGAAGCATTACTCCCCAATAATCACAACTCCAACGAACCAATACCCCCACATCAACAACTACCATCCTATTATAACCACCTTCCAACTACTCAAGACCAAGCAAACGCTCGTCGAACTGGCCTGACCGACTCAAGCGAGCGCTCAGCTATCGATATGCCACCCCCGATCACCCACGAGCTCGACCCGTTTACCCATGCGATCGGGATCTCAGATGAGGACGAACAGGGCTACGCGTACGGGGCGGAGGATGAGAAGGAGTCAGCATATGCGAACATCGTCAGCCAGGACGATCACAACACCTTCAGCTCATCCATTCATTCATCCGCCAATCCCCACTGGGGTCCCGCACCGGCCGGACGCGCCCTCCGACGAAATCGCACCCGCAAGAGGGTCGCCCTCACCAACGGAAACTTGGTCATCGATCGTCCCATACCCGGGAGACTGCTAAGCTTCCTACCCCGGAGGGGAGAGGAGGAGTTCGAGATCATGTCCTACACCGCTGCCACTTGTGATGTTCGCCCCGCTCGATTGTCTGTCTTTCTTTCCTTCCTCATCCTCATCCAACGCGAATCTGACCAAAAAAAAAAAAACTTGTCTTCAAATAATACTATTCATCTCTCGACACTCAGCCTGATGACTTTGAATCAGAGAAATATACACTTCGGGCTGCTAAGATGAACCGCGAAACTGAGCTTTTCGTTGGCGTTACGATGTATAATGAAGACGAAGTTTTATTCACCCGAACGATGCACGGAGTCATGAGTTAAGATCACTTCCCACTCCATCATCTCCAGATCATTAAAGTACTGCCCTTAGAACACACAAGAAGAGGCAACAAAAACTCATATCTGCCGTGTCACATAATTATTTCTAGAAAATATCGCTCATCTTTGTACCAGGAATAAATCTAGAACGTGGGGCAAAGACGGCTGGAAGAAAGTGGTGGTCTGCATCGTTGCAGATGGCCGGAAGGTCATTCATCCACGCGTTCTAGACTGGTAAGCTGTCCTCGTCTCATCTTAAAGAAACAAAAAAAAAGCTGGAAGGAACTCATAACGCCATCGATCTTTTTATTATTTCTTTCGATCATGCAGCCTTTCGGCATTGGGTGTTTATCAAGACGGAGTCGGATCCAACATGGTTCAAGACCAACCGGTAACCGCCCACATCTACGAGTTCACCACCCAACTTTCGGTCGACAGTGACCTGAAGTTCAAAGGCTTAGAGAAGGGCATCGTACCTACCCAGATCATCTTCTGTATGAAAGAGCGGAACCAGAAGAAGATCAACTCTCATCGGTGGATGTTCAATGCCTTCTGTCCGCTCCTTCAACCTAATGTCTGCGTCCTTCTCGACGTGGGCACCAAGCCGGGACCGCGCAGCTTGTACCATCTTTGGAAATGCATGGACCTCAACTCTAACGTCGGTGGCGCATGTGGCGAGATTTGTGCAATGAAGGGCAAAGGCTGGCTCGGACTACTCAATCCGCTAGTGGCTGCTCAGAATTTCGAATATAAAATGTCAAGTGAGCAGAAATCCTCTCATAAACTCATCATGTCACGTCTTCGGGCTCAAGTGGCTGATAATCAATTTTTTTTTTTCAGATATCTTGGATAAACCAACCGAGTCCGTCTTCGGTTACATATCTGTTTTACCCGGCGCATTCTCAGCCTATCGATACATTGCACTGAAGAACGATGAGATCGGCCGAGGACCGCTAGCGTCATACTTCAAGGGTGAGACTCTTGCCGGTCGGGATGCGGATGTGTTTACCTCGAACATGTATCTGGCGGAGGACCGGATCCTGTGTTGGGAGCTGGTGGCCAAACGAGGACACAACTGGGTGCTCAAGTACGTCAAGAGCGCCTGGGGAGAGACCGATGTGCCCAACGAGGTCCCAGAATTCATCAGTCAGCGCCGGCGGTGGCTCAACGGAAGCTTCTTCGCCGCTATCTATTCTTTGGCTCACATTGGACAGATGACGCGGACCGAACACTCTCGAAAGAAAGCTCTCGCACTCTACTTCGAAGGACTCTACAACTTCTTGAATCTTTTATTTGCTTGGTTCGGATTAGCAAACTACGTTAGCATCACCCCTCTTCCCTCTTTCTCGGCTCTTGCCATCACCCTCCTTCCGGACTTGCTAACTCGCCCTCCTCGTTTATCAGTACATTTTCTTTGTATTACTATCATCCTCACTCGAAGATCCATCTCTCAAAATGCCCAAGGCAGTCAGAATCATCAACACTCTATTACACGTAAGATTACTCGCTCTTGTTAATAATCGAAGAGAGTAAGACGATTAACATGCGTAGAATGCTATTACTTAGTATCTCTATACTGGAACTTTGATAGGATGTTTTTTGCTATCGATGGGCAACCGACCACAAGGGTAAGTCAAGTAAAATCTACCCAATTAATAAAATAGGGAACAGTCAGTTGACTGTCACTCTATCTTCTCCAGGGCCAAGTGGAAGTATATCACTGCCATGATCATCTTTGCGGGTCTTGCACTCTACATGTTGGTCGCGTGCGTCTTGATTTTAGTCAAAGCTGTCAAGGGTGGTGCCAATGCCACCCTGTATGCGCAAATCGTCATTTCATTGATCGCAACCTTGGGTAAGATGGATCCATGTTGTTATTACTCTATCGACGTTGACTTATCTGGTATCTTGTGTACAATAGGCTCTTGGATCACATCTAGTATCCTAGCGCTAGATCCGTGGCATTTGCTGACTTGTATGTTGCAGTATCTGTGAGTATTGGTCGCTGGCTTGATCTTCAAGGGTTCAACTCATTCATTGCTCATCATTCCTTATTATTTTATTACAGGTTATTGGCCCCAGCATATATCAACGTCCTCAACGTTTATGCATTTGCGAACCTTGTAAGCCAAATGATTTTGGTTCATGGTGTTTTTTTTTCGACGAGTTTCTTACTGAAGTTGTTGTTTCCTGATGGCGTAGCACGATTTTTCATGGGGCACGAAGGACCATAACATCATTCTGACCGACCTGGGAGTAGCCGTCTCTGCAGGCGATTCGAAAGTAGAAATCACGTGTCCATTGGAGCAGAAGGACCTTGACCAGACCTACGATGAAGCGCTCATGAACCTCAAGACGCGGCCCAAACTGCTCGAAAAGAATCGGTCGGACAAGGAGAAAGAAGCTCTCAAACAGGACTATTACAAGAGTGTTCGGACAAACGTCGTCTTGCTCTGGACGCTCACCAACGTAAGTCTTCACCTGAACCGCTATGCTTGTTCCTCATAGATAGTCCCTCCTTATCGCTTGGGTTATCTAGGGTATCTTGGTCGGTTGCATTTTGGATGGGGATGTCACAGGCTCATTTGCTACTGGGAAAGCCAGCTTGAAGGTCCGGCTATACATGATCATCATCCTTGGCTTTGTAGCCTTCAGTGAGTCTCCGGCTTGCATCTGTTCGACCATCAGTCCATCCATCTGACCACTCCTCCCAATCCTTTTCTCCTTTCTTACAGTGGCGCTGATCCGGCTCGGCGGCTCGACTATCTACTTGGGCATTCGACTGTTCGCCGGCTGATCTCCGACGGACGTGGTGATCTCCTTGGTTGTTTAAAAGACGTTTGATTTCGGCTTCGATCATGCTCTTATTTATTTTTATCTACATTGCTCACCATTGTAATACTTGGATGTAATTCTTGCCTTCCTTTTTCATTCCATCAAGTATCTCCCACTGTCTTTCTTTGTGGTTGATTGTTGTTGTGGTTTTTTGTCAGTTGGATCGTTGGTTTTTCTCACGTTCAAACTACGAACGCACTCAATTGAATTCTTTGCGACGGATCACAATCTGTTCATAATGTCTATTGTCATGGTACATACTAGTTTCAATCCTATCGTCTCGTCAGTTTACTCGGTAGATTTCCCCACTGCAAAATCTAGTACTCCCATGGGTTCATTCGCAGCCTGGGAGCTGCTTTCAGATGACGCCCCTTCCGGTTTCATCTGCGATGGCTGAAGCCATCAAACAAGCTACATACGAGTACATACAATGCTCACAGATCACATTGCTTCGGCCATCTCGCTGTTATTATGTTGATTGGAGCACCTAGCTCACTCTCACTTCATCCTTGCTCGTTTTCATGATAGATACATAGAATTTGAATGCTTGCTGAATCAAAAGCACGGCCATAGTGTCTAAACCATGTACAGTGACAACAAATTTGGGGAATCTACAGCCTGTCTGGAGGCTGGATTGAGGCATAAAAATGGTCACTTTGTCAAAAACAAATAAAGTCATACCCAAGAGATTCCTGATCAAAACTGACCAAGTCATGGTAGTAGCACATTATAGAGAAATGTTGTTAGATGTTGTCATTGGTTTACAGACAATCCCAAGAGCTGGAGCAACACCCACCACTCTTGGCCTTGGGTGATGTTCAGAGAGCCATCTCTTCATGATTTTCTCAGTTAATCCGTTGCCCAGATTTTACGTTGTGCATCGATTGGGATTCCAATCTGGGGGCAAGGTGCAGGCTTTGTCACCCTAGTCTCTAGTCTTACTGGCTCACCCGAGATGATTCCGCTTTGTTGAACTAATACAAGCTGTGCCAAGGGTGATAATTCATTGCAAAACTGGTCCTGGCTTGCAAATTGGTATGCACATCATCCATTTTCTCGAATAAGGAGCCATTCTCCTGGATAGGCTGGTACACACAACTTGAACTGCTGTGGCACCATCTCACCAAGAAACTGTCCTCCTGACCAAGCGGGTGCCAACTGCAATAACAGTCATTAAGACTGGCACAGATATGCAGCTCTGTGTATGCTACACTGGTTTCAATACTTCAAAAAACCAGGTGCTGGCACTATGCTGAAGCACTATCAAAGAAAAAGATTACTCTTTTTCACCCTTTATATGTGGTCCAATTTCCATAAATGTTAAGTCCACACTCCTTTAAGCTTGAATGTTTCCAATGAAACAAATAACAGGAGATTATAATGACTCCCAAACTTGGGAGGATCAACTCCCAAATTTGGGAGTCGTTGGGAGGTGCCTGTAAGTGTTGGATCTTGCATAGAGATCAAGCTGGACAAGGTCAAGAGTGATAAGGAAATATATTACTAATAAAGATAAGACTAGATACAAGAGATAGAGGAAAAGGAGGAATTGAAGAGGTTATTTTTTTTATTTGTTTGTTTAATTGTGGTTCTTATATTCTTGGGGAATATATTCTAGCTGGTAAGGGAACACCTAGGCCTCTGTTCCTAAAGGTAGGTACTGGATCAATCAGATAAGTATTTTTTGTGATAATTTTTTATCCAGTCAAATAACATGGTAGGGTTATTAGAATCAAACCCAATTATTTGTTCATTTTATATAATTCATTTATGATTTTATCAATGTTAAGTATTAAGATTGAGTTTTATAGGTGCTGTCATTAAGTAGAATAGAGAAGAGTAAAAGAGAGAATCTTGATACTATGAGATACTTTTAGAGCATCTCCAGCAGAGCCGGGGTGGATTTCCGGCCGAATAGCGGCCTGGGACCACATTTCACACCCCTGTCACACTGCTCCCACAGCAGACTGGCAATAGGTAGCAGGGGTCGGTTGGCCAAGATGCCAAGCTTGGTAGAAAACTAGACACCTCTGCCAACCACAATGAATCCGATGGATCAACTCGATATCATGGACAATGAAGACGATTATCTTGCCATCCAACTTGCTTCAAAAGTACATTTTGTTTTCTCTACCTCACTCTTTGATGTTTTTTTTCTTCCTCATTTTTCATCAAAACAGAAATCCATTTTTTTTCTATTGGATAGTTATTGAAAAAACAAAGAGAACAATCCAAAAAGCAAAGAGAACAATCAGAAGAGAAATGAGAATGATCGGATTGGTATCAAATGAAAACAATCAATGATTGATTAAGAATTGGAAGAAGTACATATAAGAACGAGATAGATATCCAAAAGCTGATATCAGCTAAAAGAAGGGGCGTGAATAAGAAAAAAAACATTTGGGAAAAGAAAAGGGAAATTACAACAAGCCCCAGTGGGGGTTTTTTGGTCGGTCGTCTTCTTTCTTTTGTTTTTTGTCGTTCTTTGGATTGGTTTCTTCTATCGGGCTTGCACGAGGTCGTTTGGATTGTGTTTGGAGAGGATCTACTGGAAGGGTCGATGATTCCTGTGCAGGAGGCGTAGCTAGTTGTTGCATATTGGGTCGAGCATTGTGGTGTTGGTGTGTGTTGAGTTGGTGTGTGACTTGAGGAAAACACAGCGATGAGGGGAATAGCCGGTCTCTTCGAAGGCGGCTATTGCCTTGGACTTCTAGCCGGGGGCGAGGTGAGGGGCAATCAGTCGAGGGTCTAGTTGCGGCTCTGCTGGACCCCAAAATTCTCCCGCGAGCCGCTGATTTGGGCTGAAAATCGCCCAGTCGCGGCTCTGCTGGAGATGCTCTTAACCTAAGTTGATAAAGTGATAACTTACTAAAAAGATCCGAAACAAAGTATAAGATAAGAAATAGCAACGGTTTTAAGAGGTCAGTTTGAGTGATCTGAATATAGAGAAAGTAAAGCCTGAGTCAATCAAAATTTCTTAAGTCAGACTAATTTTGTAGATAACCAAAATAGTAAAGGAATTAAAGAAGATAAGACTATCGGAAATGTTTATTATCTGATGAGTTATTCTAAGTAATTTACCTTTTATTTTTTGTGTCTCAAAAGTAATTCTGAGGAGTAAGAATTTTTTTATTTGCTCAAGAGGGAGGAGGGACTATTCCAGTCTCAGGGGTTGAATATTTTGTACCAGTCCTTCTTCCAAATCTTGGTATTGCTTGCATTGCCTTGATCTGATCAGCTTGCAAGGCTGAAGTCATCTTTTGAAGATTGCTTTTAATATTCAAAGTGTTCTTTGATTAATCTTAATTTCAAGAGATCACATATCTGTGAAACCTCTAACATGTAAGTGAATCTACATTAATTTCAATATTAATATTTTTTTCCATTTGTTTTAAATGTTTTGTGAAACCTGTAGGACATGTCAACATGTCTATAAGGTTGACAGTGCCCTTGGGGACCATCCCAGGATGTCCCCAGCCCCCAAAACCCGGCTCCCCCTAATCCTTGGGAGCCATTCCTCCCATTCCTGCAGTAAGAATGGGATTTCAATCCCTAAATGAAGAAAAAGAACAAATGAATCATGGCAGACCTGGCGGGTGCAGGTGCGGGTGCGGGTGTCCAAAAAAAGCAATTTTTGAGGCAGGTACCTGAACCCGCTGCGGGTACCCGGGTTTGAAGTGACATCTCTACTTGCAAGGTTGAGCTGCTATCCTGAAGCTATATTTGGTATTGGGATAGCAGCCAAGAGACAGGTTGCTAAAATTTTGAGTGTTTAGCAGCCCCGGTGGAGCTGCTAAATTGAGTTTGTGCTGCTACAATTGGCTTAGAAGCACGGTTTAGCAGCTGCGGTGGAGACGGTCTAAGAGCTCTGGGGCTCATATTGGGGGGGTACACAAGTGAAATTTATGAATAGCCTATTTTAAGGTACTTTACAATATTTTGAAACTGTGACAAAGTGCATATATTTTGAAGTTTCTGAACAATCAGAGCAAAATTATTATTTTGAAACAGTTTCTTTTTTGAAGATTTCAATTGTGAACCCCCCTATTATGCATAGAAATACTAAATCCTGGTATTGCCTGGGTAGTGAAGAGCATGTACAGTGCCTAGACAGTGAAAAGTGGCTGCTTATTTTGGATTCCAGAGCTCCAAAACACAAATTTGAAATCATGATACTTGGTCAGGTGGTGCATAATAGGTCCCAAAAAATGAATATGAAATAATAAAAGCAAAAAATAAAGTTTGAAAATTTGTGAAAAATAAAAAATAAACTTGATTTTTTTCAAAAGCTTTGATATTCATTTTGGGGGAGTGAGAGTACTGGGAGAAAGAAAGAATGGAACATGGGAAGAATGATTATAAATGAAAAAAATTGGAACCAAAAAAGGTTTAGCCAGGTTGGTGGTCCAGATTGGAGCCAAAACAGTAAATTCTAGTGCTTTGCTGCAATGTGGGCTGGTGAATGCCCCACTCAACAGCTGTTTGAAGCCTTCTGAAAACCAGTTTTTCCAAAATTTTCATTTATAATCATTCTTCTCATTTCCCAATCTTTCTTTCTCTCAGCACTCCCACTCCCCCAAAATGAATATCAAAGCTTTTGAAAAAAATCAATTTTATTTTTTATTTCTCACAAATTTTGAAACTTTATTTTTTGCTTTTATTATTTCATATTCATTTTTTGAGACATATTATGCACCAGCTGACCAAGTCTCTTGATTTAAAATTTGTGGTTTGGAACTCTGGAATCCAAAATAAGCAGCCACTTTTCACTGTCTAGGCACTGTACACTCTCAGAGACTGGTATTGGTCACTAGAGAATGTACACTCCCAAGGACTGGTATCGGTCAAAGACTGATACCAGTCAAAAACAATGGCATCCTGTTAAGTACCGGTATTGGTCACATGAGAGTCTATACTCTTGAAGACCAATACTGGTCACTGGTCACTACAGAAGTGACCGGTACCAGTTGCACCTGTCAATGGAGAGTGTACACCTTTTTGGATGGTACTGGTCAGGATAGTAAACACTCTCCATGGTTAGTACTGGTCACTAGAGCAAGAGGACCAATACTGGCCAATGTTGTGTGCAGTCTTTGCTGCCCCGGGGTGGGGGGACCTTTCACATTCCCCAGTTGCTTTTATGGCAACTTGCGGTGTAATACAAACTGGATGCAAGCTGCTAAAAACACTCAGCAGTTGCCAAACTTCAAGATTTGGCAGCTTGGATAGCAACTTGCGGTGGTGATGGTCTTACGTGTTCTAACACAAGGCCTCCCTCAGCACAAACACATTGCACTGTTGTTCATGCAGAATTGTACATCATACAGTGAAACAATGCGATGTGATATGATAAATAGCCATGTATTGGTATTGCATTGAAAAAGCATTGCATCGGCATCGTATCGGAAATCAATGCAAACCAATGCCACCAAATTAGAGTGCATCGCTTTGCCAATGTGATACTGATGCACTGTATCAAAGAATCTGATAAAAGCAATGTGATACAGGGAACCACATTGCTCTCTCAATGTGATGCAATACAGGCTCAATACCATGTGATACCTATGCATGCATCACATCAGTTACATTGTTGGTCTGACTCAGAAAATTCCAAAAGTCCAAAGAGACCTGAGGCTGAGCACTCTATTGATGGACACACCCAGTTGTTGATATATTCTATTTACCTCTCTGAAATACTGCAACTATTACGTTAACTTGAGCATAGTGGAGTTGTAATTTAGTGAATGGTAGTTGAAATTCACAAAAAAGACATGGGCTCTGTTTGAGGCTTTGGTGGACCTAATTGGATGTTACACAGGATTTCATGCCAAAAAAGCAATGTATCACTTGGATTATATTGCTGCGACACGGGGCCATGATTTACAGCTATAACGAGAAAGCTTGCGGGCTCAGAAGATAGAAAATCAGAAAAATAAAAAAATAATACAGAAAACAATTGGAAGCTTTGGAAGAATACAGGTCCATGTATGTATGGATTACCTCCGATCAAATCAGCTGACTTTTTTTCCACTCACTTTCAGGTGATGAGGGTAACACCATCAGAATCCTGATGGAAAGTTTACTCCATCCACCCTTCAATCCATGGCCTCGCTAGGGCAGAGCTACCCCCCAGGGGGGCCGGTCAGGTCCCATCGGTGCCGCTGGCCAGTACATGACAACCTGTACATCTGGCTGTATTCTTCCAAATATTCCGACTGCAGCCGATGTTTTTTTTGATTTTCTATCTTCTGAGCCCGCTGTAGGAGTGTGGAGTCGGTAATCGGTATGGATTACGGCAGGTGTGGCCCGGAGGAGACAGATGTAGTCTCCTCCGGCTGGCTGAGCCGCAGCCGAGTCACACCATGTGACCTAGGTCACAACACCCGCAAGCTTTCTCGTTATAGCTGTATGCAAGATGCGAGTAGCATTTGTGCTGGCCTATGTAGACGGGGTGCGTGTAAGCACCCCCTTTGACGGTGGTCGGTGAACAAGCGGGGGGGAGGCTTACGTAATCGGATTCTGTGGTTTCAGGTGGTTTCTGTCGACTCAGTCAACACTACTTGATTGAGATTCCCAGCTGACCACGCCCAAAAACATACCGAGCACAACCACAACCTCGGAGACTCCGAATCGCAAACGAAACAAAGAACAACAAAAACATACGACACCCTCAGAAATCAGTCACCATTCCGCCACTCAGTGATCCGCTGTCGATGGCAGGGCTGACAAAGATCGTCTTTGTCGGCAACCTGCCATACTCTCACTCAGACGAGTCAGTCTCAATACACAAAAAAAACTTGTCGTTTTCACCAATTTGGGAAACCTAATCTCATGATCTATCTCTCTCCCCTCTGGTTTATCTTCAGACTACAGAAACAGCTCGAACAGGTCTTTGGAACAGTGGGGCAAGTGGTTTTTTTTCATTTGACCGACTCCGGATTTGCTCAATACTCGCTGTTTACCAATCTGTCTGCTGTCCAACGTGACTCATCGCATCTCAATTTTTTTATTATTATTTAATTTCTTTAACTTCCACCAACAGACCCATATCCAACTTCCGAATCGCGTTTGAGAAGGAATCCGGGAAGCCACGCGGATTTGGATTTTGCGAATACTTCGGTTAGCATCCCTTGCTTTGTTTTATTTTGAGACTCTACAACTATCTCGATCCGATCACTGAAGCTTCTATTTGAATAAAATCAATCAACCCTGGAAAATTAACCTTGATCGGCAGATACCCAAACCGCCGAATCTGCGATTAGAAACCTGCAAGGGATCGAGATTGGTGGACGAGCCCTAAGGCTAGATTTTGCGGACGTTGGCAATCATGATACCCGAGAGGCGGGCGGTCGACCACCCCCACCAAAAGGTAGACGATCTGGCGGAGCAGGACAAGCTGGTGGGGGTAACTTGCCTACCGAACCCAACGGATCCTCTGCTCGGAACTCTGGTCCCATCTCAACTGGATTACCGCCTGATTTGCCCCGTGGCCAACCCTTGGCTGCAGGTCAAACCGCCACCGATCAAATCTCTCAAACCCTCGCTGCCATTCCTCCGGCTCAGTTAGCTGAAATCACCGGTCAAATGAAAGTACGTTAAATCCACTGCGAACTTCTTTTTGCATGTCCTTAGTCTATCTACCCTCAACTAAACCAAGACGAGACATTTGTTTTTCCGCTCATAACAGCAACTAGTCGCAAGCGCTCCCGATCAAGCCAGACAATTGTTGAATGCCAACCCACAGTTGACATATGCATTGTTCCAAGCGATGTTGATGATGGGTGTAGTGGATGCCTCGATACTCACACGCATGCTCGCCCCAGCTGCGATGCAAAAACAACAACAGCAACAGCAGCAGCAGCAGCCCGTCCCACTTGCAGCGATGCCTTCACACCAAATGCCTGTTGGCTTCGGCGCAAACGCTTACCCACAACAGCCTATGAGACCAGCCGGTATGCCTCAGCAAGCCTCATACCCTGCAACTCTAGCGCCCCTTCCCAACTATGGAATCATGCCACAGCAAGCTGCTCCTCCACCAGTTCAGCCCGCAGTCATCCCCCAACAGCAACAAACTCCGCCAGTACAGCAGCCCGCAACAACCCCTGCTGCTGCTGCTCAACAGGCTCAACTGATCCAGCAAGTCTTATCTCTAACACCCCAGCAAATTGATGGACTCTCCCCGGAACATAGAGCGACTATTTTACAAATCGTCAGTGGAGCTTTCTTTCATGATCCCTTCTTTTTCATATCTCGCAATTTCACGTTGAACAAACAAATAACCTAACCAATCGGTCTCGATTATCACTTTTTTAGCGGCAGCAAGCGCTAAGTAATATGGCTGGGCGGTAATAACCAGTGCATGATACCTACTAACAGAAAGCACTGTGTAGTTACATAAAACGAGCGGGCAAACAACATCCGTCATATCTGTTTTGATCTCGTCTAATCATTTCCTTGACCCATTCTCGTTTACGACACATGAGCTTATATCTCTTCTTTGCTTTCTGAGTCTATTGTACAGTGTTCGGTGGTTGACTACATTTTCATTTGTTTATCCCGGTTGTTCTTCGAAAAAACCATACCTTTGTTTTTTCATCTTCTCATTGCCTATCTCGATCTGTAGACACAAAAAAAACAAAAACACATAAAGCATGTAATAGTTGCTTTCTGGATCCCCACTTACCAATCACATAGCTCTCATTTGAAAGCCTCTACATAGCAATCCCATTCTTCAGCCCTTTTTTGCTTTTTTGTTTTGGTCCAAGTTTTTGTGTCGGCAATCTGATGTGGAAAACGAATGCGATTGATGACACCGAAATCATGAGTCAATGTTTCCATCCAACTAACATCCTCAACTCTGTTCCTATTGTGAGAAATACGAAAGAAAGAAACCCAGCGGGAGTATATGGCCGCAGAACGTGGGAAATTTTCCATGCTCCCCTGGCGTAATGGTAACGCGTTGGACTTCTATCTCCGAGGTGTGCATCGGGATCCAAAGACTGCGGGTTCGAGCCCCGCGGGGAGTGTCTGAATGGTGATCTACACAATGTTGATATCTCTAGTCAGCTGTGTGAGATCATTGCTGTATCTTTTGTTGGGGAAGATGGTTACTCAATCAACCATCACCAATTGAGGGACTAAGGGGCCAGGCCTTTTTTGGCAAAAGTAGGCAAAATAAATCTGTTCCTTTTGTCAACTGGGAGAGTAGAGTAAAATGTGACACCACTTGATTAGTGTGGTTGTCATCCAAGGCAAAAGCACGATTCATATAATGGGTAATGGAGATGGTGTTTTAAGATTATTAGGATTCCATCATGCATTTGGAAGGAAGAAGAGTATCACCCCTGCCTTCTCCTAGTGTGGAAGGGAGTTCAGAGTACCACACTCTTGTCCCTAGAACTGGGAGTAAAGATAATGATTGGTACCTGGTACTGCCCGCACCTGCCTGGCACTTGTGGGGCAGTGCCAGGTATCCATTTCTGGTGGAAACATCAGTAGGTACCCGGGTACCACTGCCTTTTTCCCACAGTTTTACCAGGGGTTAGGGGAAGACTGTTTCTCAAGGGCAGGATTAATCCTGGTAGATGAAGAAACCCAACCAAAGAGGACAAGAAAATGGGAATGTTCAATGGCTCAGTGTTCATATATCATAGTATTCCTGAAGGTTGAATCAGTTGAGCTAGTGATTTAACTATTGTACCGCTAGTACCCACCAGGTGGTGCCGGGTGCGGTGCTGGGCGTCCATTTATGAGCAACAAAAAGGTGGTAGCGGTAGCCAGGTACCAATTGTCATCTTTAACTGGAAGAAAGAAGACAAACATTCTTTTAAGATTCAAAAATCCTGTAGTTCTCAATATGAGTGTGAATTGGTGATCTCTGTTGAAGGAATTGCAAGCCTCTATAAACCAAATAATTCCTTCAACCTCACCTTTGAATACTTCAACCCTGCAAAAAATGGCAGCCTCCAAATTTGTATTTTGGGTCCATTAATGGTCATCCAACATGAGCAGCTTGCCAGAAAAAGGAAAGTTAACATTGATTGATTTAGTGAATGTTGGAGTAGTGTTTTTCTTTCTCCTTTCTCTTTCTCTGCTTCATACCTGTTTCAGACCTGTCACTCATCTGTCACAGGATTCAGACTATACCTGGGCCAGAGTACGTGGAAGGATTCCTCTCCTCATCCTTCCACAAAACCTTTCTCTGACCCAGGTATGCACTTCTCTTTTCTTTCTCTTTTCCTTTCTTCCTTTTTGTGTCTCTCTATGTTTTGTTTCTCTCTGCTGATGCAATACAAAACATATCCTTCCACAAAACCTTTCTCTGACCCAGTTGAGTCCAACAGGTTATGAGCCCAGATGCTTACCTGAGCGATATCTCGCTTTCAATAGAGACCGGATGAAGTTGTGAATGCTTACTTGTAAGACCAGACCCCCCTGTAAGCCTGCTCCTTGATCACGGGTTCAATCCCCATCTTGATCATTCTTTCTTGGGTTTCATTCCCACACTTTCTTGGGTTTATCCCACTTCTCACATCACGATAAAGCCATCGTAAACTTCTCGTTAATTTCGCTTCGCATGAACTCGCCGCCTTCACCATTCACTAAACCTGAATACTCGCTATCGACGTCTCCAAAAAGCGATCCCGACTCCATCTCCGTTTCTTCTAAACCATCTCTTCTCGACATCTCGACGCTTTGCGTTCATCCCTCCTTGACCGATTCAAAACCAAACATGTCATCCTCCGCTCAAGACTCCGAGGTGGCTAGCCACCCTACGCTCAAGCTTACCGGTGTTGAACAGCTGAAACCACCGGGCTCGGAGTCCAACTACCTAGATTGGAGCTGGGTACTAGAAATCCATTTTACCGCTACCGATGTCGACTACATCATCAACGATAAGCCCGAGGTCGCCAAGGCGAAATCCAACTGGGACCGTGATAACAAAGCAGTCTGCGGGATCATCTCGCGCACCATTCACCCAACGAACATCAGAAATGTCCGCCATCTTAAGAACGACGGCCGTGGTCTTTGGGATGCTCTCAAGCGAGCTCATCAGGACTCCTCGGCTGGAGGAGTAACCTATTGGCTTCGCAAACTCACCTCGTCCCGCATGGTGAACGACGACTTACTAGCGCACCTCGAGGACATGGCCAAGACCTTTGAACGGCTCAGCTCATTGGTAACCGCGGATGCTCCGCTGACTCCAAACGATATCTATTCGTCTTCCATCCTCACTTCCCTTCCCCCCGACTGGCTGGCCTGTGTATCCTCGATGATGAACGAACCTCGCGTCAACCCCGAGCGCGTCATCGATGCTCTAAAAGCCGAGGATCTTCGTCGCAAGACCCGTTCGGCCGACCAGCCTGTCGTTGAAGCTGCCTCTCAGGCCTCTGGGAAGAGGCAATCGAAGTCGAAGTCATCCAAACAGGACCAACCAGCTCGTCACTGCACTTTCTGCAATCTTGACGGTCACGATCTTAATCGCTGCTTTAATGTAGCCCGCCTTATCGAAAATCATAAATCGAATCAGGCTCCACAAAAACAGAAGAAGGCTGGTCCCAATCGTTCCTCGTCCTCTGCCAACCAACCAGCGAAAGCTGGGCGTACTTCTGCGGCTCCTCTCGGGAATTTCAATGACCAACCCGACGATGAATCAGACTTTTCAGGCTCAGAGCTCGAAATTACTGCGGGGCAAGCAGCTGTTTCCTTGTCTTCCTCCCTCCTTCCTACTGTCCCCTCTGGCGATGCGAACCTCGACTCCGGTTGTTCAATCTCAATGACTCCCGACTCCGGCGCTGTTTCCTTGGCCAAACCCAACAACACTCCGGTTCGACTTGCAGATCACTCCACCGTCGAGGCTACCCACAAAGGAGTCTCTCGCCTACCACTCAAGGGGGTCACATCGGTACCCACTTTGGTGGTCCCTGCCCTCGCTGAACCGTTAATCTCCATTGCGGGATTATGCGATGCTGGTCTCACGGCGGTTTTCACTCCGACCTCTTGTGATATCTACTCAACCGGTGACGTGAAAGTTTCGGGCTCACTCGTGGGCAGGGGTTACAGACGTGGAAATCTTTTCTACCTTCCCTCTCAACCAGTTGGTCATCCCTCCTCTTCTTTCACCTTGGACAACAAAGTTGACAATACCCTCTTGGGATACCATCGGCGTTTCTCCCATATAGGACTCCAGCCACTGAAGACACTCCTCAAATCTCAAGGGATAACTCCAACAATTTGGAACGAGGTTGATGTTCAAAAATGTGAAATTTGCATTCAGTCAAAGATGCACCGTCGGTCTTTCAAATCTCGCTCATCCTACAGGTCTCAAACCCCCGGTCAGCTTATTCACTCGGACGTGGGGTCATTTGAAGTGACGTCAAGGGAGGGCTACAAGTATTTCATCTCTTTCGTCGATGATTGTTCAAAGTCTGTTTCTTTATTTCCCATGAAATACAAAAGTGATTCTTTCAACTGCTTCAAAGTTTTTCGCGCCTTCTTTGAAAAGAGTGGTCACTTCAAAATTCAAGCTCTCCGCACCGACAACGGGGGGGAGTATATGTCAAATGAGTTCAAAAACTACCTCAACTCCTCTGGTATCCATCATAATCCTGGTCCACCACATTCCCCTCAACTAAATGGTGTTGCAGAAAGAACAAATCGAACCGTTGGCAACTTCATTCGTACCGCACTTATAAGCGCCCATGTTCCCAAGTCCTTCTGGGTGGATGCTCTTCGCCACGCTTTCTATGCTAATGACTCTTTTCCCTGCAAGACACCCATTGGTTTCAAATCTCCAGCATCCATCCTGGGAAAGCCTTTGGTCGATCTCTCTCTACTCCACCCTTTTGGATGTCTAGCTTACTATAAGTTTCAGGAGGCAGATCGTAAGAAGCTGGACGTGAAAGGTCGGGCCTCAATTCTGCTTTCGTATCTGGATGATGGAAATGGATACCGGCTATACGATCTTGAGAAGAAAACGGTAATCAAATCCACGGATGTCACATTTTTTGAAGAAATCTTCCCTTATGGTGCCGACTTGAAGGTTACTCCCTCTCCCGTCATTGTGGAACTCCCGTGGCCGGTTGTGTCTTCTCCCATCAAGCCGGTAACCCCGCCATTGGATGCGAATCCGGTTCCCAGCTCTCCTTTGCCTACTCCGTCTCCTACCCGGGATAGGGTGCCTACACCAGATCTCCCGCTTCTGAACATCCCACTTCAAGATCGATTTGACCGTCGTCTAACAGCTTCTATTCACGCTCCATCCAACTCACCCAAGACATCTGTCGAACCTCCCGCAACAGTTACTATTCCCTCTTCCTCAATACCGTCTGAAGATATTGTACCCATCTCTTTACCTCCTCTTCCTCCCTCTCCTCCTTCACTCCCGTCTGCCTCTGCACCTCCTCCATCTCCTCCCAGAAGGAAATCCGGACGGGAGCGAAAGGCTCCAGAACGCTATGGAAATTGGTCCAAATCAGCAAAAATAACTGATAATGTAGATACTCCCAAGACATGGCGACAGCTTCTCAAATCACCTAATAAACATCGATGGTTAAAGGCGGCTGAAGATGAGTTTTCCTCGCTTCTTGGGATGCACACGTGGCGCCTGGTTCCCCGGCCGGAAAAACGTAAAATCATCAAGTCCAAGTGGGTTTTCAAGGTGAAACGCCGACCAGACCGAACAATTCAGAAACTGAAGGCCCGTCTTGTGGCAATGGGGTACTCTCAAGTACATGGCCTGGACTACGATGAAGTGTTTTCCCCCACGCTCAGACTTGAAACTCTCCGACTAATCCTCAGCCTCCTGGCAATTCGCAAGTGGAAAGGACGACAGGTGGACTTTAAGACGGCCTTTCTCAATGGTCATCTGGAACACACGGTTTTCATGGAACAACCTCCAGGCTTTGAAGATCCCTCCCACCCTGACTGGGTGTGTGAACTTGATCGTTCTCTCTACGGTCTCAAACAATCTCCGCGCCAATGGAACAACAAACTCCATCGTGCCCTACTTGATCTTGGTCTGAAGAACTCCGCTTATGATCCCACCCTGTATTTCAAACTGATAAACGGAAATCTTGTGGGTGCTCTCACCACTCATGTGGACGATTTAGCCATTGTTGGTGAACCAACCTTTGTCGATCATCTCATCTCTTCTCTTGGTTCCAAATTCAAAATTGGTGCCGACGAGGACTTACACCATTTTCTCTCCCTTAAAATATCTCGCGACATCCCTAACAATCTAGTGTACCTAAACCAGTCTCACTACATTGATGAAATTTGTGATCGTTTCCTCAATGGTTCCCATCTTCCAGTCTCCACCCCGACAGATTCAAACTTCAAAAACCTTCGCCGCAAGCAAGAGTGCGACCTTCCTTCCAGTGGCCCGTATAATCAAATCATTGGCTCTCTTCTGTGGGTTTCGCAATGCACACGTCCCGACATTTCCTTTGCTGTTAACCGTCTCTCTCAGCACCTACGAGATCCCTCCGATGCTCATTGGTCGGCAGCCGTGCGCGTTCTTAATTATCTGGTCACCCCTAAACATCTGAAACTCAAGTTAGGTGGGAAACTCTCATGCTCTGGGTTCTCCGATTCGGACTGGGCGGAAGACAGAGATGACCGCAAGTCTACTTCAGCCTATACTTTTCGCATTGGTGATGGTGCCATTTCCTGGAAATCACGTAAACAGGCCACCGTCTCACTCTCCAGCACTGAAGCAGAGTACAAGGCGATCTCTGATTCCTGCAAAGAGGGTCTTTGGCTTCGACATGTCCTCTCAGAAATACGACTTCGTCCCGGCACCGCCATTCCTATTCATGTGGACAACGAAGGAGCAGAAGCATTGGCCAAGAATCCAGAACATCACGCCCGCACTAAACACATTCATGCTCGTTATCATTTTGTCAGGGAATGTCTTGCAGATGAAGAGATAACTCTCCTTCATGTCTCAACAAAAGACATGCTTGCCGACATGCTCACTAAACCCCTCTCCCGTCTCATGCTGGAACGTCATCGTGAAATGTTTGGATTGGTTGCCTAATTTTTTTTTTCTTTCTTTCTTCTCCTCCTTTGTTTGATTTTTTTTTTCTCTTTTCTCTTTTCTCAATTTTTCCTTTCTTCTTCTTCTTCTTCAGGTCTTCAGCAAGGGGGGGTGTTGGAGTAGTGTTTTTCTTTCTCCTTTCTCTTTCTCTGCTTCATACCTGTTTCAGACCTGTCACTCATCTGTCACAGGATTCATACTATACCTGGGCCAGAGTACGTGGAAGGATTCCTCTCCTCATCCTTCCACAAAACCTTTCTCTGACCCAGGTATGCACTTCTCTTTTCTTTCTCTTTTCCTTTCTTCCTTTTTGTGTCTCTCTATGTTTTGTTTCTCTCTGCTGATGCAATACAAAACATATCCTTCCACAAAACCTTTCTCTGACCCAGTTGAGTCCAACAGTGAATCCTTTCCAATGCCAAGATACATACAATTAGCAACTGGGGAATACTGCGATAAGACACCTTTAAACCCACCATTGGTCAGCTTCACAAAATGAAAATATGAGGTCAGATTTTCTCAAATCAAAATGTGGCACAATGCAAGTTTAACTGTGATGGAAATTGGTTGTTTCCTGTCCCATGGAGCAGATTCAAGCTGGATTCTGGTTTAAGCTATTTGCCTCCAGGTCTCAGGCAGGAATTTGCCAACTGTTTATTACAATTTGTCTTATTCTTCTAATAATTTCAATGTTCTGGGGGTGGATTGGCTTGCCTCAAGTGGCCTGGATCTAAATGGCCTGGCAAGTCACTTTTCTATCACAATTTTCAGCATTGCAGTGTGAATCCCACACTATTCATGGATCTCACAACTTCCACACATTTATCACAGAGATCAGCTCTACTCAAGGGCCTTTTTGGTGGTAAAAAAAATACCTACATTAACATCCAACATTAATCTTCAAAAAATTTGTGCCCTGTTAGACCAATAGAGCACTATGAATATTTCCTACCATGTAACAAAACCTGGACCTGACCTTGGATTACAACCACCTCCAAAAATCTTTGTCAAGTGCATGTTGGATCTGGGACACCTGCACATTGCTACATTTGGATGTACAGCTGGCCTAGATTCTAGAAATCATGAAATTTGCAAGTCCTTCTGAATGGGTCAGGAATCCAAGGATAGGCTCAAGCTTTGTTGCAAGGATAGTAGTAGAGGGAAGTTTGCCACCAGTTTTCTGTCAAACACACAGAGTGCGGGAGAGGTTTGTGACCAAAACAAACACACCCGCATGTTGCTTTCACTTTTTTAGGGTGTTTTTTGCACAGAAAATTCTAATATATCACTTTCTAAACTTTTATAGGGGAAAAGTCTGGGACAGCATGCCCAAGATGCTAAAGTAAATTTTAATCAAGAAAATGTTGAGAAATATGCCCAACTACATTCTAGAGAAACTTTGTAATTGTTAAAGTTTCCACTCAGATTTGTGTGTTTTGCTTATGTAATAGCTTCTCAAGACTGAACTTAGCTTGGATTCTTTGATTTTTTCAATGTTTCATATTTTTCAAAAACATCTTACTCATCTGAATTTCAGGAAAAATCCCTAAAAATTTGATGAGAAGATTGGCAACATGGTCAACTTTGACCATTGTGACTCTGCCTTGAAACAAACCTAAACTACACTCAGGCTGGCCAATCCAAAAATTGCTACACCAAAAACAGTCAACGGCAACACACGAGCTTGTGTGTATCAGTCACAAGTCCCTCCTTCGGAGGCTCGCTTTGCAAGTGGAACCAGCCAGCCCAGGTCACCAGGCCCACAGAAGCATGGGACTTGTTCCAAGTTAGCAGGATTCCAGGGCTTGGAAGTTGGCTCTCCAATTTTTGGAAGTCATTTAATCAAGCCCCTAATACAGCTATTCCAAAAAAGCTTGTCCAACTCGCCTCAAGATTTTATTTTCTAGTTTCTATTTCTTTATGTTTACTGAATTGGTCCTGTCACAACTGAACTACTGGCCAAGGACGTATGGCTGTCTTCAACAGTTCAGTTGTGACAGGCCCAGTTCAGTAAAATAGAAAAATAAAAATAAAAATTTGGGGCCAAGTTGGACAAGCATTCTCAGAATAGCTGTACTAATAAAAACTCCATTTAACATCCAGGGGAAGGGTTGCTCCTTGCTACAAATTTGACAAAAAGATTGAGATCAATGGCAATGTTCCCATTGGTTTTACATACTCTGTAAAGCTAGGTTTACAGGGGGCTGTAAACTCAAAGGGAAGTCCTCCACTATGCTAAGGCTTATGAAGAACTTGACAGCCAAAAACAGCCAGAATGGATGGGGAGCAATGGGTCATTGAGTAAGAAAGACGCAGAAAAGCCTCAAAAACCAGAAGCTTCCAGGTCAGCATCACAACTTCACTCACAAGCCCCTCCCTGGCCCGCCGGGGTGCACCCGGCCCTCTGGGACGAGGGGTGTGCTGAGCTGGCAGGAGACATCACCCCAGCAGGTTGCATGTGAACTCAGATTATCAATTCAAGCGTGCAAGGATCAAGTCCCAGTAGGTACGGTGATAAAGAGTGAAACGGGGGAGTTCTGTCTCAGCATCACTGGGATCTGATTGAGTCGTCAATGTCTCAAGGGTTACAATGAATGAGGGAGCATATTTTTCATTGATTTATGCATGGTTTTTGGTTTTCATTCTTTAGGGCCAATTGGCTTAACGGCTGCCGAAGTGATCGAGCAAGACATTGAGAGCCTCTGACTCCTGTCCGAACTCCTTGACTACGACACAAGAGCATGAAACAACCTTTCGAGCTGTGCCGTCTCGGTCAATCTACATAGGAGATGAACATGAACATAAGCATGGGATCTGGCGACGTCGGGGGGGAGGGCAAAAGAGCTTACCTTGCACAGGCCACACCATTCGCCCAGGAGTTTTCCATCTCCAACCTTGATGAGGTTGATCTTGTGTTCGGAGCAAAGGGCTTCGATCAGTTTGACATAGGCCTCTTCCGTGCAACCTTCGTTGAGCACACAGAGATGTGCTTGTCGTTTGTCAAGAGCCTTGGCGGCCTCTCTGAGACCTCGGGCGAGACCGTCGTGAACCTATGGTCCGAAGTGTATATTGATGTTAGGATTGACGACCAGGGAGTACATATTTTGGAAAATTGCTTACGAGGGCAGTCTTGAGGACTTTCTTGAGAGCATCTTCGACACTCATTTGACCACCTTTGGGGGCATCGGCATCTTGGGTGACTTCAACCTCCTCGGCGGCGACATCAACTGGTGCGTCCTCTACGTCCGACATGTCGTTTGAAGTTGTAATTTCTTCTGTTTGAAACGTTAAAAATTCAGCATCATGTCCGGGAAATCCTCGTGCGGTGAAAATCCGGGTAGCATTTCTTGTGAGATGGACCAACCTAGCAAGCTGACCGTCTACGTCCTCAAGGAGCTGATAATAAGCGTGGTGTGTTCGTTTGATGATGTGATCACGGCTGAGGAGAGGCTTATCCGGCCCGCGCAGGACCGGTGCATATTTTGGGGAGGCGATTAGGTCAAAGTTGGTGAGACCGGGAGCGCGACCCATCGGGCTAAGCTGTGCCCTAACTGGGTCAAAGGTGCGACACGGGACTGAGGATGGTCGTGGGCTCGTGGGCTCACGACGTCTTCATACGGTCCTGAGCATACCCAGGTCCACCACGTCCCCCTTCGATAGTGGGGCCCCGGATATTCCGAGCAAACCTTAACCTTGTTTTAATTTTTTTCTTGGTTGAACAACTCTCGAGTTTGCTGCTGATGTTTCATTCAATCCTCATCCGAACGACAACAAAACTCAGGACCAAGGAAAGTATCATCTTCAGTTCTTATTCTACTTCGAACAACATCCCAACCGATCGACCGAATCTCAGACTCGCAGAGGATATCTACCACCAACACCCGATATCGATCAAGCCAACTGACAAACCGCAATTACTGAAGGACCTCCGTCACAATTACCCATCAGCTAGCCAGACACACTCAAGTCCGATGTCGGATCATCAATCAAATGAACTAGAAGCCGAAAAATCCAACCCTGCTCGTTCGTTCTACCAGCGCCAACTACCGGAGAGTTGTCTGTCGTTTACATCAGACCGAGGGAAAGCTCTGTTTCGTTCAGCCCTGGCCGACGGCCATCTCGAATCTTTCTTTCCGCTGGCCTCTCAACTTGTGACTCAGCATGAACCTTCGTTTTGTGGCCTGGCCACGCTCTGTACGGTCTTGAATGCATTAGGCGTGGATCCGAAGAGGGTTTGGAAGCATCCTTGGAGATGGTTCGAACAAGACATGCTGGACTGTTGTCGACCGCTCGAATCGATCCGCAAGAACGGAATCACACTCGCCGAGTTTAACTGTCTGGCTCGTTGTAACGGGCTCGCCCTAACCAGCCGATCACCCCCCATAGGACCTCCAGAGGATGACCCTATAGGATATCAAAAAGGATTACAAGAGTTCCGTTCGCAGGTCGCTACAACAACCGCTCTATCTTCGGCTTTCCTAGTCGTATCATTCTGCCGTGCGAGCTTAGGTCAGACCGGGACCGGGCACTTTAGTCCAGTTGCTGGCTACTCAGCCGAAGAGGACCGGGTCCTAGTTTTGGACGTCGCGAGATTTAAATATCCTAGCTATTGGGTCGGTTTAGAGGATTTATACAAGTCGATGATCCCAGTCGATCCGGCTAGTCAACGTCCCCGTGGGTATACGATCTTGAGTTACTCGCCCTTCCTTGAGCACACCAATTGTCTCACCTGTAACCCCAATCCGCCTTCGATCACCCGCATCAATCTCAATAAATCATCATGGGCTATTCTCTCGCGTGAACTTGGTCCGATAATCGAATCTATGAAGCTCGAACCGCTTCCGATCGCTATCCGAAAAATACATGATTATATCTCTACTGGCCTTGCCAAGATCCCAAATCCTATCGAAATTCGATCTGGCTTGGAGTCTGAAGCTCAAAATCTCTTCAGTCAGATTTCATCTTCAATTCACCTCCTAGTTGATGATAAACAAACGGATGAAATCCCCCCTATCTTGATTATCTTTGCATTGGCCGTCTTGCCATCCCATCCGCATGCTCTTGATCTCGAGTTCCTTGAACCCGAGTTGGCCTATCTGAGGTCACAATTGAATGCGCTTGGTGAATGTTGTTCGCTGGAAAACGATCACGAGCATCCTCAAGAGCATCGATGTCAATGTAAAACCTCTTGATGAGTGGTCGTTCCTGCCGTTAACAAATTTTTAGCCAAGATGGCCCGCGCTCAAGACTGAAGGCCAAGATATGAGTCTCTAATTTTCCTCAAGCCTTGTTATATATATATCCTTTGTTTCAGACAAGTTGTCCCATTTCTTTCGTTTTTCTCAGATAGATTCTAAATCATTCTTGATGTGCAAGCAAAGCTGTATTGTTTTTGTGTGTGGTTTGTTGATTGCTTAGAAAGTATATCACGAGTGAGCGCATTTTCTTCGTCCCTGAATCGAGCGAAAAGATGATCATGGACAAGTGGCCGTTGCAAGAGGCGATGTACACAGTAGAGGTCAGAACAGAGGTTTGTCTGAGCTTATGGATTATGCCGCATTATTCAAATGTCCTGTCTGTTGACATGGATCCCCTTTCATGCACATCATCACCACGGGAATAGTTGTGCCAAGGAAAGAACTTGGGGAGACCTCCCTTTCATCTCACTTTCCTAGGTAGGGGGGTTAGGTTACAAAACACTCAACAAGAAGTAAGCTTGCCATCACAGACATGACTTCCTCAACCAGTCTTCATGGAGGTTTGCTCAAAGGCACCGCGACAGTTCGGCCATGAATACATGTGGCCTCCGGTTTACTGGTACATACATTGTCTAACTCCCAAGCTATGACTTGAAGAAATCCCTATTGTCTGTTTCATCCTCGAAATTTGTATCAGATTATGATGTCGATGCAGAGAGACACGATACTCACAGCCCGAGGAATGCAGTATGGGACGCTTTTGCGCCATACTGATTGTTATATGATCGTTAATTCTACGGGTCAGGATTGAGATCACGGCGCGCCAATCTGACTGGGCACCAATCATGATGTAAAAATAAGGGTGTATGAGTATGACTGAGCAGATTGATGTCTTTGACGGGCATCCAGAAAAATCGATGACGGCCTGGTGCGATAGCCCTGCAGTAACTAACATCTGATTCCAAGGAAAACAGAAATGGGCCATAAAGTCACTTCTCATGGCCGGTGGAGAAAACAGCCAAATGTCTGTCATATCATTACAACTCAAATGACTTCACTCGAATGCCGTTCATACATGCATCACCAGCAAGTCAAAGATGAATTCAGTTCTTCTTTTCTGACAAAGCGGGAGACACCGGTATAGACCGGTCCCGTTATAACCTGACACTCAATGCCGTCGCGGGTCTTCAGACCTGTCTCATTCTAAAAAGTAGCTGCCACTGGTCTATTTTGCTTAGAGCCTCTGCAACCCGTCATGGAAATTCTGTTGACAAATTTTGTGTACCGGTCTGAAGCTGAAGGTGGGTAGGAATACCTGTTTTGTAGGGGAAGAGCCTGTATCGGTCTTCGAAACTTGCTAAAGGCTGGTAGACCAAGATGACCCGTCTTTTGGGCTTTGGCGGAGGTTTGACCGGCATTGACCGGACTCTTATCGGTGGGTTTCTAGATGTGGCATTGTTGAATTTTTGCTTGGCCAGCAGCGGCCACACCAGCAACAGTCTGATGTTTCACTGACCGAGCACAAGCTATAAAGCTGCCTGGGTTCTAATCGTGGAGCACATGTGGTGAATGAGCTTGTATCCTCCGGGCAGTCTTTTCCGCATATATTTCTGCATTTTTCTAAACCCCGTGCTTCATGAATTCCGGAAAGCTTTACCAATCCATCCTGCTTATAAGCTCCTTTTCCATCTTCTTAATTCCCCTCGGTTGCGTCGGGTCTTTCAATGGCGACAGGACTGTCACAATTGTGGAGAACCCAATGTGCGTTGAATATTTAATAATGTTATCATTGAAACGGTTTCGTATTCATTGGTCACATCTCTTGCTGATCATCTCCTCACGGATTCGCCTTTCTAGGCTCCTGACAAAAATGGACCAAAAGTTTAATCCAGCTCCCCCGCGAGATCAAACTTTGGCTGGCTCATGGCAATTGCAGTCTGAGGGAGAAGACTCGATTGGTTCATCACAAGGGGACTTGAGTTTGAGTAGCCATGGTGAATCGCAGGAATTCAAGTCATTCCGCCGCTGGCCTGAGCCTGAGGATCTCAAGGAACAAGAAGAACTGTGGCTTGGAAAAGCAATCATACGAACTCCCCAAGCAGAGTTTTCATTCTTAGACAGAATTGGTTAGTTTATTGCTCCAATAACAAACCTAATGGTACTTTATATTCCTTGTTCTAATCAAATTGTTTCTATCATCCTGCACAGGCCCCAATAAAAAAAGAAGAAAATTGAGTAAGTTTTTTTTTTCATGGATTTTCCCCACTGCCAAGCTATGTGACTAAGAAAATGTACCTCAACCAACAGTAAAATCAATCGTTGAACAAAAGCAGCTCGCAAATAATGTTCGCCAAGAACATCAGGAACTTAGTAGCCCAAAGCAAGCGCCCGAAGCACAGAAGCGCCCTGATAATGATCAATATGCCAACCACATACAACCATTTCACTCCAGTACAATATCCCAGAATCAATTAAATACTGAGGAAACATTCTACCAGCGCCAGTTACCAAAGAGTTGCGTGTCGTTTACATCCGATCAAGGAAAAGGGGTTTTTCGCTCGGCGCTGGCGGAAGGTCATCTCGAATCATTCTTCCCACTGGCTTCACAACTAGTCACTCAGCATGAGCCTGCATTTTGCAGTTTGGCCACGCTTTGCACGGTCTTGAATGCCTTGGAGGTGGACCCAAAGCAAGTCTGGAAACATCCTTGGAGATGGTTTGATCAAGAGATGCTAGACAGTGATCAATCGCTTGAATCAATCCGCAAGAATGGAATCACTCTGGCGGAGTTTAACAGTATGGCACGTCGCAATGGGCTGGCCTTGACCAGTCGATCACCGCCCACAGGAAATCAAGAGGATGTCATGTACCAAAGTGGACTGCAAGAGTTCCGTTCGCACGTCGCCAAAGTAACTTCCCAATCATCCGCCTTCCTTATTGTATCATTCTGTCGGGAAAGCTTGGGCCAGACCGGGACCGGGCACTTCAGTCCAGTTGCTGGCTATTCACCCGAACATGATCAGGTCCTGGTTTTGGAGGTCGCAAGATTTAAATACCCTAGTTACTGGGTTGGTTTGGAGGATTTGTACAAGTCGATGATCCCAATCGATCCGGTGAGCCAACGCCCACGGGGGTATACGATCTTGAGTCACTCGCCCTCCGTTGAGAAAACCAACGGTCTCGCCAAGTTAATGGAATAAAAACACATTGTCAAGTTTTTTGTTTCTGCAACCAGATTTGTGTATCTGCTTTTGAAAATTTTCGATTTGATAGATCAATTGTTTTAAACTGTAGATCTAGATAGGACCCTTTTATTTGACTGGATCTTTGGTATCCATGATTTAACAGCTACGATCTTATTTATTTTTTTGCTTTTCTACTCTCTTAACTTTAAGTCTTTATCTACATATCAATATGCTATAATGACTCATCACCAGTCCCTCCCCAGCCATCGTCATTCGTCCCAAAGGGTTTGATAAATAAGGCTAATATAATTTCAGACTCATAATTATTAGTATGATCAATAAATCAATAATATGAATTATAAACCATAGCTAATGTGAGGCTTATGAATTTTACCTAGACATTGAATGTAAAATATGTAAAAGACAGACCCAGATTGAAAACCAGATGCACAAGTCACCAATAGCAGAGTTATACAAATACAAGTATATTAAATTCACACTTTTCAGATTGGCTTTTTTGCACATTTTTTCTGAATGTCATGTCTTTTCTGGATATTTTTGTCTGTTACTAAAGATTGAATATGGTAGGGTTTCAGTCAGGTTCTAGTGGAAAAGTTATATAATCTTTAAAAATATTTGATTTGAGCCAAAACCCTGTGGAGCACTATACTTCAATCAGAAACAAAATAAAGATCTGTCACTATGAAAAAATCTTGCCAAACTGGTGGCGCTCCACAATCTATTCCAATGTAAAACAATTCTACACAGTCACTATACCCATTGGATGTGCATTGAAGCAGGATTGAAGTAATGATTGAGTGAAATCTGATCAACAACCCAGCTTTCAAGAGAGTTTCTGTATGTCAAATGACAGAAGTTCTCAAGTTTCTTTTTACAGTGTGTGATATGTGAAAGTGAAAATCCCGAGCAACTACATACTTTGGTATATATATATATATATATACAAAGAGTGAAGATGAAAAACTGGCTGGAAGAAAGTATTCCAGTATGCATAATGGATGGTTTAAGCTCTAGGGGGAGACTCTAGAATTTGACAAGAAAACTGGTCTCAGGCAGAATATGAAAGAATTTGGGATTGTATGGTAAGCAAGTACTATGAATAATGTGTTTGGGTGAAAGCTGAAATCTTTCGTTGCAAAATTCAATATTTTACTTGAGTTTCTTCTAATTTTCCACATTTACAACTGTTGAGTTTTCACGTCTTCTGCCTACTCTTCCCCCAAATCTATGGAGGTACTGAACAGCCATTTTGGCCAAAAAAATGAAAACATGGGGATGAACCGCCAATTTGGCCAAACAACCGCCAAATGACGCCCCTGAACCGCCAGAATGGCCAAATCAAAAATTGAATCCAACCGCCAAATTGGCCACCCATGCTCCTGAGCCGCCATCATTGCCCCTGAGCCGCCATGCATGGCACTGAACCGCCAAATTAGCCATCAATTTTGAAAAAGGTCGAATACAGCCTGAAAATCATACAGGGCATGGCGCACTACAGAAGCCACATTCCCCACCTGTATCAGAAATGTAAACACATAGATTCTGTTCGTTCCATAGTGTTACCCGTTACTCGTTACACATAAGGACAAAACAAGCCTTGCATAAGTCACATCCAGACAACGATCCATCCCTTCCCTTACAGCTTCCAGATGATCCAGGCCTGTCCTCACAACATCAAGACGACCCAGTCCTTTCCATTTCTAGATCAAGAGTAAGCAGCAGAATCCCATACTTATGCACCCTTAATAGCCAAACACAACTAACGTAACTTGCATAGAAAAAAAGATGTTCTGTTTCCAGTGTGGAAAATCTCCCGTGGTTTTCCGTGGATTATGCAACAACTGTGTCGACAAAATGATTCCAAACTCAGCGCCTCCTCCACAAATCAGACCTCCAACTGGCCAATTGACCTCGGCTCAAGAGGTTCTCCAATCTAAACGGCAAGAGGCAATCCAAAGGGCCAGAGCGTTATACTCCAATCCAATCACCACACCTACTGTCCCCAGCCCACTCGGCCAGTCCATGGCATTTCCTATTGGCGTGAACCCAGTGGTGAATGGATTGACAGGCAGCAGTCAAAGTATGTAATTTCATGCGTGTAAATCCCATATCGTTCTACTTCAAACGTTAAAACTCACCTATAACTTTATTACTACTGTCTAATACCCCACCACAGCTGTGGTCCTGCGGTCTTGAACCCTGCATACAAATCAGCACAAGCATCACATTCGATGGCATTTCCTATTGCCGTGAACCCAGTGGTGAATGGATCGACCGGCAGCAGTCAAAGTATGCAATTTCATGCGTGTAAATCCCATATAGTTCTACTGAAAACGTTGTAACTCACCTGTAAACTTATTACTACCAACACAGCTGTGGTCCCAGCCATCTTGAACCCTGCATACGAATCGGCCTGAGCTTCAAGAGTCTCGAAAACTCAACCTTACCCAAACAACCGAGTCGGACATACAGTTGCAAGAAGAGCTCTGGCAAGTAAAGGTGCCCTACCTGCTACGAATCCTCCCAATAAGATTTCGGTCCAATGTGGCTTTGAGATGTGGGCCCGAGGCAAATATGCCCCTTCGCAATTGGTCATTTGAAGCAATCAGTTTGTGCTCTGGTCAAATCCTGATTCTTTTCAAGAGCTGATCGACACGCTCTGCAACAAGTTCAATGGTAAAGTGGAACTCCGGACAAAGATGACTGAGGACAGGGAAATGTTTGGTGTCGAGCACTTCAGTTTTTGTCGGTTAGGCACCAAGAAAGGAGGATCTGTTGAAGATTACGAATCGTTTGTCGAGTTCTTAAGGCGGGAAAAGGCGATCGACTTGATTTATGACCGGGACACCTTTGAACGGCACACCCTTGATGAAGAAGAACAAGAAGGAATTGACGCTCAAGCTGCACGATATGCTCTCCGATCAGGAAAGGACACTGAATATCATGAAGATTTGCATTCAGACGCTGAAAGTGACAGCTCTGAATCCAGTCTTCCTTCGACCATTTTCACATCTGCAACCGGTTCAACATCAACCACAACTTTACCCCAGAATCGATCAACTTTACCTCCTCCTCCAAGTCTACCTTCTTTATCATCAGCAACCCGGTCAACTCCAACCACTAATTTACCTCAGAATAAATCACTTGTTCCTCCTCCCTCTCAGCTGGTGGTTCGGAACGACCACGATGAACAGCCAAAATTCTCCTCAGTCATTCAACAAGAGACCAACCCCCATGTTGAAGCCTTGAAGAGAAACTTGGACGATGAACTTGTGATTGTTAGGATCCTCCCACCTTGTAAGTGTCACTATTGTAAATAACCACGTGACTTAAGTGACTAAGAATTTGTTATTAGGGCGAGCCGAAACAATCTTGGATCCAAACAATTTATCATGGGAGAGATTTGGGAGCATGGAAAACTCCTTGTCATACCGAGATGCCGACAACTCTGACTGGGTTGATGGAGTTCAATTCAGCCTGGATCCCGATGGGCTCAACATGCCTCAGAATATTTGTCTTTACCGTGTTAATTATAATAAATGTTTCAAGGTGAAAGAGACGACCAAAATCATAGCAGCCGAGGTTTTTGACTCTGGAACGGTTTTTCCCATGGTAGCCGAATACTCTCGAGTCCGCAAGGATCTAACATGTGATTCATATGCATATGTACCAAACTATTGGCTGAGGACCTATGTGGTTTCCAGGCAATTCCTGGCTCAATTCTGTCAGGCTATAAGTCAGTCGGCAGGTGGGACAATTATTGGGCGGACGGCAAAAAGGTTACGTGTGAGTGTGTCTGCTATTCAAATCCTCTACAAATTTATTGGTCTGACCAACTACCCATCAGATTGTCGATGGATTTCCTGTTCACCATGACATCTTTACTCGACCAAGACATGAGGATAAATACGTTCCTGGTCAGGATGATGATATGTTTGATTCCACTGAAGAACCCAACTACCCTCTCCGGTCCGTCAATATTGACAATGAACCATCTCGAGTGTTCTGGATGGAAGAAGAAATCACCGGCGGCTATACTTGCCTTTTGTCAATTGAAAACGATGTCTACTTCACCGGTGAACCTCGCTCTCCCACCGAATTTTTGCTCCACTCTTTTCAACACTGGGTCTATAATCATACTCGTGGCCAGCTCACCATTTGAAAATTTAAAGGCCACGGTACCCTTCTTTCCAAACCACACATTGTAGATTTGAACACCAAGTACGTGCTATACATCTGTCCTATTTATGGCTGTATTTGACACTCATAATTTCTATACCCTTTGAATCCACAGGTCTATGTGGAAGAATAAATATGCCAAAGAGTACATGGAATTATTTCTCGAGAAGCACAAGTGCAACAACGTGTGCAAAGCCCTTGAACTACCCGACTTGGTCGAAATCCCTTGGGTCCCGCCACCCAGTGCCCCGGACAACTTTGCCAATGACCTGGGCCACTTTTGCCGAGCCACCGTCAACACTGCTCAATCCACCAGCAACAACCCACAAACCGCCTGCGAGATCAGTCAATCCAGCAGGGTCAGCCACCAATCCACCAGCAACATCAGTCAATCCACAAGCAACATCGGACACACCACTGGTAACACTGGACTAACCAATGAACCAACACCTGGCCCTACGGATGAGGATCTGGGGCTGATCTCAGTTGTCAGACTGGGCACCCAGGCGCTGAGGTCACGATTTCATGATTGACCTTGTCATGTATATAGTTTTAATGGCGACTTAAGCAATTATAATTCCTTTATTATTGCCTCTATTCATGTCATCCGTGGCACTTGAGAACATTGAGCAAAGAACTTCCAATGAATCAGGCAACCAGGGCTCAGGCAGTTGACCCTTGAGGCCATGTCTCAAGTTCAGTCAAAGCCCTGTGTTATACAGGCCTGTACTGGCAATGGAATCTATTCTGAGACGATTTTTTTTTATTTGGACTCACTCATCTCAACCACTCACTCAGATTTTTCTAATCCAAAAGCCACATCTCATCCATCACCCAAACTCCAGCTCAGCTCACCCTCCTCCTTAGACCCAAGAGCCTGGCCCCATTAGGAATCCAACCGTGAGTTACTCTTTTTCTCCTATGATGATCAGGGCCCTTTGGCACCTGTCTATGTTGATGGGGTCCGTTTTCCATAGGGTTATAGCCTCCTTCAGCCACAACCATCAGTGATGGTTGTGGCTGAAGAGGTGGAGGAGGATCGCGCTGACCCCCCCTCTTCTTTTCTATTGCTATGTAGGGTAGCTATAAACGCGAACGATCCGTTGGATCGATCGCTATTCAGGTATGTGGACCGCCGATGCAATCGGCCGTCGTTTTCTTCATATAGCTTAGAGCCTCTTCAGCCACAACCATCAGCGGATGGTTGTGGCTGAAGAGGCGATGGGGGATCATGCTGACCCCCCCTCCTCTGATTTCCTTGGTCTAGGGTAGCTATAAACGCGAACGATCCGTTGGATCGCTCGCTATTCAGGTATGTGGACGGCCGATGCAATCGGCCGTCTTTTTCTTTATAAATCTTCGGGCCTCTTCAGCCACAACCATCACTGATGGTTGTGGCTGAAGAGGAGATGGGGGATCATGCTGACCCCCCCTCCTCTGATTTCCTTGGTCTAGGGTAGCTATAAACGCGAACGATCCGTTGGATCGCTCGCTACTCAGGTATGTGGACGGCCGATGCAATCGGCCGTCTTTTTCTTCATATAGCTTAGGGCCTCTTCAGCCACAACCATCAGCGGATGGTTGTGGCTGAAGAGGAGATGGGGGATCATGCTGACCCCCCCTCCTCTTATTTTCTTGGTCTAGGGTAGCTAAAACCGCGAACGATCCGTTGGATCGCTCGCTAGTCAGGTATGTGGACGGCCGATGCTATCGGCCGTCTTTTTCTTTATAAATCTTCGGGCCTCTTCAGCCACAACCATCACTGATGGTTGTGGCTGAAGAGGAGATGGGGGATCATGCTGACCCCCCCTCCTCTTAATCTCTTGGTCTAGGGTAGCTAAAACCGCGAACGATCCGTTGGATCGCCCGCTAGTCAGGTATGTGGACGGCCAATGCTATCGGCCGTCTTTTTCTTTATAAAGCATCGGGCCTCTCCAGCCACAACCATCACTGATGGTTGTGGCTGAAGAGGAGATGGGGGATCATGCTGACCCCCCCTCTTCTGTTCTATTGCTATGTAGGGTAGCTAAAACAGCAAACGATCCGTTGGATCGCTCGCTAGTCAGTAATGTGAACGGCCGACTTCGTCGGCCGTTAATCCCTTTTTCATTGGCCCTCTTCAGCCACTACCATCAACGATGGTAGTGGCTGAAGAGGAGGAGGTGGCAAGGCTGACCCCCCCTTTCTCTTGGTGTTTTGTAGGGTAGCTGAGAATTGAAACCATCATTTGAAGGTTCTGCGGCAAGGTGACTGAATGACCGACTGCGCAGGGGAGGAGGTGCCAGCGAATAACTGACCCCCCCCCTCCTCAATGTTGTTGTAGGGTAGCTTACAAGTGAATTGTCCTTCCTGCTCCATCTTCAGAAACCCCGTGCCCAAAAAAATGACCAGGAATGCCCAAAGGCGACTCCTCAATGCCAACCCAAGCCTCAAAAAGGGCCCCTTGGCCAATGGAAGCCCTGATCAGCTTGTTCGGCGCAAGGCCGGCAACCATCAGGGTGAAAGTTGGCCATGTGTGGTCCGTGCCTCATCCACTCAAAGCAAGGGCCCCTTGGCACATGGAAGCCCTGATTTGCTTGTTTGGCGCAAGGCCGGCAACCATCAGGGTGAAAGTGGGTCGTGTGTGGTCAGTGCCTCATCAACTCTCAGCAAGGGCCCCTTGGCACATGGAAGCCCTGAATTGCTTGTTTGGCGCAAGGCCGGCAACCATCAGGGTGAAAGTGGGTCATGTGTGGTCGGTGCGTCAAGTGAGGATGATGAAAGTGAGGATGATGAGCCACTTTGGAATCGTAAGCCTGTCCCGAAAAGACTTCCGGTTCATGGTATTCAAACATCAAAGCCCCGCAACCCTCCGCCTCAATATCCAACTGGTACTGCAAAGAAAATTGCTAGTCTCGAAAGAAAATTCGGCTCTACCGAGCATACATATTTCTTTCTCTGCTCCCCTTCTGAAGAAAAAGTATCCCACAAACCCATTCAATACTTGCCTAAAACAGATAAACCTTCCCGTCAAATCGCACTATCTTCAGGCCTTGTACCTCACTTCATCCTAGAGTATCACTCCTTCCAAACATCTCCATCTACTCCAATATTCGACAAACTCTGTGATGTGATCCAAACGCTCCATGCCATGGCCAGATATCGTCCGCATAACAAACGAAATACCCAACGACTCAATGGTGAAATGCATCTGATAGGATTCCGCCCAGGAAATGACGATGGCAAGTCTGGAGGTATGTCCGAATTACATTTTTTTCCCAATGATGCCCTAAGTAATCCCATATGCTATACTCATGATGATTCATTAATTATTGTCCTAGGTACTTATGTACGCAACACACTCACCCCTGCTCAAACCGCCGAAGACGATGCAAACTGGGCCAAGCTTCAATCCCACAACAACTTCCTTGCTGGCAGGATGGAAGCTCTCTCTCGAACTGCCTTCCTGGAAAATCAAGCCCTGATGCAAGAATACGGAATCCCTAATTGGACTCAGGAGGAGTGGACTGAAATGAAGAATGAAGATCGTGAACACCTCAAATTCGCTGCAAATGTTTCCGTCACATATAACGATTTCTACAACCAAGCCCATCAAGATAAGAACGACTTAAATGGATGGACCTATGGTATATTTGCTTATATTGATAAGTCAACTGGGAGGCCCATTCCTCCTCCTTCCTCCAAATTAGGTCATGGATTTTTATTTCCAAGGCATGCTTATCTGATTGACTTTGTAAAATCTAATGGCATTGTTGAACTTGTTTGGCAGACTACCAAGTTCGAACATTGTACAACTCCTCCTCCTCCTTCCCTTTCTTCTCAAAATGATCCAGAACGCCCCTGGACTCACCAAGGTTGTTCTTTTCAAATCAACAGGAGACTTGCCAATGTTGCTAAAAAATTAAAAGATGCTACTCCTGAAGAGATACATAAGAAGACTTTATGTAAATCCCAAAAATATCCATCCTGATTCCCTGATAGTTACCTTTTTCAATTAAAGTGTTCTTTATTTACCATCCCCCTTATCATGATGTCTTTTATTTCATATGAATTCCATATTTTCAATTTTAAACATAAATTACCACTGCTTGATCATCCATCCCAAATTGAAATTGATTATTGAATACAAATAATCAATCAGATACTTGCATTCAAGACAACGCATCCAAGTGACTTATGTAACAAATTCAGAAATTATGTTATTTTGAATCAAAGGCATGAATAAGACCAAGAAACCATATTATTCATCAAAGGATGCGGCACGATGAGAGAAAGATTCAGAAGGGTCATTGGTAGGGTCTGAAAGCCAAGACGAGTCAAAAGAATGGATAGCTTCAAGAACAAGAGAGAACACCTCCCAAACGCTGTGAATGTCAACAACAGGTATTGTGAGATGCATCCCGGTTTCCAGCTCTTTGATGGCTTTGACAAACCATTTGGGAGACGTCTCCATTAATTCTGTCCCCTCCGGATAGAACGCCTGCTGTAAGGCCTTGGCAGCAGATATTGGCACTGGAATCAATCCTTGTTCGCCTCCGACCTCCGAGGGATATTGATAGCACCATTCTGCACTACATCGAGTTGGGAGCATGCTCTTCTTGTCCCATCGACGTTTGTAATTGTTATAGTTACTCGTCCATTGATCGAGACTTTCTTGCAGAAGTGGAACCCATAAGTAAATAAATAAAAGACTTTTGATGCATGTGATGTTAGTCAGTTTATTACCAAACCAGAGAAGCTGTGGATAAATAAACTTACTGCTCAACAGGATCTTGTGGATCATAGTACGATTCCTCCTCCGCCCGAAAGAGTTGGTTTATTAGCTCGCTGTTGTATTGCTTCATTAACTGCGACCATAGACACTCAATCTTCTGATTGTGGGTGCTCTTGGTGAACAGGTGTGACTGAATCGGATCTGGGCAGTCTGCATTGAACGATTCGGTGAGGTTGATCTGGTGGCCAGCCATGTGGATTGTTTCGGTTCCCCTGTCAGTAGATGTTCGGCGAGGTATGCCACCTTCACGTTTGACAAGCTCGAGATAGTAGTATCCAATGTGTCGGGGGTTGTTGTTGGTGACATGAACAAAGATTCCCAAAATCTTCCGGCTCCAAGCATCGATAAAACCATAGAGAGTGATCCCAAACTTCTTGAGTTTGTCGTGGCCATCGGCAGACCAAATGAAGTTCGGGCCGGGGGTGTTGAACACGCGACGCTTCAAAACCCTTTTTGATCGGTTATCAACACCTTCAGGATCAAGGGTACGGTGTGGAACTACTCTTGGGATGAATAGAGCTGGAGAGGGAAAGATGCTTTAATGGGCTGCCTCTCTGGTAACTGGGTTGAGTAAGATAACAAGAAAATATAAGAGTGTGGACTCTTAAGGAAAGGTGTGGCTTTGGAGGATTCTTGAGATGGGTATGTCTTCTGTCTTCTGGTCTTCTGTCTGAATAATACTAGTATCCCAAATGTTGATGGGCAACTACTAGGCTAATGAAGGGTGATCAGTTATCTGGATTGCTGGGGCAGGATCTGATGAGGAACAAATGAAGAGGGGAAAACAAGGCTCCTTATATACAAAATCTGGGGAGTGGCCAGCTTGTGGTTGGAAACACCATGGAACAAAATGGAACAAGAGAAAATTATCAAACTGAAACATGTGGCCCAATTGGTAGGCACTAAGATAAATGGGGAAAATGACATCAGAGACATGCAGGGATGAAATGTGCCACAACCAATGAGGGAGGAAGAATATACCAAAGAGATTAATGAACTAGCCAAATGTGTACTAGTGTGAGACATGCAGATAACCCAAGAGGAATAGTGTGAAACAATAGAATGTGGCCCAAAGTGGAAATGAAGCTAGAGTGAAAGTGGAATAGAGTGAAACACATGCAGAGGCCAAGTTTGGAAGGCTGAATGGGGATTGATGATGTAAGACTGCATGAGATGATTATGTAATAATGAAATGAAATGAGAATCCAGAGTGTCTTCTGTCCTGGGGGCTTGGTCTTGTGACATTGATGGTGTTGCAGGTTAACTGAATATTCCAGAAGGGGCTTGTCTTGGTCCTTGAGGGTCTTGTAATTCAGAGGGCTTGATATTGTGCTTGAGGCTTTGAATTTGTGGGCCTCTTATTCAAGATTGGCTTACCACAACGGTTGATCAATGAAACTGTGAGACTTCATTCCAAACAAAGAAATATCAGAAATAATTCCACGGGATTATAATAACAGAGAAGACATAACACACTTATGAATGTTGAACCCATATTTTGTCTGTAAAAATTGTCGCATCTTTCGGTAACCAACGTTCCGGCCTTCAGGGGTTTGATGAATTTCCTGAATGCAAGAGACGATCGTATCAATGTCAACCTTGTTGTTGTCCAAATCGTCAGTTCGCCGTGTCAGGTTCATGGATTTGATCTTCCTTTCGAGCGTTCGAAAAGATTGAGTATAGTCGTGACTTGTTGTTAGAGCATGGTGGATTTGTGAATATGACAATCCTCGTTCAAAGTAGGTTTGGATGTGGTCTTCAAGCTGATTGGAATGTTCAGTGGCTTGAAGTATAAGTCCCCAATCTTCCTTCCTTCGTGTGAGTGTTCGTTTAGAGACGGATATGCCGTGCGTGTCTTGAATATGTTTGCGGATTTCAGCGTCTGTCAGGCCAGATTCAACTAGAAGAGAAACCTCAGCCTCGAAATTGTCACCAAAAGATCGCATTGAGGCACGCATGATGGATGGTTGGTGTATGTAGTAAGATCTGGTGGGGTGGTGTTGAGTTGTTGGTGTGTGTCGAGTGGTTGGTGTGTGTCGAGTGGTTGGTGTGTGTCGAGTGGTTGGTGTGTGTCAAGTGGTTGGTGTGTGTCAAGTGGTTGGTGTGTGTCAAGTGGTTGGTGTGTGTCAAGTGGTTGGTGTGTGTCAAGTGGTTGGTCTGGTAGGGTCAGCAGTTAGTGAGAAGAGTGTTTCTTGAGCTCGGTTGCCAGCTGATTCATCGGTCAAAGAGCTGTGGTGTATGTGTTATGTGTTGAGGATGGTAGGTACTTTGGCTCCAGGGAGCTTATCACATAGTTTGTATGTATTGGAATGTTTTAGATGTATTGTCAGGGTGTATGACATACATGTCAGATCCACTTGGCCAACTTGGCGGTTGGAATCACTCATATTTGTTTGAAAATTGGGTTTTTCATTTTTCATTTTTTTTTGGCCAAAGTGGCTGTTCAGTACCTCCATACAAATCACTCCCTTTTTTCCTTACTTTTTTCTACCTTTTCTCTTTCTCAAATCATCTTGAAGTAGACTGAATTATGGTTCTTCATAGCCAGTTTTCTGTTGAATGTTATGCATTTTAGTAGTCCAATTAGAACTTACAATACTTCATGACTAGCCTCTTTCTTTTTCTATTCTCATTATTTGATTTAGTAAAATCTGGTTACTGTAAATTAACGCCTCGTAGTATTTGTGATTTAAAATGTTTTCTCTTGACTAACCCATCTAGCTTAAATAAAAGAGAATGAGATTTTTTGTCTGTTTTGTTATTTTCAAGAACTCATTTTATCTTCTCTCAGTTTTTATTCAAAAACATTTTTATTCATTTTTCCTTCAACCACTTTTTAACCACATGTATCTAGTCTATTTAATCCTCGCTAGCTGCAAGTGATTAAAACTATTGGTTCTTTCACTCATTTTTCGTGAACCTCTCCCAAAAAAGGCCATCAACCTTTTTTGTGCCATTTTCTCAAAAGTCTTCAACTTTAGCCGGTTCAGAGCTCAAAAATTCAATAACAACACTTTGTTATGACACAAACAAGCAGGGCCTTGGGTGCACAGAAAATTGGGGTGTACATTTTAGACCATCTCCAACGGGCCACATTGTGCAATTTGCTAAATTTCCAAACTTTTCGGCTGTGGTGCAGTTATAGCAAGGTGTGTTGAGATGAACTGGAGCCAACAGAGTGGGAAAGGATCAGCTCATTTCAATACATGAAAGAAAACAAAAAGAAAGAAAAAGAAAAAGAAAAAGAAAAAGAAAAAGAAAAAGAAAAAGAAAAAGAAAAAGAAAAAGAAAAAGAAAAAGAAAAAGAAAAAGAAAAAGAAAAAGAAAAAGAAAAAGAAAAAGAAAAAGAAAAAGAAAAAGAAAAAGAAAAAGAAAAAGAAAAAGAAAAAGAAAAAGAAAAAGAAAAAGAAAAAGAAAAAGAAACTAACCTGGAGCCAACAGAGTGGGAAAGGATGTGGAAAGAGGAATCCTTCCCAGCCCCGTTGCCTCCAGTATAAGAGCAAAAGGAAAACAAGACACATGTGACAGATTGTGACATGCCAGAAATGAAAAAGAGGAAGAAGCACAAATGAAACTGTAGCTATGAAAATGTAATGAAACCTGTGACATGAATAGCTCAACAAGTGGTGAGATTTTATTTCCCACTGCCGGTTGCCAAAAGTAGATATAGCTGTATGTGAAAGTGATATCAGGGAATGCCAGCAGGATTGAGAGGGGGATGAGGATTTCACAAAGATTGCAATTTAAAACCAATGGATTGGGGAGGCATATGGTTTTCTACAGCACTTGCACCTCTGGCAATGCTATACTACCTGGGAGGGCAAAACCTAATTGTACCTCCTGTTGAGTACCCCTGGTGGAAACTGTTTTTTTTTTGCAATATACCCCCAAGTTGAGATGGCCTTAGTCTTCTAAGAGCAACTCCATCAGGAGTGTAAACTGCAAGTGTAAACCTCATTCACACTACAGGCTCCAATAACCTTGCCCCACACAGCTGGGAATGGATGTAAATTGGTAATGGGAGCCAGATCACATGTTCCTTCATTTTCAGGTAACATGGGTGGCTTCACCTGTGGGACTTGCCCACCCCCACCCTATTCACCCTGACAGCCCCCCTGTGCCACAATTTCACAACCTCATGATGTTCTTTGCAATATTCCCCTCTTTCTGGGTCACTGGAGTGCTCCCAATACCTTCAAGGTAGTCTTCAACCACAAAAAGGATGGACTCATCCGTGCCTGATTTGTGCTTACATACTTTGTTAAACTGATACTTTTCATTTCTGACCCGGCCCGTCAGGGCCCTTTGTCTAATTTGGGCTCGGGTCCGGCCTATCTAGGTCTTCATGTGGAGAGTGGAGCTGCATACCGGCTTGCAAATACAACTTGCAGATCCTGATTATGCATGGTCAACAAAACAGATGTACATAAACGGAGGTTTATTATTAATGGGGTCTAAACCCAGTTGCGCGCTGCGCAGATACTTTGCTCGTTTATTCTATCCTGACAGCAGCTGTCGGCCCAACTCAGATATGACTTCAAGACCAACATCAGGTCGGGCCGAGCTAACCTGAGGCAGCCCGTGACGCGGTTCATCCCGCCAGGCCAATTGATGTGTGTTCTTGAGCTCTGATTTTTCAAGCTGTATGCCACAAAGGCGGCATAGGGCGGTATGCACCCGTCCATCTGTCCTATGCATCTTCATCGTATAGGCTATAGGGGTTCCCAAAAGTGAGTCATCCCTCCTCTTTCGCCCTCCGACCTGAAACACAACAGAATCACTTGAGCTTGTGAATTGGATTTGTACTCAATGTGAATTCTTGAAATTGAGAAGGCGTAGAATACATATTATAATATGTTTTTTGCAGTGTAGTTGAACTTCTGGTTAAAATGTTGTGATACCGGCTCATCCAGACTATCATTTGACGGTGATGACAGGCTTTGAACGTTGGTGAAAGAACTTGAAGATAAGATCCCCATACTCATAGTCATGAATTTACCGGCTCAGACCGGCAACCCAAGCATAACCGCAATTTACCGGCTCGCATCATGAATCCATGATGGCTTTGCCCGTGACTAATTTATTTAGTTATACGGTCCTCCAACTCAGCTGTAATATTCGAATTGTTGAAATGTTTGATCGAATAACAAAAATGAACCATACGCAGTAGACCCCCAAGCCACCACCCGGCCGAAGGAGGTCGGTTGTATCGATGAATTGATACGCAATGGGCCTGAGACGTAACTTGCAACTAGAGACTGTCGAATAGAGAACCTTACAAGAAATGCCATTTGAATCTCTTGGGTACATATCAACCGTTCAGCCGTCAACACGATGTTCAGTCTGTTTTTGAAGAGGGCTTGAGTTATGTATCCTCAAGTCTTGACTAGCTACTATTTGATCGTGGCCAATCTAGCGTCCATCAGCAAGTGCAGGGTGTTGAATATATTGATGAGTGATGCTTTGGCACCATGTGCCACTGGCTCACTGTTCGACAGAACTCCAGCTGACTGCAGTCAGCTCCAGTCCACAGTGTCTGAAGGATGTTGCGCTAGTCTCTCAGATCCTCACTGGTTTTTTTGTTGGATAAGATTTAAGATTAAATTCTTGCTCATCATTTTCTTCCTCATCTGTCCAACTCTTGATTCAATACAGTCCTATGGTTGAATAACTATTTTCTTCTCAACTCAATTGAATTGACCGGGTACATACACCAATCTACACCAATCCAGGATTACTGCACCACCCCTGCCCTCGAACTTAACACAAGTCCCTCCGAGGAGGTCGCGTAGCGACCTCCGAAGGAGACGCTTCGCGCCTCCTTGGAGAGGATTAGTTAAGCTCGCCCTGCCCTCCCCACTGAATGTTCCATGCCTTCCTCGATCGCCACCGCGCCATTTTCTAAGTGTCCCGAGTCTCAACTCGGGTCGATCGTCGACCTATTCGCAGTATTTTATCGAGCTTAACTAATCCTCTCCAAGGAGGCGCGAAGCGTCTCCGAAGGAGAGGCTTACCTCCAAAGTCGCTTGCCTGCCTCAACGGAAATGAGTTTTCTTCGAGAAAACCCCTCATCTGATTTTGTTTAATTTTTTAAAAATACCCTGAGCCAAGTTTCGAAAAACTGAATAGACAGATTGGTAGCCTGCCATCTCAGCTTTCATCCCACAGTTTTTCTTATATTCTCCTGCAATAACTACCAGTGAAGCTCACTTCTTTTCCAGTGATTTTCCTTATTTTGCGAAGTAACTCAATTTGAAATTTTTTGCGCTTGCGGATATCGGATCACAAATCATCTCACGGCCAATGCATAGTATACGATCCTCAATACAATAACATTGTATTTCCTTGGATGAGTTCCGACAGACTCTGACAGTACAACACAGACTCAAGGTATGTTCTTATGGCCAGATATACCCGATAGGATATCCGGCCATAATCAGGGCGGATTGCTTGCAAAATTTTTGAACATCAACAATTTTACAGGACGTCTCTTGCCAGGGAAGGGGGATATTCAAAATATTGAAGCGGCTAAAAATAAGATGAGAAGCCTACAATTCTGATGGTCAAATCCTCAGGATGAGAAACGAACTGTAACAGGTGAGTACCGGGCAACGTGGGTGAGGGGATCATTTCTCCTGCCATTTGGCTGGAGTTCGTAGGGCGAGACATGCCACTTTTGATGCAAGTCCCTCCTTCGGAGGTCGCTACGCGACCTCCTCGGAGGGACTTGTGTTAAGTTCGGTATTTTATAATTTATCAGACCAACTGCAAATACGTACGCAAAAAGAGCTCTAGGCTCCAACCATCTTCCAAACAACACGCGACAACCAAAGGTGCGCCTAAGGCAAAAACACAACGTTCAACCCATGCAAAACCTGGTTGTCTTAACGTTGCCTCCATTCCGTCAGGAGCGTTGCATAGACACTCATGCAGGCACTGGCGGGAAAACAGAAATTGATGAGGGACCTAGCCCATGTCTAGCAACAGCATCCTGTTGAAGTAAGGTGAAAACTATATCACTCGGGCAAACCGATGACCAGGGAAACTGCAAAAGGCTAAACTGGCTGATGATAGACAAATGAACAAAAATGAATCATGTTGGTGTTAATTTTCAACCTGGACGTTTGCTCCCAGGCCTCTCTTCCGGCTTTTCCTCCCGGTCGATCATAGCTGCCCGCAGTCAAGCTACAAGTCACGTAAGCTCTATCTCAGTGTATCTACATGCCTCTCTCTTCTCTCTCTTTCTCTGTCTTTCTGGCTCTTGGTGTTGATTTTCCTCTCTCTCTCTCTCTCCCCTCTCTTTTTAATATGGTACACATGAAATATCTATTTAGGATTTCTGCGAATCTCTCCATATCTCTCTCCATGCATTATACATCTGGTTATCAATTCAGTCCCGTTGAATCATTGACTGACTATTCTTTTTTAGTTATCCATCCGATGCACTCAGAAAACTCCTTTTACGAAAATATGGGACCCCATTGGGCCGTTCCGTATTCTCTAATCTGTAGCCTTTTGACTGACATAATTTTTTTGCCTGTCAGAATCCTGAAAGATCTGCGATTCATTCGGTTCCCACATTCAACCGGACGTCTCACGTATTATGTACTCGTAGGATCATAAAAAAATTATCTTCTCCCGATTAACCACTTCTCACATAAGATGCATTGATATTCAAACACTTAAGCCCAAATGAACGAGAGATATCATTGCTTTGTCGAAGATGCTGAGTGATCTGATTGATGACCCTCACTTGAGTCCCCTTCGCCCTCCTTTCTATGACTCTATACTTGGCGGGACGAAAAAAAAAAACAAAGATGGAAGCTGTATAGCGAAGCCGCAGGATCTTCGGCCTATCCACTTGAGTTCACATTATGATAGTTGAAATTCGCACTACTCCTTGCCCAGCGGCAAGCTGGCCCGCCGCCCATAGGGTTGGACAATCATTTTTTGGGGTCCCTCTTGCCAGGCCGCCAGCAAAGACTGACCTCATGCGAGCAAAAAAAAAACCGTGCACAATGGGCTTTGGAGCCATGATTTCGAATATAAAAACAGCGGTTGTTTGCCTTCATTCTTTCCTTCACCATCATCTTCAGACCATCATCGTAGCGTATTGCAGTATTAGATATAGCATTTCTTAAATAATATATATACTGAGGCTAAGGAAAACTCCTCCTGATTCTACTGCCTTTTCCAACTTGCAGGGGCGTTGAAGAACAGTTTTAGTCAATCCCTGCTCCTTAATTGGTCCCCCTTTTACGGGAAAAATAATTCCTGGTCTAGATTCCTATAATCCTTTCTGCCTGCATTGGGACGCGGAATTGCTTGTCTTCTGTTTGCCATCACAAATATACTTATAGGATTGCCGTTATTCTCTGCTATTGCTCCCCTATAAAGCGCATAGAACCTAGTCTTAAACTCCCCATTAATCAAACAACATGAGCTCCGTTAGTGCGATGAGTAGTGCAGAGTTTCCGTTCTTATCACTACATCTTTTAAGCCACTCATTCTCGGGAATCTTCTTCACTCATCGATTCGACTTCGGGAACCTCATTCTGGGTGAACACTCCACCACCAATAGTTGGATACAAAAAAACGCCGTGTTGGTGTTAAGACGGTGGACGGAGTGGTTCACCGGGCCACATGGATTTTATATAATCAGTTTCTTCATCTTGGGCCTCCTTATCTACGACGCACTCCGACCACGTCCCTTGAATGGGATTCCAACGTCAGGTCGCTACTGTTGGGCCCTTGGAGATAGCGGTGCGCTCTATCGCCACATGAAGTTGAACAAAACGCGAACGACTTTCTTCACCGATCAAGCCAACCGCGTCGGCCCCTTGAGCCAAGTAATGCTTGGGCCGGCTGGGAGTTGGTTTGGAAGGCTGACCGGTTTGGGCTCCCACATCGTCGTCCTCGCCGATGGCCAACAGCTTGTTGAAGTGTGTGCCAAGAGGTCGCGAGAGTTTCCAGACCCAGGCTTGACTCTGGATATGTTAGTACCTCTCTTTTTCTGATTTTCGTTTAGCGTTCCACTGTCTATGTATGAGCCACCGATATCCTATGTCTGTATTCGAATGGCGTCTGCTAAATGCGAAGTCTACATAGAAAACTAAGAAACTTGTCTTGTTTGTATCCTTTACTTCACGTCCATTAATGCTCAACAGCTACAAGGGCATCATTCCCAACGGCCAACTAGCCCTGCCAACCGGTCCAACATTCAAGCACCATCGTCGAGCGTGAGTTACATCAACATGTATCTCGGTACCTTATCTCACTCTATCTCCGTTTTTGCCACTCCGCGTTTCTCTGTTCCACCGTGTGGGCGTTTCACCATTTACATCGCGTGGCAGCGGGGTGAAGCCTTTCAAAGTCCGACAACAATACATTTCACAATTATCACTCTTTGATACTTTTTTTGCTCCTACGTCATCCGTCTTTCAATTTAAATAGTGGTGACACAAACGTGCCAGTCTTTAACCTTAATTAACGAGATAGATATAAGATACCCTTACCTAGCTACCCAACTGTCTTTCCCCATCATTTCGGATCACGAGAATGTGAATAAATCGTTTGCTAACCGTTCAACTGATCTCCTTGTGTGCTCCGAAAAAAATGTGTGACAGTATAGCGCATTCAATGTCCTCCTCACACCTGTCGCAAGTGACTCCAAAAATCACCAACTCCGTCATTGAGCTCATTCAATTATGTGAGATTTATTCACTTCTTAATCTTGAAATCATTACTTGAGTGCTAAATCCTCTTTTGTGCAGGGAAAAAACGGAGTCAAATCCTCGATAGAAGTGGAGAAAAGTACTTCAAAGCAGCCCAAGATCTGAGGTTGAGTACTATGGTTAGTTTGATCATGCACTAGTTATGTGTCCTATTCCCGACTAATCACTGTGAAACCCTTCGGCATGTATCGTCTTAGGATACCATCTCAGACATCATCTTTGGTAAACCTTTCGGTGTGATGAGTGCCAGGCTTGCTCACCTTGAGAATTCCAATGGTGCCTTATCTGCGGATGCCAGACCTCAGTTCCCGACTCTGGCGCGTGCCTTGAATGTAATCGTCGCTCAGGTCGCTCGTTGCTACATTTCACCATCAAAGTCACTGTTCTGGTTCATGCAGAGACTTTTCAATAGGGAATGGCGTCAAGCCAAGTCCACGGTCTTCGCTTATCTGAAGAATGAAGTGGAAAAAGAACGGATAACTCTCTCGGAGGAGCAAAGTTTTGGAGGCGTCGACTCCAAGGACCCAGATAATGTTAACAGTGTACTCTCGCTGTTGGTCAAAGATGAGCACTTGTCTAAGTTGAGAGGCGAGAAACCGCTCAGTACGGTAAGCAACTGCCCATTTGATGATACGGCAAATACAATGCTACCATGTACTCATTTTTGATCGCTACAACCTTGGTCCACAGGATGAGATCACCCAGGAGCTTTTAGTCTATTGGGTTGCTGGTCATGGTATGTCACCTACCTTCAAGTTTCTCTTGACATAAATAAGCCATAGTAACTAGAGACACTATTCAAATTATCATTACTATAGGTACAATGGCCTGTACTTTGGCATGGGCGGTCAAACTGCTATCGAACAATCCAGAAGTACAATATAAACTCCGCGATCAACTAGTCAACACACTCCCGAGCCTGAATGAACGTTCCCCGACCTTTTCCGACTTGAAAGTTTGCAGCTCTGATCTTGGCTATCTTGATGCGACCTGCTTTGAAATCCTTCGATGCGGGAAAGTGCTTGGAGAAGTTTCGAGAACTAGCCGAGTGGATACAATGGTGATGGGGCATGTTATTCCCAAAGACACCGTCGTGATGATGCCCCACAGTCGTTTAAGTGGTCCGCAACAATCTGAATCCGAATTTCGACCGGAGCGCTGGATAGATTGTGATGGAAAATTTGATGCACAGCTTCCTGGTCCTCTGCATGTTTTTGGTCATGGGCAACGTGGCTGCTTTGGAAAAAATCTTGCGGTTAGTACTGATTCAAGTAACGTTTTCCATAGATTTAACCGCTTCTTAACCTTAGTGATGTTGCATTCAATCCCAGGTTTTGGAGTTGAAGTTATATATTGCCATGCTTTGCATGGAACTATTCTTTGATCGAGTGCCGGACGATGTCAACTCTATGGACGCCATAGAATTGGTGGCGAATCACCCACAAACCTGTGTTATTCGGCCGATACCTTGGTCGAAAATCAGCAACGATCCAACGAAGCATCTATGAAGCCTGACACATGTACCATAAAGCAAGACCCACTAGACTCACCACTTCATTTACATCGTTTTTCCATGATACATTCATGTCCCTCTGCTATCATAGACTTCCCTCCTCATCCTATCAATTCGATTTTCTTACATAATCTTTCATCCTGCAATATCCCAAATCTGAGCATCATCACAGCTTGCTTCCATACTCGCATCTTGACCAAAACACATATTTTGCACTTGGTTATATTTCTTCAGACAAATAGAACTTTAATGGGCTGACAGCCAAAATATTTTTTGTACTTCCTTGAAGATTGATTCGTGTTCTTTTGCAGTTCGGTCCATATAATAGAAACTCTTATTTTCCAATTTATTGTCTTGAAAAATAATGAATGAAAAAAAAAATCAGATGAACAAGAAGAAAATGGCAGGGGTCACAAGTGTATTTCTGCCCGACACACCAACCAACTCAGTAAATACCACAGGCTGCTGAGGTTTATGCTTGAGCCCGGAAAACAAGTTATCAGATCCTTGGATGCTTTGTTAATACTTTTATTAAAAAGGTGGGAGTCTTGGAATTATTTTCAATGACCCTTTTGCCAAAATTTGACCTCTCCTATGAACATTAATACTCATTGACCCCAACAATAAGAGGTACGGCCCCTCTCAGTCTCAACCCACAACATGGCTATGTTTTAAAACTCAACCCAAATCTGATTTGTCTCTAGTTCTTCCTTCATTAGTAGCTTAGCAAATTTATACCTACCATTACCAAAAACAGTAATCGATTTTTTACATCACACTAAAAAACTCACCTACCAATGAAATGAATATTGTGATTACCTGCCAGAATTAATAGCGCAGCAAACTAATGCCAGCTGAGAAAATATTCTAAATTTTGCATGGTGCTACAATAATCATCTAAAAATCAATTAATGATTGTGATCACCTGCCAGAATAAAAATTGTAATTAGAATGCTGTAAGAAGAACTAAAAAATAATCATTCCAATTGTGTAGGATTCTGCAAGACTTTTCTACAAATCAAACCCAAGCATCAACAATGGGCCAATACTCTACTTTGCAATATTTGGCCTATATCAGTATAGTATTGGAAAAAAACTGACCAAAGTTGTTAATGTTATTGTAAAAATATCAATTTTGTGATAATTTACAGCTTTTATTGAGCTGAAATGACTGTTAATGTGTGTTATTTTTGAACCTCATATTTTATTGTTGTTGTGCCATGGGTTATTTAATCTGGACTTTCCACCTTCTGAGCAAAGCACATCTCCGGGAATCTCACAAAAGTGCATTCTGGAGGGCACCTCCAAAACTGCCAGCAATGCACATCTTTGGTTAGCACATTTGAGGCCCACCAGGGGTGCTATTTTTTGAAGTAAAAAACTAGTATTGTCTATGATCCATATTTTTTTTAATTTTTTTCAAACTCAAATTTATTTACCACCACAAAGTTTGACTTTGCTTGATTTTGTAGTCAAAATTGGTGGGTGGCATGCAGCACTTCACACTACTTTGGGGAAAATACAGGGTCTTGTGGGCTAAAAAAAAGAGTTAAACCAACAAGAAACCCAACAGTATGGAATAAAATTAGGGCCTTAGTTAAACAACTCCCAAATTTTGGGGATGTCCTGAGGACTGTCTGCTTACGGTGTAGGACTCCTAGGACGGATAGACACGGTAAAGTATATGTATATCAAAAGATCCCTTGAGGGGGAAATAAATTGCAAATAGGTTGAAAGGCTATTACAACTTACGGGTGGTTTGAAAGACCTGCCCCTCTAAATGTACTAAACAAATAACTAAGAGTCTTGTAATCAATATTTAATAATGTATGGCTGATTCCAAGATAGATCTTACTTTTGTAAAGTAATCTCTATCAGACCTAGATCACGGATCTACTAATGAATCTGTTACAACTTCAGGTTAATAATGGAAACTGTGTTGCTGATGACTTGAGCACAAAACAGATGAGTTGTTATAGAGTTTTTTAATGATCTCTTCCTTGAACAATTTCTTGCTAAGGAACTTTAATCAAAAACTAGAGCTCCGGTACTAATACTACTACTACTTGTTATTGGTTAATTGTTAATGTACTACTACTTATATGATGACTACTACTACTAATATGCTTCAAATTCCGAACTCTTTGTTGGTTTCTCGCTTACAATACTGTACTAATTCACTACTTATCACTAACTCTCTCACTTACTAACTTATTCTTCAACTTGGGTGATCAAACTTACCGCAGTAGGTTGATGGGGAGAAGGGACTTTCTGGTGGGGAGAGGCCCTTCTTTTATAGTGAAGAGTGAGGGATTTCTGCTGCAGGGGACTCCTTGTGAGGGAATATTGCTGCAGGGGATCTCACCTTCACAGCCTTTGCACGCAGCCTGCAAACAAATAGCGCAGCTCATGCTGTGCTAGGAACACTTAACTCCAGACCTTGTCACATAATATGCATGCAAGGGAGCACACAAGCGCAGCATGATGTCATGCATTGCCAGGCAATCAAGCCATCTTCCAGAACCAAGCGCAGCATGATGTCATGCGTCGCCAGGTAACCAAACCATCTTCCAGAACACTCTGCATAGGCAGTACCAGCCTGCCAGACCTGCTGTTATCTCCTTCCACCCAGGATTTGGGGGTCAAAGCCTCTCCTCACTCCTTCCTTCCTCCCTCCACCTCAATATTTTTCCTCCCTTCACTTTCCACAATCCGTACCCTGTACCCTTACGTAAAACATAAAGTACCCTTATTACACACCGCTCCTCCGTTCCATTCCTAGTTGAGACATGTTCTCCCGCTCCTCTCCACGTATATACTTCTGCTCCTCCGTTCCATTCCTGGTTGAGATATGATCTCCCACTCCAATCCTTGTATGCACACCACTCCTTTGTTCCATTCCTGGTCGAGATACGATCTACCAATCCACTCAATGTATGTAATCCTGTCCGTATATACCACACCTCATCCATAATTGTTAAAATTAACAATGCAGTTTTCAGACAGTTAGCAGAAAATGATTGACTTGGGCAGGATTTGAACCAGCGACCTTAGCTTGAAGCTAAGACACTATACTAGAAGTGCTGCCTTTACCACTAGGCTACCAAGTCCATGCCTGATGTGTTGATATTTAGAACACTGTGGATTACAGAATTTCAACAATAATGATTGTTCCTTCTCTTGTAATGATTGTCACATGTATGTACCTATGCTATCCCAACACCTCTGCTGTATGCTTTTGGCATTGGAACAGGCACAGCACACCACAACGGTCCTCAGGACTTCAGGCCCCCTGATTTTTTTCCCCACCGTTTTTTGGGAGCCGGTCCTCCAGCAATGGTGCAACAGATACAAGACATGTATTTGTATTGGATTGTATCGTCTTTATTTTGAGCCTGATACAGGTATCAGTATTTTTTGGTTGGTGAAAAAATCCATTGTCTTGGATTTTGATTTACGAATGAAAAAAAATTGTCTTTGTTTTTTCTTCAATACGGCCAAATATCTTGTGTATCAAATATGGTTTTGGTGGGGTCAGTCATCTGAGACAATACAGAATACATTTCTCACTTTTCAAAGACGATACATGTGTATGTCTCAGGAAAGTGAGACAACACAAATCCGGTATTTTTGGGTATTCAAATTCTGAGACAATACAAATAAGGGACTTAGTCAAACGACTCCCAAAATTTGGAGTTCCGACTCCCAAATTTTGGGAGTCGTTTGACTAAGTCCCTACAAAATAAACACCTGATACCGTCTCGTATCGTCTCTGTTGCACCGTTTCCTCCAGAGTCCAAACCCTGTAATTGGTTTTTGGAGTCAACTCCCTAAAAAAATAATACTTATTATTATTAATTTTGCAAACCCGCCAGGGGTTTTGGGGAGTCAATACTCCAAAAATCCATGGGGGTTTGGAGTTGGCACTGAAAGAAAAAAGAAAAAGAACAGCCGGGAGGATTCCTCCCGGCCATTGAAAGGCTGCACTTTTGACAACCAAAAGGATTCCTCTTGGCCAAAAAGAGTGTATACTCTTGACAACCAAGAGGATTCCTCTTGGTTGTTGAGAGTGTAAACTCTTGATGGCCAAGAGGAATCACTCTCAAAAACCTTGAGGCTGCGGTTGAGAATTTCTGGAGGAAATTGAGAGGTGCGAGTCAAGAAACAACAAGAACATTCAAATAAGGAAATGGCAAAAGAAAAATCAAACAATTTTTTAGCTGTGTGTGTAGATATAAAAGGCAGAGGTGATGAGTAGTTCCAACTGTAAAAACTCTAATGCTTCTTGGCCAGTTTCAGTCTGGCTCCCTGAAACCAACAGAATGTGTTCTTGAATCTGCAGAATAATTGTTTGAATTGCCAAGTTCAAAGAGACCAGTAAAATGGAAATGCTCCACTCATATCCAATTCTGTAGTCCTAGTAGCCACCGGAGTGGAAGCCTTCAACATTTGCGGACACTGGACAGATGAAGCTATCACAAATAATCCTACCACTCAGCTTGTTGCAAGGCCATCATGGTATGCAACACGCTGACAAGGCTGCTCATGCCCAAATATTTTCTGAGCACTTCATCCCACACACACCTGGACAAATGGGTAAATTTCAATCCCTTTCCCCCCTGCTTCCTTTGAGGATACTTTTTTCACTGGTTGGTGACTGTCCAGCTGTTGTGGATTGATTTAGAGACCCAATTTGATCCAGAGCTGCAATCTATCTTTACTCCCAGTGCTCCGCAAGTTTAGTTGGAAGAAGAACTTCTTTGGTTATCATAAATGCCAGTGTCCAATATAAGCCACAGACAACTGAAAAACAAGTTCTTATCTTTCCATGAAGGTCTACTTGCGCATTTCAACGACATTGTGATAGATGTTATTGGCAATAGTTCCTGGTCAATCACAAGGCTAATCCTTCCCGGCCGTTGAGAGTCGTACACTCTCAGAGACCGAGAGGAATCCTCTTTGGTTTCTGAGAGTGTACCAGCTCAGTGGCCGAGAGGAATCCCTGTTGTTCACTGGGAGGGTATGACTCTCAACGGCCAGAGATGTTTCCTCTCAGTCACTGAGAGTGCAAGACTCTCAGCAGCCAAGAAGAACCCTCTCTGGCTGTTGAGAGCTGTATGGCTCTTGCCGGACAGGAGGAATCCCTCTTGGCTATTCTCTCAACAGCCAAGAGGGATTCCTCTTGGCCACTGAGACCTTTCCAGGCCTGACTCCCAACCCCCCCACTGGTGTTTTTGAAGGATTGAGTCCCATAAACCCCCGGTGGTTCCTTTTTTTTATTATTATTTTTGTTATAGGTCTGACTCCCAAACAAGTCGGACTTTTTGGAGTTCCAACTCCTAACAAATCAGGGAAAAAGAAATTTAGGGGGGCCAACATTGAGAGGACCGCCTGCAGCTGGTCCTCAGGACGTCCCCAAAGTTTGGGAGGCGGAACTCCAAATTTTGGGAGTCATTTAACTAAGGCCCTAAAATCTATGTATATTGAATTAGATTTAAATATACATACAACTTATAAGGTAAACTTGGAAACTTTATTCTACCAGCCAGAAAGAAATCACCACACTATGTCAAGAGTGTGGCAAATTCTACTAGTATTATTCTATTTTAAGAATACACATGATGTAATTGGCTATAAACATGCATCATGATGTCATGGGGAATAGAAAATACTTCATTTGAAATACCATGAATTATTACCATTACATCAGGGGAATAATTCTACCATGGTACTCTAAAAGAGAGATTCTAGAATATTCCAAGATGCAAGGGGACCTCTATAATATTTAAGAAGGCCATATGGAACCTAGGATCTGTTCTTCAGCATATTCACCCCTAGTACAATTAGTAAGTACAGTGGGTGGATCATTATTTTTGGCTGCCTGTTTAGGATCCCAGAGCTTCAAAGCACCAGATTGAAGTCATGAGACTTGGTCAAGGGGTGCAGAATGGGGGTTGATAAGCGCACGCCAACCCCCATGGCGCACGCCAATCTGCACGCCATTGCAGAATGGCGTGCAGGCAGGCACGCCACTCGCCTGCAGGGGGTATACCCTGCAGGTTTGGCGTGCCTGCCTGCACGCCCAATTGCGGTCCTAAACGCATATTTATATGCGTTTAGGACCTGAGCTGTCCCATAGCCACGCCATTTTTTTTTTTTTTTTTTTTTTTTTCAAACCCCCTCGGCCTAGAGAGGCCAAGGTCACACCGCCGGGAGGAACCCCTCCCGGCGAGCCTGTGTACATGCCAGCTCGTCGGAAGGAATCCCTTCCGAAGAGCTGGCCGTACATGATTTCAGCTCGTCGGAAGGGGTTCCTTCCGACGAGCTGGCTTTCAAACCAGCTCGCAGGGAGGAACCCCTCCCGACGAGCTGGGTTATGTACCTTCTTCAACTTCAACACTGAGTCCAGGTTTTGGTTGGTCGGTCCGCCTTCAATAACTAAGACGGAAATCTTGGGGTCTTTTGATAATCGGTGTGCAAGGACACAGCCTGCTGTTCCACCCCACACTTCCAAAATATAAAAAAATTGTCAGGACATGGCGAAGATTGGGAAGAACTAGCTTCTCTTGTCGCGATCCGACTGTTATCATAACTCACACAATCACGTAGTCGTATTCCATGTTTGGGAATGATTGAGTTGGCGTTGAAAATGTCTTTGGAATTGGACGACCGCTTTAGTATTTAATGGAAGTCTTGGAAAAAGTCAAATGGCGAAGGTGCTTGCAAGAGGGATATAATAGAGGTAAATATCTAAGGATGAGAATGGGAATGCTGAAACATCAGGCGGCCTTGAGATCTAGCTTTTATGTTAGCGAGCTTTTGGACGACAGCCGGAAGCGTTAAAAAGAGCCTGGGATGAACTAAAGGGACAATCGGATGTTTGAAAATATGTAACCTGTTCAGGAGCAGGCGCAAAATCGCTCTAGTATGTCCGCATTCGTACGCTGTATTCCTAGCCGTAACAAAGGGAGCGAAAGGGAGCCAGTTGTGAAGCCCCGGATTCCGGTTAAGGTAATGGCTCTAGCGGAGCCTTATCCAGCTACTAAATACTCTGTCGACCGCTCTCGGTCGTTCTCTTTCCCTTATTTCCTTAAGCTATTTACTGTCCGCCGCTCTCGGCTATTGTATTTATACTCTCGCTTCTTATCTTTCCTATTCCTTTACCTTGTATATTAGAGATACTAAATACGGACCGAACTTAGCCAAGTCCGGTCGTTTTCCTTACTGTCTTATAACACTTAGTCGTCCCATCTAATGGGACTCCTCACATCTCTCTCGTGTTCTCTCTCTTCCTAACCGATGCTTCCATTCCACCCCTCGTCTATAAATACGAGCTCTCGATGCTGCAATACAATCCCCAACAAAGTTCTCTCGTACCTTTTCTGCACCTCAAAAGCCGGCGAGATTCACAGAAATATTTCTGTGAGTAAAACTTATCCTTTATCTTAATCATTCTCCGTTATATTCTCTAGAATCCGTAACTTAAAGGATACTAAAGCTCACAAACCGAAAAAAAAACCCTTTTAGAAACCAACCAACCACTCCTATCTCTACTCTCCCTACCGGCGTCGCGAACCGGTAAGATTCCCCTCTTCCTCTAACCCTCTCCGAATAGAAACAAACAAACTTATAGCTATCCGAAAACCGTTCTCTTTAGAAATAAACAACTAAGTTCATATCCTCTAAACCCTTTCTAGAAACCGATACCGTCTCATCCGAAAATGGACGCCGCCATGAACGATGGAAACCAAGCAGCAGCCCGTGACGCTGCCCGAGATGAGGTAATCCTCAACTTACAACAACAGGTACAACAATTGATGGCTAACGCGTTAAACCAACAGGCTCAACGCGCCGAAGCCGCCCCTCGGGTCGAAACCATCTCTGTTCGTCTCCCGGACTTCGATGGGAAAGGAGATGTCGATATCTGGATTAAAAAAATAGAGTGTATCCTTGCCGGACGTAACTACCCTCAAGACAGATGGACCAGTATGCTAATTCAAAATCTCAAGGACACAGCCGAAGCGTATTGGTTCAACCTCATCAGCGAGTTGGGCACCGCCGACATACCGTGGGCAACTTTCAAACAGAAGCTCACCGATCAATTCAACTACGCTCATAAGCAATACGATGCTCAGGTCGAGATGCAGTTCCTCAAGTACACTACGGCTGAAGAATATATCAATAAGTTCAAACGTTTGGCTATCAAGTTACCAGCAGACAAAATGACCGACGAAGATAAAAAGTTCCATTTCACCGTCAACCTCCCTGGTCACCTCCGTGTCAAACTCCTCAGCGAAAAATGTGACACCCTCGACGACCTCTGCCACTTCGTTAGAGAATACGAAAGGGTAACGAAGAGCAGCAACTATTGAGGAGGATCGGGAAGTTTCAACTTCAATAATTATCGAGGTTTCAGCTCGAACAACTCATCCGGCGGACACTTCCGACGTTCTTCTCACAACAACTTTACCCCGGCACGAAGAACCTCTGTCAGCGCCAGCGCTCCTTTGGACTTGGATGCGCTTGATGTAAGTAAAGCGCGCTGTTATAATTGTAATAAAATTGGTCACTTATCGAAGGATTGTCCATCTCCCCGAAAAATAAAATATAACAACTCAAAGGCTCCAGAGAAACACCGTGCTAGGCCGTCGTTGAATTTAATCGACTTGGACCCTCCAGAAAACTCGAAATCGACTAGCAACCTCTTTTTCATTCAACCTACCAAACCAGAAGAAGATTCTTACGATAAGATCAACGCTGATCTCAAAAGGATTAGCAACAACTTAAGTAAGAAGTTCGATAACGTAGTCGCATCGATCAGGCAAGAAATCTGGAACATCGACCGAAATAAAGAAGCCTTACTGATGTGTAGTCGAATCGAGTCGGGTCTCAGTATTCTCAACCCAAAAGCCTTAGAATTCATACCCGGTGCCAGCCGACATGGTATCACCCGGGAGTTACAACTAAATACTATGCAAATCGAAGCTCCCTCAGCGTCGATGAAAAGGAAAGCCAACGATGTCGAAGACAAACCCAACAAATTAGCCAAAGTATCCAACTGCGACTATATCGACTGGCTACAGATTGACAGTGACACCGAGTCCTACGAATTCGAACTAGAATCCGACTCAGATGTCTCTAGCGTTATCTGGATGGGTGATAGTCCAGCTGAACTAGAAAAGACCCCACCACCGTTGGATCTCAACCATCTCGATGAAGAAGAAAAAAACTCTGCCGAGATACGAGTTTGGCATTGGTGCGGTCATCTGTGACACCATCATCGACTCAGGAGCAGGAGCAGTCTATCTGGACGTCGCAGTGGCAGATGAGTTATATAACAGGCGCGAAATTGACATTGTCTATGTAGAACCTCGAAACGTGCGACTAGCCAACGGCCATATAGAGGAAGTGAAGATGAAAGCTAAACTCGAATTGTGTATCGATGGCAATGTAACACGAATTGAGGCGTTCTTAATTAACTTACCCGAGATGGATTTAGTATTGGGGCTTCCATGGCTATGTCAGACGCGAGCGGTCCCGGATTACGACGACCTCAGCTACACATTCTTGGACGCAGAAAATAAGGTCGTCAACGTCAAGCCTTACAATCTGAGTTATCGTGTAAAAGATGATCTCCTTAACTCAATAGTCTGCGAAACCAAATTGGGGTCATTAGACAATGAATTTGCGAAGATCGCATACGGGACGGCTCCAGAGGCATTTCGAGAAGTTGTGGGCTTACCAAAGGATAAAGTATTTGAACATGACATCGACACCGGCAACAGCGCACCCGCCAAAGTACATGGCCGACCCTACTCACCACCGGAACACCAGCTGATTGAGAAATTCGTCGAAGACGGGTTGAAAGAAGGGATCATTCGACCATCGAAATCACCTTGGTCGGCACCCATCATCCTGGTGAAGAAACCCGATGGTAGTTCACGGGTATGTGTTGATTATCGGAAACTAAATGCTTTGACGATCAAAGACTCATTCCCTTTGCCTCGAATTGACGATGCCTACCAGTTCCTGGCAGGAGCGAAAATATTCAGTTCGATCGACCTGAAGTCAGGATTTTGGCAAGTTAAACTAACTGATCGATCGATACCAAAGACGGCGTTCGCAACAAGAAACGGCGCATACGAGTTCCTCGTGATGCCGTTTGGATTGTGTAACGCACCGGCTACATTTCAACACATGATGAATAACATCTTGCGCGAATGCCTGGGTAAGTTTGCTCTTGTGTACTTAGACGACATTATTATCTACTCTAAAGATGAGAAATTACACAAAGAACACATCAAAAAGGTTTTTGAATTGATAAGCAAATTCGACTTGGTAGTTTCAGAGAAGAAGTGCACGTGGGGTCAGAAACAATTGTTATTTTTAGGACACATCGTAGGCGGCAAAGGAATCAATGTCGACGACAGGAAGATCGATAAAATCACAGCATGGCCGACACCTACTAACATCACCGAAGTCAGAGGTTTTTTAAACCTAGCGACTTATTATAAAAGATTCATAAAAGACTTCTCCAAAATCGCGACACCCATCTACAAGCTAACTCAAGGATCTCCAAAAAAGGGGGCAAGTATTGAGTGGGGGGAGGAACAAGACGAATCTTTCAAGAAACTCAAGTACTACCTCACGCGAACGGTCCTTCTACACCATCCCAAACCTTTTAGTCCATTCATCTTAGACACCGACGCTTCAGGACAAAACATCGGCGCAGTTCTTCAACAAGACCCCAATGGGGAAAAGATTGACAAAAATTTCGATCTCGAACAATTCTCGAAAACCGTCAAAAACGCTAACCTAAAACCAATCGCGTACGAGTCTAGGAAACTGTCAAAGACAGAACAAAATTATTCAGCTCAAGAACGCGAGCTCTTAGCAATTGTCCACGCGCTAAAACACTTCCGCGGTTACGTTGAAGGATCCCCGATATTGGTACGGACTGATCATGAGTCTTTAAAATATTTCAAAACCCAAAGACATGTCAATAGAAGACTTGCTAGGTTCGTCGACGAGATCGAATTCTTCAATGTACACATAATCTACAGACCCGGCCCTGAACAAATAGCGGCCGACGCTTTGTCTAGAAAACCAGACGGCCCCTCTGACCTGGAACCTCCTGAAGTCGCGGACTCTCTATTCTCTATCGAACCGGCCATTGAAGACACCTTCAAAAGACTACAAGAACTCAGACACAAACATGGAAGTGCTCTAGAAGCCAAGGGATACACCTTCAAGAATGGCGACCTGTCAGCCTGAGTGATGCCAAGAGCAGAAACTCTTCTAGCTACACTAGGTGCAAGGATGAATTCAGAGGTGTACACGTGTGGGTGACACGTGAAAAGTGGGTAGAAGTGTGGTAAAAAGTAAATAAAAACTGTTAAGTTTTTATTTACAGAGGGGCCTGAGTTACAGGGGTTTTTAAGGTGCCCTCTAATATCAGGTCCTGGGTTACAGGGGTGGTACTGATGTTCTGGTCCTTTGTAATAAAGGAGTATGCCCAGAAATAGCCTACAACTGAAGAAACAAAGAAATAATACTTACTAGTACTTATCTCTAAGCCAAGGAAGTCTTCAGGAGGGGGGAACTGTTCTTGAAGCGCTCAGAAAGGTGGGTGAGAGATGTTGGAGGAGTGCTGGGGAACAGGTGTTGGTTGGTTGATGGAAATTCAGGTTGATAACAGCAGGAACAGGGCCAATGGGCAGTTGGAAACTGGTTGTTGGTGACGGTTTATGCTGGTAAGTGATGATGAAGATGGGGAAACAAAGTTCAGGGGGAAGAAGGGGCTCTTAAGTACCCATTCTGGGCCTCTGGAGGCGAACTCAGGA